TTTCTTGCCAAATATTACGTAGAATTCAGGGGCGGGGTCACGAAATGAGTGACGTTGGAGACTGCCAAATGAGAAGATGCTTCCAGTCTAGTGTTGGAAGATTGCGCGCGCGCAGATATTTGCGATTTTACATGTATTGATATTTAGCACTTAACAGGCTCTGTTCAGAGCAGTTGTGCTGGTTTGTTTAACCATCACAGCAACGTACTATCTGTAGTTTTTAACGAGGAAGTTCAGGTACAGGGACTAGATAACTTCTCCAAGGACACGTTACTAGTAAGTGACTCAAAGCGGCCGAAGAGGTGGATCCGTTGTGCAACTGCAGCCTGGGTACATGACTTGGCAAACTGACAAATCCAAGGAAGGCTTCAGAGAAGTGTACACTTAAGTGGGGCCTTACTGCAAGAATTGTGTTTCAAACTCTTGAAATACCGCCCCTGGGTTGCCCAGAACCCTTCAGCTAATTATTGAGAGGGTGAAGAGGGCGCAGCAGGGAGAAGGCTTACAAGGTATGAGGAGGAGGCCAGCTCCCTATTACTTTTAACAGGATGAAACTACTAAAAGCTTCTTTCTTGTTACCTTTCATCATAATACCATCTCACCCCAAATCTGGATTCAGAGCCTTTTAGCCTCTGAAAATCACTAACAATCGGATCATTCCACAGTAGGCATTTGTGGAAACGCATGTACGTTCCTTTCTGGGGAACTTACAGACGAGGGAGTCAGCAAGCTGGTCCATGTTTTTCTAACATTTTGTAAAAATGTTTCATTGAAACAGCTAAGTTCATTTGTTTACATCTTGTCTAGTTCTGTTTTCAGGCTATAAAGCCAAAGCTGAATAATGACAGAGAGAAGAGAGGCCATGTAGCCGTTTTAACCCAGGAAGACTAAAATCTTTACATTATTGCTCTTTACAGAAAAAGTTTGCAGTTTGACATAAACTGCTGACAGCTCAGATGATCCCCAGTTGAAGTGGAATGGTTGTCACCAAAATGTCTTTTCTTCTCCATGGGCTTTAGTGTCAAACACCCTAACTCTTAACTCCTGTTGAGTGCCTACTTTATGACAGATGCTCAAAATGTTTTACATGAGTGAGTTCATTTAGTCCATGATTCACAGAATGGTAAAGCTGGAAGAACTCATGAATATTATCTAATTTGCCACCTTTTTCAGATAGCCTGCCGTGTAGGCCCACTCACATGAGCTATGACAGAAAAAAAGCTTCCCGACCCCAATCCACTCTGAATGGGAAGCCAATACCGTATCCATTGGATCTGGCTTTTGTTTTTGTTTATGGTTTTTTGGGGGGTGTTGAAACCCATGAGTGAGATCTGTCATTTTCAAAACACTTCTCTGACTAAAAGTAATGTATGTTTATTGTAGGGAAAGTGAAAGATATAGAAGATTGTAAAGGATAAAGTAAAATAACCCATTAAATGCCCTAGGGATTAGTGTGTTAACATTTTGGTGAATTTTCTTCTGCCCTTTATGTGTATGTGTTTTGTAAATATCTGTATTAATAATAGTTTCTGTTTATCTAATGCTTGATGCTGGTGTATATGTGCAAATTTTTTTTTTTTTTTTTTTTAGTGTTTGTATCCTGTTTTAATACACTGTATTTTCTCATGACTTTCTTCGAAAACATGATTTTTAACAGTTTCAAAATCTAACATCTTTATATGCCATCACTGCTTATTTGCCTGTTGGGGTTTTTTTTTATTATAATAAGAGTGTGATCTTTGTACATGAATCTCTGTGCTCCTCTCTGATTATATTTTTTCAGGTTTTTTTTCCTGTTTACAGAAGTTGTTTCAAATATTACAAAACTTTCAAATATTACAAAAAGTCCTTAAAAGTTTACCATAATCTTATTCCTCAGAGGTCATCATGGTTAAAATCATATATAGTCAGAGATTTAAGTTAATTTTTAAAAAATAAGACAAAATGTAGATAATAGAGATTTGGAAACTAGAGGAGAAAGTCATTCATAATTCACCATAGTGATTAATGATTAATTTTCCTTCTTGATCTTATTCATATGCATATTTTAACATATATAATGCTAGGTTTACTTAAAATTTTAATATCCTGCATTTTTCCTATTTCCACATAGCATAAGTATTCAATATTTTCAAAGTGGTCCCATATATTTTTTTTTTTTTTAATCTTAATGTCCATATAATTTCTACCAAGTGGAAGTACCGTAATTGCTAAGCCTCAGTGCCCATCAATAGAAAATTGTGTTTTCCTGCAACCTTTTAGGGGATTAATTTTTTTTAACAGTTAATGAAAGGATTCCATTTTTTCCTCCCTGGGAAGTTACTTCTCTATGAAAAAGTTCTAATAGTGGAATTACTAGGTCAAACAATATAGGCATTTCTATAACATATACCGATGACTTTGAGGATCATCTGTGATACATTGCAAGTGCTGTGTACATATAACGAGTATTCTTGTCTTGGTTCTTATTCCCACAAAATGATGATCGCTGTGTCCGAACTGCAAATGAACTTACAACTTTAAGATCTGATACATATTGCCAGATTACATTTTCACTGGTAATGTGAGAGAAACTTCTTTTACCTGCTCCTGTACTGGTCTTGAATTTTAGCATTAAAAAAAAATCCAATTTGATATAAAAATTGATTCTTCATTCCTTCAGTTTCCATTTCTTTGATTACCAATGAAATGGAACTTTGTTTTGAAATGCTTATTGGCCGTTTATAATATTGCTGTATTTCTTGTACATACTGTTTCTCTTTCACTTCATCTTTTTCTTAATCATTAATAAGTTTTATCTATTAGGTATATCTATTCTTTGATGTGTAAATCGAAGTATTTTTCCTAGATTGTTTGCGTTTTAGTTTTCTTTGTATGTTGAATATAGAGACTTGATTTTCTATGGCCAGATTCATCCAGTTTGTCTTTGTCATTTGTGCTTTTTTGCATAATGCTTAGAAAAGGCTACCCTAACCATGAAAGTAGTCATTTGCCAATATTTTATTTTGTGGTTTCATTTTTTAATATTTAACTTTGTAATCAGTTTATATTTTCTTGAGACTATGGTATGAGGTAGGAATCTCACTAGGTGTTTGTCCCAGGTAGTTAAGCAACAGTCTCAACATAATTTATGAATAATCAATTTTTTATTATTATAAATGCCAATTTTATCATGTTAAATTCTTTTATTCTCTTAGGGGATTAGTGTTCTGTAAAATCAAAAGCCGGAGTTAAACTTCCTTTTAAATGTGTTGACTTACTGTCCAGGTTTTCCTAGCTACCCTTTTTTGATGATTTTGATCTGTTACTACAGAATTTCAGTTCTCTTTATGCCAGACTCTAGATAGAAGTTTTCAATACATACTTCTCTCCTCTATTCCAGATATGTATACCTACTTTCTATTTGGATACTTCAGAACTAAATGTATCTTTTTCCTCCCCAAACCAGTATTCCCACTCTCACTGTCATCACACATCAAAACCCAGTAAATTTTCCTTGATTTTTCCCTCTCAACACCATCCCCTCTCCCTCTGCAATATTCATCCACCGCTGCAGATTCAGTCTCTTAGGCAGTCTAGTCCCTTACTGGGACTCTTTACTTTCCCTCCCCTACCTCTCACCCCTTGTATATGTATTTTTTTCCTATGGACAGGGAAAGTTCTAATGTATTCTTTTTTAAACAGGACACCTAATGTTACATCTTTTTCAAATCTTTTCAAATCCCTTTTATAGCTTTCTGCTCACTTTTGGGTAAATGCCTTAAAGTGGTCTGCATGGTTGTATTTGAGCTGGCCTTTGCTTGACTCAGACTTCATGTCCTATTTCTGATGCTCAATAATTTGACTTACTAGATCTTTTTATTCTTCCAATGTACTGAGCTTGACTCCTTTTGTAAATTCTGTTTAATCTCTCTGATATATTCTTTTCCCTTCTCATGTGTCTAAATTCTACTTATTTCTTCTCCAGGGAGGCTTTCTTTCCTTAACGACATTAGGTACCCTCTGTTCTATATTCCATAGCACTCCATATTTCCACTTTCATAATTGCTGTAGTTGTAACTGGTTTAATGTCTTTGTCCAGCTACAAGATAAGCCCTGGGCAGGCAGGCACGTGTCTGACTTTATCTCTAGTGTCTAGCTCTGATTATACCCAAACCCCACTCTACTTCATGAGTCTCTGTAGATGTGTGTGCTGAGTCCACTTTATGTCTCTGCTGTGGAAGAAGAACAGGAAATCCCAGATAGAATCCTCTTAGACTTTTAAAACTCAACACAGAAGTAGAGGCCTTCATGAGAAGTCCACAGGACCAGCCTTATTGTGTACTTCAGACACAGCCTGTTCTTTCATGCCCTCTTTGCCCTCAGTTGTGGTAAACCATCTCTGTCTTCCTTGAAATAATGTTGCCAGTTCTAGTTCATATGTCAGCGTTATATAAAGAGACATTTTTATATAAACTTTTATAATTTTGACAGTCCGAACACCAGAAACTCCACTATTTTTGTAACTCTTAGTAAGTCAAAAATTATAAAGTATTTTATTTAAACTGCAGCCTACACTCTTATATTGAACTGTGCCTGAAGAAAAATTGTTCGATATGACATTTAGAAGAAAAGACAGCCAGTGTATCCTTAGGTTTGTATTGCAGAGTTCTCTGACTACTCTCTAGGTCCTTGGCATGCAGGGGAGGCTGGTGGATCAGACTTAATGCATTAGCCTTGCCCTGAGGCCATTTGCTCATGCAACTTTTGATTTTATTAATTGACTTTTCATACAGATTATTGTATAATGGACAGAATGTACTAATTGACATGAGTATTCCTATCCACTTCTTAATTATTTTTATCATCATAAATAACCTTGATTATTCATCAATCACTTGAATGTTTATTAATATGTCAGTCTGTCTCGCTGTCACTTCTTGGAAAGCTGACAAATGGAGTTTGTGAACCTAGAGGTGTGGAAGCCAACCCCAATTCTTGCTGATGCAATCACGTTGCTAACCTGACAGGTTTTGTGTGAGTTATTAGATAGTCTCCCTAGACTACAGCTCTTTCTCATATTTCTGTTTACTGGGACAGTGATATCCCGTCCCCCACCTTTTTTTCCCCTGTGAGCAGGGCTCCCACTTTTCCAACCTTGAAGTGTTTTGCAATTAAATCAAGGAGAAGATTTGTGGATGTTGAATATGCACAGAGCTGAAGAGAGAGAGAGTGGAAGAGAGATTTGTCCAGGTGAGTGAGCAAGAGACAGCCAGTGGGAGAAACAGCAGGGCTTTGGAAATCATACAAGAGAAACTGAATGAAGCTCAGAAGATAAAACTACCTCCTCTTTTAGGGATTTTGGGGGCAGATGTGGTGAGCTTCTCTGGGGGTCAGCTTTCCCCTCATACTCATTTTCTCTCTCAGTTCCACCATATGCCCTTTTACATTCTCCTACTATCCTCCCTTCTTTGCATATAAACAGTCCATATGTTCTGTCTTGCCCTAATCATCAGCCTGTGGTTGTTGCTTTCCCTTTATCTCCATTTTTCTCTGGTTCTCTCTCTCTGGGTGTCTGTAGCTGTCCTTTCCATGGGATTCCTCACTAATGGTGATCGCCTTACTCTAATGCAGATTTCTTCCACCACTTGCAACTTCGAATTACTTGTCCCACTTGCTTTTATTGGTCCTTAATGAGACCTGCATCCTAGGTCCCAGAACTTCAGGGGCCTCTACTTTGGCCTACATAAGAGGTATTCATTCTGATGGTTTCTTTCAGGTTGGGTGAACAAGCCTGCTCCAGAACAAGATGTCTCTGAAATTGATTCACCAGAGACAGTAGGAAAGAGGCTCCAAGGGGATGAATCCCAGCATTCTGCATTCAATGACAAATATGCATGTGAGAGCATGAAGGAGAACTCTCCTGGAGATGTTCCTGGGCCATGCTTTTTCCAGGAAGGAGGTTTTGGGGGAATAACTTTCATCCACAAGGAAGCACCTCCTGAAATGATTAGCCAAGAATATAATTTTGAGAAAAGGTTGCTTTTGACCTCAAGCCTTGTTACGCATCTCAGGGTTTCTACAGAAGAGAGTTTACATCAGTGGGAGACAAGTGGCATACACACCAATGAGGTTTCAGACCAAAGTAAATGCTCAACCCTCTCCACACGGAAAAAGTCTTGGCAATGTAACGAATGTGGAAAACATTTTACTCAGAGCTCATCCCTTACCCAACATCAGAGAACTCATACTGGAGAGAGACCTTATGCATGTGAGGAATGTGGGAAAGCCTTTAGTCGTAGTTCATTCCTTGTTCAGCATCAAAGAATTCACACTGGAACGAAACCATACAGATGTGAGCAGTGTGGGAAAACATTTCGATGTCGATCATTTCTTACTCAGCATCAGAGAATCCACACTGGAGAGAAACCTTATAAATGTAACGAATGTGGGAATTCCTTCTGCAATCATTCACATCTCACCGAACATCAGAGAATTCACACTGGAGAGAAACCTTATAAATGTAATAGGTGTGGAAAGGCATTCAATCAGAACACACACCTCATTCATCATCAGAGAATTCACACTGGTGAGAAACCTTATTTATGCAATGAATGTGGCACCTCTTTTCGCAAACACTCAAATCTCACACAACATCAGAGAATTCACACAGGGGAGAAACCACACAAATGTGATGAATGTGGAAAAACTTTCCAAACAAAGGCAAACCTCTCTCAGCATCAAAGAATTCATACTGGAGAAAAACCCTATAAATGTAAGGAATGTGGCAAAGCTTTTTGTCAAAGTCCATCCCTTATTAAACACCTGCGAATTCATACTGGAGAGAAACCTTATAAATGTAAAGAATGTGGCAAAGCTTTTACTCAGAGTACACCACTCACTAAACATCAGAGAATTCATACAGGGGAGAGACCCTACAAATGCAGTGAATGTGGTAAAGCCTTCATTCAGAGCATTTGCCTTATTCGGCATCAGAGAAGTCACACTGGAGAGAAACCCTATAAGTGCAATGAATGTGGGAAGGGCTTCAATCAGAATACCTGCCTCACTCAGCATATGAGAATTCATACTGGAGAGAAACCCTATAAATGTCAAGAGTGTGGGAAAGCCTTTGCTCATAGCTCTTCTCTTACTGAACATCACAGAACTCACACTGGTGAGAAACTCTATAAATGTAGCGAGTGTGAGAAAACCTTCCGCAAGTATGCACATCTTAGTGAACATTATAGGATTCACACTGGTGAGAAGCCTTATGAATGCATTGAATGTGGAAAATTCTTCAGACATAGTTCAGTCCTTTTCAGACATCAGAAGCTTCACGGTAGTGAATGAACCTGGCATTAGGTTATGGCAGTTTCTCAAGAAATAGTGGTTAGGAATCTGGCTGAGGAGATGGGGGCAGGTAGAGTCCCTGGAGGGAAGGAGGATGGAGCCTTGAATGCTACATCAGAAGAATATTTCCAGAGATGTATGTGGGGGCTTGGAGAATGCAGAGCCTACTCCAGGTGGGCATCTGGGAGTACAAGGTAGAAGGGAAATTCCTGCTTTTCAGGTAAATCCTTGCTGCTTGCTACTCCGTTGTCCCCATATGACCTGTACCTTGAGGTGCCATGTGTTAAGTTAGCACTTGTATCTCCCTTACTACGTTCCTGCCGCACCTTCCCAAATTGTCACATATGTTCAGTGAACAGTAGGCCAAGGTGCTTGCCCAAACACTCACTGTGAGAGTGGCAGCAGCTCTGAGGTAGTGCCAGGAAGCCACCAGACGTCTGAGGCAGCTCTAGCCATGCTGCTGTGAGGAGACTGCTTAAGCTGTGAAGGGGCCCGTGGGGGGGATGAAAACAAGAGAAAGGCAATTCATTCTTGACAATGGGGGCGGTGGGACGGGTATGTGGCAAGGACTGGGCTGAACTCTACAGATAGGTCGGTAAAGAAAGCTTTCATCAGAATGGGGGGGGGGATCTTCCTGATCCTTTTGAGTTGGAGAAAGAGGAGGTAAAGAGAGACTTCTAGAATGATGCCAGTTTGTGGAAAGGGTATCCTGTTTGCTCAGAGGGCCCTGGAGAGGGAGGCCCAGCCTCTGACCTAGTGGGACAGTGGCTTCCCCAGGATGGAAATGGCCTGTGTGAGGCTGGCGGTCAAAAGAAGCCACGAGCAGGAAATCTGCATGTGATAGAGCAGGCCATCAATGTGCACCTGCCCTGGACGGAGGTGTACACCTGTCTCTCGTAAGTTTGGTTGGGTCTCAAGTTCACAGGGACTAGGGGAGAGGGCCCTACTAAAAATAACTGTCCAAACAAAATAGGACTCTGGTGTTTTTTTTGTTTGTGTTTTTTGTTGTTTGTTTCCTTTAGGGAGGCAACAGCATTAATGAAGGAAGGAGACAGTCTTTTGAGTTGGCTGGAGTTGGGGGCTGCTGCGCCAGCCTAAGAAAACATTGGTTACTGTAGCTGGGAGAGCCTGTTTCATTATGCCACTGGTGGCTATAACAGATTTGTTACATCTTAGGTGTTTCTTTTTTTTATTAGGCCTGTCTTATTTCTGGGTACCTACCTTTACCTGCAGGTTGAGAATATCTAGAGAAACATTTCCTATGGGCTAAATTTGGAAAGTATTCTAGAGAGGATTACCTGAAAATCAAGATATGATGGGTTGCCACTGACCTAAGGTATTTTATTGAGAGAAAGGGGATGTTTCTTATCTTTACTCCCTTTCATGTTCTTAACTGCTATCCAGAGATGCTGCTCCAGAAGATTGAGGATAGCCTTCGATAGGAAATCATTGCTCTGAAGCTTAATACAGCTTTTAAAATATAGCTATTAAAAACAATGAAAGTAAGTTGATTCTGAAATGGTGATTATTTGGAACTCAGTGTTGACTTTTTTCAGGAGCACCTGTCTTCTAAGCAATACTTTGAGCCATTAATTACCATTAATAGGAATGTGGAAGAAATACACTTTTCTCTCTCCAGCTGTGAAGATATGTTCTCAAAACTTGGCACAGGGCAACGTGTAATTGAGTAAATTAAAACTGTATGGGCAGATATAACCGTATGAGAACTTTATATTTTATGCTTATAAAAATGTAGTGTATAGAAAGCAAACATCAATGTATTTCCACTTTGCAAGTATGAAAAATAATGCTACAGAATTTGTTACTGGCACATAGTAAATGTTCAATAAATATTTATTAATGTATTTTAAACAATCTTTGCACACCAGAAACTTCAGGAAATTCCTGATGTGTAGGTATTTAGCATAATATTTATATACTCCTCTTTTTGGAGTCCTGAATAGAGATTAGAGAAGATAAGCATTATTTCTTAAGGAAGAAATGTTAGAACACGGGTGAGAGATGTCTTGAGTTCTTGTTAGAAAGATTTTACAAAATGGAATGGGCACAACTTTTCAATTTTTAATGATCAGGATTAAAGTCTGGTATTATTTTCACTCCTGAGGAAACGGGGAGGAAAGAAACTCATCATCTTTCCATTATCCTCATTCCATAGTCTCATATTTGCAAATATCTGTTCATAATTTTCTCTCCGTTGCCATCCCAGAATGTGCACAGTCACTCCAGCTTGGCCCCAGACCTAGGAATCTCCTTCCTCTCAGCCTTTCCTCTGTCTGAGTTTTCCTGCCCAGTCAGCTGCTGTGTCCTGTTGACATTATCTTCTAAATCTTGAAACTCTTCACCACTATCACTTTAGTGCAGCTCTCCCATTCATTTCCTAGACTGTTTTTTCTCTTTTTCTAACCAGTCTAAGTTTCTTGCCCCCCAGGCCATCTTTCACATTTCTTCTTGATGGTCTTTGTAGGACAACTATAGAAACTATGTTGTTCTCTCTCAGAATAAGTATCCCCTTAAAGAGGCGCTGGAGGCCCCTCATTTGGCCCACATCATCTTTGACCTCAACTAAAATACTGAGACATTCCTCCATGCCAATGTGTGACTCAGGTCTACAGTTACCAGCAGAAAGGAGGAATGGTGAATACATGAGTGTGTCCATGAGTTGTTTGCAAGGAACAATCATTCCAAACCTTTCTGCAAGATACGGAGTATGTGGTTGTATTAAGCAGAGGATCCCATAAGAATTATGTTGTAACAATTTTTTTTTTTGTTTTGCTCCAAATTAGGCATTCAAATGTCCTACCACAGTTTAACAAAATCCTCTCAGATATGTTGATGTCAGAATAGGAAGAGGGAGGTGCATGCAGATGTAGAACCATAGCTGTGTCAACAGGACTATCCATGAAATCAGCAGGAGCTCAACAACGATGCTGGCCCCACAAGAAAGCAGCTGAGCTTAGAATTCCCAATGTGAAAGCATTTTCTGAGCTCATGGCTTTCCCCACGCTCTGGAAGGATAGGGAACTGAAATGTGTTGCTTATTCACAATGTGTTGAAATTTAATTAGTGGTTTCAGAAGGACACAGGAGATGAACCACGTTAGATCCTCAAAACAACAAAAGGGAAAACGTGGTTGGACTTGCCAAGGTCACACAACTTGTAAGTGTTAAGTGAAATTGAAACTTCGGTGTTCTTTCTATCACTTTTGCTTCAGATTTCTCTCTTGGTTTTACCTCTGTTCCATGATGCTTTATTGTGTCTATTATATGACACATATTGACCACTTAAGGCTCCAACCTTGCCCTGTTCCTGAGGATTGGAGGGCTCACTTTAGATCAAGAACAAATTTGGCCCTCAAAATCAGACCTCCTTGCATGTAAGGGTGAGAAATAAGTCGACTTTTCTCTATGACTGCACTTCCCTTCCAACATGATGCAGACATGTGGCCTTCATCCCTCCCATTCATTCTCTACCTTTCAATGAGAGAAGCTCAGCCCAGGTGCTGTTAAGCCCATTTTGGTGCTCTGCCCAGGGTGCCTCCCCCGCATCCCCAGGGTTAGCTTCCACACCTTCAAGCCTGCTGATTTAGAGATTCTTCAAGGCCTGTTGGAAAATTCGAATAGGTCTAGGTACTCTGGCCTGCGAGATACTAGGGCTGCGGGGAAGAACTTGGTATCTGATTCCCAAATGCTGAGACTGACCCTGGTAAAAAGGAAGCTCACCGTTCCATAGGCAGCTGATAGTTGGACAATGGGTGCTCTTTATTTAAGGATTTATTTTTAGAGTAGGAATGGAGGGAGAAAGAAGGAGAGAAACATCCATGTAAGGGAGAGTAACTGATCAGTTGCCTCTAGTAAGCGCCCAAAATGGGGACTGAATCTTTAACCCAGGCAGGTGCTGTCCCTGGGAATTGAACTGGTGACCTTTCACTTTTGGGGGCTGATGCCTGACCAACAGAGGCACGTAGGTCAGGGCAAGGGTGCTCTTTTAGATGAAGATGGTTATCCTGCGGCGTCTGCACACCTGATTTAAGCTCCTCAGTGAAGGACTCCATTGTGGGAAAAAGTCACATCTGGAGAATTGAGCAGGTAACGTGTGCTGCGTCTCATTCATTTATTCAAGTGTTTACTCACTGCCCGCTACTGCACAATAGGGATATGATGCTAAGCAGACAGCCCGATTTCCCATAGTTTGCAGATTGTTAGGAATGTTTGAAAATAGATCAGGTGCCCTGCTACCTTCGCCTTTATCCTTGGAATATATACCTGTTTAGGATGAGCCTTTATGTGCAAATGTTTCCTGAATGAAGACCAGCAAGATCTGGAGTTTTGCAAAGCGGGACAGGAGTGCTAACTTGAGGGCAGGGAGGGTCGCAGAAGCCAACGCAGAACAAGAACTGGCTGGAGCTGGGGGTTGAGGAGCTCAGAAGGAACGAACATTTCCTGAACCTTTTTTTAAGCACCAGAAATTGTTGGTAATGTACAGGGCATTAAGCGCATTTAATCCCCACAATGACCTCGTGAAACTCGTTACCCTCACTGTTTTGCGAGGAGACTTGTATAGAGGTAAGGGGCCCAAGTCGACACACTAAGGACCTGGGACGTAGGCCTGAGGCGGAGCTCCGCTCTGTCTGCCAGTTGTTGAGCAGAGACCCCAAGGTGGCAGGGCGCTCGGGTGCCGGCGGCTGAGCATACGAGCGAGGGAGGTGGGAACCAGCTTTCCGACAGCCTCGGAAGCCCTGCAAGCGACAGTGCCCTGGGGCAGAGGCCGCAGGGAGACCAATGCCGGGTGCAGGACGGACCAGCCCGGGGTGGGAGCTGCCCGTGGCAGGCCTCACTCGCACTTCCGCCCATTTCCGTGTCCCGAAGAGCGCCCCTCAGGAGAGTTTTGCGGGCCGGCCTAGGAGGAACCACCGAGACGAAAGGAGGCGCCCCAGCCTCCTTAGGGCAGCTGGCAGCCGCTACCGCCCCACTGCGCGGGCTGTGACGTGGGGCCGGCCCGGAACTTGGCTCCAGCGGAGGGCCTCGGGCGCCCCCTTGGAGCGGCTTCCAGTGGACCCCTCCTCCTGCGGAGGGAGCAGAGTCCTTTGGGGCGGAGGCCAGGGACCAGGGACTGGGGCGGCTCCCCGGGGAGGGAAGCGAGGACACTGTTCGAGGTCTCTGGCCTGGGAGTGGGGAGGCCTGGGCTCCGTTTGCACATTCTCAACCGGGCAGGCGAACCACTCTGGGTGCGATCTCGTTTTCTTCGCTGCTTCACAACGTTGTGCGTGTTGCATGCGAATGCCATGTGTGAGTTAGCGTCTTCCTTTCATTAAGTTTTTATGCTCTAAAAGAAACAGGATAGGTATGAAGACATATAGACTCAGTAATGATTTAACAGCAAGTAGCATTTATTGAATGCTTACCTGACAGCATTCTTCATTCATGCATCGTCACAACCGTGTGAAGTACTTATTACCGCCACTTGAGGTTTGAAAACACTGCAGCACAGGAGGGTTAAGTACCTTACGCAATTTCACATAGCTAATGCCTGGGGCGCTGGGGTTAAGACCCAGGGGGTGCTGGCCCCAGAGCCCACACCACGCTTGTCTTCAGGCTCGGAAGAGGAAGATAGGAATCAGAGTGTTCAAACACAGGATGGAAAGCCCCACCGTGGAGACGTGACATTCTTTCAGAACACTGTGGCGCAAGTACCTTGAAACGTGAAAAGTTTTCACGAGGAAGCGGGGAGAGTGGTTCACGTTTGACCTGAATGTTAGAATTTGACTAAGAGTCTGAAAGTGGTTTGTGCAGGATCAAGTAAGAGGTTCCACCGGACCGGGCTGGATTAGACTGGAAGCCAGGTCCACACCTTTTAACACAGCGCTCCTTCCTTTCTGTTCAGAGAGAAGGGTTCTTAAAACCTTCCCTCTCAGGAGGGGTCCTTAACATCTTCCAACATATTCCCGTGTCCTTTTCGAAGTTTCTGCTTCACACAGAGGCAGTCTGACTTTGCTGCAATCCCTCCACCTCTGATTGTGAGAAAATAAGTGGTGGGGAGTTTCCCTGCTGTTAACTCAGCCCATTCTCTAAAGAGGTGATCTCCTTTCTTGAGGCGTAGTAATTGCTCAGTTTGTACCTTTCAAATAAAATAGTGGTATATCCAGCGTCAATTAAAGATGGACTGGAAAGTCTTGATTTGAGATTTTTGGTCTTTTTCCATCTGTTTTTTAGAAGCAAAGAATCACAATGTTGGTAGTAGAAGAAGCTTTAAATGTCTAGTTTTTCCATTTATTTTCACAGATAAGGAAAAAATCTGTTGAAATTGAGCGACTTGCCTCAATTTCAGGTCATTGAACAAGTTAGTGGTAGAGACTAGAATCCAGACCTCTTGGCTCAGTCTAGGGCTTGTCTCACTGCCCTCTACTGTGGCTTTACTTTCTGACTTTTGCAGTCAGTGGCTTCTCTGCTAGATTGGGGTGGGGGTGGCGGTGTCTTTGGGCTCCACCATCATCTCCTGTGGAAGAGTATTTACCCAAGGGTGCTTAGTTCTTAGGAGGACCTACCCTATTTCTTTGTGACTGTCACATCTCTCTGAAGTCTACCCACTGACCTTTTTGTTCTTAATGATAATCTTCTAGAACAATGATATTCTTTTATTCAGACTTAAAATAGTCATTTGGGCCCTGGCTGGTACAGCTCAGTGGATTGAGTGCTGGCCTGCAAACCAGAAGGTTTCCCATTCAACTCCCAGTCAGGGCATGTGCCTGGGTTGCAGGCTAGGTCCCCTGTTGCGGGGTGTGCAAGAGGCAACTGACCTATGTTTCTCTCACGCATCAATGTTTCTTTCCCTCTATTTCTCCCTCCCTTCCCCTGTCTCTGAAAATAAATAAAATCTTTTTTAAAATAGTCATTTAGTTAGGGATGGGATATTCCTGGGTTCCCCTGAATCCAGAGTATGAAGTCAGCTGACAATTTATGGGTGCTCTTTCTTCTCCCTCTCTGACTCAGATTCTTGTCCTTTCTTAAGAGAAGACCACAAACCAGTGTCACTTGTGTTCCTAACAGCTTTTCTCTGGGTAAATGAAATTGAGCTAGAGAGCCCAGGATGGGTTGTTAAGTGGTGGCAGGCCCACATTGAGGCCCACAGTGACCATTGTAGCTAGTAGACCCTTCAGACTGAAAACACAAACCATCCAGAAATGGAACCATCTTATTCAAATCAGAGTTAGAATGGCCTATTGTGGAAGAAGGCTGTAGAGTAATTGGTTATAGGACAGATCATAGGGTGCACTAGCTTTTTAATCATATGTTCTTAAATTGTAGCAAAACTAGCTACTTCCTCTGCAGTCATCTGGTGGGACACCTTGAAGCTACTCACTGAGCTGCTAAGTATGGCTTAATGATGTGGTGGTCAGATCTGGGAAAACTGATGATAAATTATTGGAAGATCTATTGAAAGAGAGCTGTTTCCTTAGAGAATATGCAGTGAACTCCTAGCCCTGTTTGGAACATGAGCATAAGTAATCACAACTGCCATTGTCATTGGTCATCAGAAAGCAGCAGAGCCCGGGAATCTGTTAAACTCAGGAAGAACAGGATTGGGTAAATTGGATTTTTAGATTATGAGAATTGTGACTAGGTCATGACTCTTTATATTCTGAAGAACTCAATCTAGTCTAATATGTACACATGTGTCTACATATGTGTATATGCATTGAGAGATGTCTAAGAGAAAGTTCTTCAAAATACGAGCTATTTTCTTTGATAGGGTTTCAAGTAATTTCATTTTTATTTTTTTATTATTTATTTATTAAAAAGACTTTATGTATGTATTTAAAGAGAAGAGAAAGGAGGACAAAAGAGAAGAAACATCGATGTGAGGGAGAAACGTTGATTGGTTACTTCCCCCACATGCCCCAGCCAGGGGTCAGGCCTGCAACCCAGGCATGTGTCCTGACTAGGAGTCAAACTAGCAACGTTTTTCTTTATGGGATGACACCCAACCTACTGAGTCACAGTGGCCAGGGCAGTAATTTCATTTTTAGAGTGACTTTTCTAGAATAAGCATGCATTCTTTGTATTATAAAAAAATCTTTTTTATTTTGGGACAATCAAAAATAAAGGAAATAAAAGTGTGGTTTGAGTTTTGGTTTTACGTTACCCATTTAAATCACTTGAAGTTCATTTTTATGTGTCCATAGTGGAAGTTTATACAGCAGATAGACAGGTTCAGGCGAAATAGTCAATACGTTTAAGAACCAGTGCGGGACAGGACTGCCAATCAGATCAGTCTCTGACGGTAAACAATTTGTGCAGCTGCACCGGTGTGTCCCAGTTGATTCTCAGCCCAGGAGATCCGTATGTACTAACATGAGATGATCTCTAGGACACATTCGCAGTGAAAAATGGGCAAATTGCATGGCAGCACCTATAGAATGTTTCATTTATGTAGAGAATCAAATGCTTTGTGTTGTGTTGGAAATATGTAGAAAAAAAAACTCAAAGAATATACTCCAAACTTAATGATAATCTCTGGGAAGGAAATGGGTTTAGGTAGGGTGGGGTAGTGATGGTTATAAAAATATCATTTCATCCCATGTACTTCCATATTATCTAAACATTTTTAAGTGAGGATATGTTTCTGTGTAACATAATTAGAAAACTAAAATGAAAAGTAGCCTCAGAATTAGAATGTGTCATTATCTCCAGCGTCATCCTGGGAAAAGGTTGCTTTGGCGTGTGGTAACTGAATAGCCACTCTCTGATTTGGTGCGCCAGGATTTCAAAGTTTGATGCCATTAGGATTATCTAAGTATTTCAGTCTCACTTTCATTCTGTGCTTCCCAGAGTGTTTTGGTGACAATGATTTGGTTCCCACACAGTTTTCCTGTATGGGAGTCAATCACTATACAGAATTTTTTACATTTCCCAAGACCTGTCACTATGTAATCTCTTTCTCCCTTTCCACCTCTCCTGGTCTCCCTCAGGTCACTGTGATCTCCTTTCTCTATTATTGAAAAGAGGATAAAAGTCAACGCACCACTTGTAGGTCCTTGTTCTGCACAGAGAACGTTTTCCTTTTTAAATTTTTTTTTTCAGGCAGGAAGACCAACCCAAGTGACACAGTGTACATGACCTGAGAAAGGTGTGGTGAGGCAGGGAGCCTGCTCATCAGGGTTCACATCTGGAGAAACTGAAGACGCATTCTGAGCAAAGCATAGGAGGGGGAGTCCTGCGGGAGAGGTGGAGAGGACGACGCATGCAAAAGTACACACAGCTCTGTCCCAGAACAGTGTTACTCTAAGGATAATCATCTTTTGAGAAAGTACCTTGCAACAATCATGAATTTGCGAGAAAGTTTCTTCTAAACCTGAACCTACTGGACATCTCCCCCCCGCCCCCTTATTTTTTAAGTAGCATGAGTTCTTGCCAGATCCCTCTGCAAATGAAACATCAGAGACTTAACATGCAGAAGAAATCTTCAAAGTGCAGTGAGTGTGGGAAACTCTTTACTCAGACATCATCTCTTACTCAGCATCAGAGGATTCACACAGGACAGAAGCCCTATGTATGTGGTGAATGTGGAACTCGTTTCCGCAAACAGTCAAATCTTACTCAACATCTGAGGATTCATACAGGAGAGAAACCTTATAAATGTGAGGAATGTGAGAAAGCCTTTCAAACAAAAGCAATTCTTGTCCAACATCTGAGAATTCACACTGGAGAGAAACCCTATAAATGCAGTGAGTGTGGCAAAGCCTTTTGTCAGAGTCCCTCCCTTATTAAACACCTGCGGATCCACACTGGAGAAAAACCATATAAATGTACAGAATGTGGCAAAGCCTTCAGTCAGAGCATATGCCTTACTCGTCATCAGAGAAGTCATTCTGGAAATAAACCTTATAAGTGCAATGAATGTGGGAAGGCCTTTAATCAGAGTGCATGCCTTATTCAGCATCAGATAATTCATTCAGGAGAGAAGCCTTACACATGTAATAAATGTGATAAAGCCTTCACTCAGAACTCTACCCTTGTTGACCACCAGAGAACTCACACTGGAGAGAAACTTTATAAGTGTAGCGTGTGTGAAAAACCCTTCCGCAAGCAAGCACACCTTAGTGAACATTACAGAATTCATACTGGAGAAAGACCTTATGAATGTGTTGAGTGTGAGAAATCCTTTAGGCACCATTCAGCACTTGTTCGACACCAGAAGCTTCATGTTGGAGAGTAAAACTTGGGATATAACCAGTGAGGAAAGACTTGTGTGAAAATCACATTTTCCCCTAAATTCTTAAAAGTTTAAGACTCAGTCCACTGTTGGGATGAATGTTTTGTATGTTGAGCAAGAGGCAGTGTGTCCTTAAAGTTAAGAAAACAGACTCAGTACCAGATAGCTTTGAGTCTGCCACTTACTAGGTATGGGACCTTACCCTCTCTGAGCCTATTTTCCCCACCACCGACCCTCCATCCCCGAAGAGTAATGAGGATACTTGCTAGGGTCGTCTTGAGAATAAGTTGAGCTGTGCATAATAAATAACTGCCATTCATTGGTTGAGTTATAAATGTGACTATTAAAAACAAAGTTCAGCATTAGTTTTTTTTGGTTCTCAATGTATTTTTTTTCTCAGATTCTTGACATTCCTGTGCCATGGCCACATCCTAGGATTTTGGCCTCTTCAGTCCCAGACACGGGGTGCCCTTGGTAAGCCCATCCTTGGAAAGGGCATCAGCAAGGCCCTAGAGAGATGTTGGGCTTTGGAAGTGATGTGCCCTTCTCAGTGCACACCATCAGGTCATGATGTCAGGATGACTTCTTACTGGTAACGGTACCTTTGACCATTTAGATAAGGGGGCATCTCTCCGGTTTCTCCACTGTGAAGCTACTAATTTTCCTTTTGGAATAAGTATCTTGAGAAGATACTTTGAGACTGTAAATATTCTACTTTTCAATATTTTTGCTTGCTAAATTTTGACTTTTTTTTTTTTTTTTGGCATTTTTTGATGAATCTATCCAATATCACTTATGTATTAGTTTCCTATGGCTGTTGTAACCAATTATCACAAGCTTGGTGGCTTAGAACAGAAACGCATTCTCTGAGTTCGGGAAGCCAGAAGTCTGTTGGGCTGAAGTCAGGGCATTGGCAGGTCTGTACTCCCTCTGAAGACTTTGGGAGAGTATGTCCCTTGTTTCTTCCAGCTTCTGGTGGCTGCTGGCAGTCTTTAGCTTGCAGCTGCATCATTCCAACCTCTTGCCTGTTTTCACATTGCCATCTCTGTCTAATCTCCCTCTGCCTGCTGGCTTTTAGAGAATCTCGTTTTACCTAGTTACCTCAAGAGCTTTAAGTTAATCACATCTTCAAAAACTTTACCACGAAAGATGACATTCACAGGTTCCAGGGAACAGGATCTATCTCTTTGGAGGCTGCCATCCAGGCTGCAATTTATTACTGTGGGATTTGCCAAATGGTGATTTTTCTGTTTCCACCATTCTTTCTTTTCCCTCACTTGTTTAATAGCTGCTTTATAGCCATAAGAATTTTTATTATATGAGTTGCAATCTACTATTAGCACTTATTTTCTTGTTCAAATTGTTCCAGATTTGGCCATTGGTAATTAGCGTTCTATGCTAATTATCAATGTTAAAATAAAATCCAGAGGGAACAGTTTAAAATGTAAAAAATAAAAACAAAGAACAAGAGAATCCAAGTGATTCTTTATCTGATACAGAGACCAACAAAAAAGTCAGATAGATTACATAATTTACAAATTAATAAGAAAAATATGACTATACTAATGGGAAATCAACAAAAAATTAATTGGACAAAGAAATACAAAATAGTCTGCTAAATATGAGAAACAGTTTAGCCTCCCTGGTAAATCACAGGAAATGTCAATTAAATTTAAATAGTAAACACCATTTTCAATATACCAAACTGACAAAAATCAAAAGACAGGTTCTCTAGCCCATGGCTTGTGCACTGTTATCATGGATGAGGCAAAGCGGGCTCTTGTAGATGGTAAATGAATAAAATGGTAAAAAACCTCTTTAGAAAGCAATTTGAAAGTAAGCATCAAAAGCTTTAAAAATATTCAAATACTGTTCACAATAGATGTAAATCAAGCCATTATGCCATACTCCTTAAACTTAGTGATTTATGTATTTCTCAGTAAAACTGGACAAAGGTTCATGCTTGCCAAATCTGTCCTTTGGTATCAAAAATCCCAGTAGCTTTATTAAGCAGACTTCTACTTGTATTTCTCTTTTAGTTTTACCAACTACAGTCACCATGTTCTACATTAGATCCTAATTTGTATCAAGATCGTTTGTATTAGATCCTTACCTGTAGGAGACCCACTCACATCTCATAGCTTGCCAGAACTCTCATGTGGCTACCCTTGGCAGGAGGTAGGGAAGTATTCTTACCTAGACACATTATTGTCTCTCCCACCAAAGTGGGGTTTTGCTAATGAGAAAGATACAATAAGGGATCTGTTTAATTACAAAGTTAAATTAATGTAGCTATTAATGTCGGGTGCTTGAATTTTACTAACCGGAAAAAATACTCAAAAAATAATGTCAAGTGAGAAGCAGGATAGAGAACAGACACAATAAAATCTCAATTTTGTTAAAAATACAACTTACATACATACACACCCCACATGGGATTTAACAAAGTGAATACTATACTAGTTTTTGTCTACAGTTAGCATTTCAAGTCAAAGGAGTATTGGTAGGTGGACAATTTTTATCTTACTAACTTTTATTTTCTAAATTTCCTGTAATGCACTTGTATTATCTTTATAATAGGAAAAAATATTTTTAAAAACACCCCATATGCTCCTAAAGACTCAGTCCAAAATGTTTATACTTATTAATTTTCATCTTCACTGTCAAAAGAAAGGAGGCTACTGTTTTTGATTTGCTTTTGTGAGTTCTTTTTAACTGAGTCCTGCTTATTTATTTCATCTTCGTTTGTCTTTTTCTTTTTTGAACTTGCTGTTAAACCTGAGTATTTTTCATCTGTGGAACGCTTGACTGGTTTTCGATACATGATTCTTCCATCCGCTGAAGCTGGTTCTTCATCTGCAGCAAAAAACAAAGTTAAAAAACTTTTTTTCCCTCACTATTTTGCCTTTACCAGAGAGTCAAATGATAAGAAAACTTTATACTGTTTTTAAGGAAATCCTCAAGTCATTTCAGCTTGGTCTTCTCCACTGCCTCCAGCTACATGCAACCAGACATGCAGTCCCATAGTAAAAGCTCACTGAAGGATTCTGTAATGTTGCCATCCTTAATGAATTACAATCAGGCTGTATTTTCAACTACTTTGAAAAGTGACTATAACTCCATTTTCCCTTAAAGCAATCTAATAAATAGTTTCAAATAATGAAAAGTATACTACATAGCATACCATACTTCAGGCACTAATTAAAAATTGATCTCTGTTAACTAATTTGTGGTCCTAACCACCTATTTTTTTTTTTTTTTTAAGAATAGAATGTTTTTACTTAAATTCACACTTAATCCTCGTAACAATCCAGTAAGGTAGGCACAATCATTGTCCCCATTTTACTGATGAGGTAGCCGAGGTTGAGAGGCGAAATAACTTTTTCAAGATCACACATCTGGTGCATGTTAAAGCCAAAGTTTGAACCTAGGACTGTCTCCTTCAAACTTACCACAGTATAATATAAAACAATTTCCTATCCGGGCTCCTTAACTTGTCAGAAAACCCAGATTACTTTCAGACTTACCTGCTTTGGCAGCCTTTATTTCTGCTTTAATTTTCATGACTTCTTCAGCTGACAGGTCTCCCTTTTTTAAAACCACCACTTGAGGCTGTTCATCTTCTTTGTCACTGTGATCACCATCCTCATCTGGGAGCTGAGGCTGGATTCTCTAGGGGACAACAGACACAATTTGTAGGTTGCTGACCTTGAATCAAATACAACCTCTGTCTCTGCGAGAAACTGCAATTACTAAAGTGGAAAGGGTAACTTTATTGACTAAATGTGTTTGGCAATGAGTTGTCAGGTCACTTTTAAGCCTGTCAAGGAGGGAAGAGGTCTGGCTGCCAGCCAGCTACCCTGGGGTGCCTACGCAGTGGGATTAGTCTCCTTCTCAGCAGGCCCCCAGCTGCAGCGCCCAGTGTCAGGGGCCCTCTGTGTCATCTGCTGCCGGGGCTCCCAGCCTAGTTGGGACAGTGATGAACCACACCACCTCTCTCTGCTCTTCATCAACCCTCGGGCACTGCCCTCTCTTCTCAAACTGTGACAAAAAATAACCCACCACCAAATACAAAAAGCAGCAAGCAAAAGGTCCTCTCCTATCTCTGCTCATCTCTCCTCCCAATGGCTTGTTTAGGGGATACCCTATCAGCCAGTTTATAAGTGTATAAAAATATGGAAGTACATAAAACATTGTGTTTACAAACAGGCTACTGTACATACTACTATGTGATGTGATTTCTTTTTTTTTTTTTTTTTTTTACAGACTTTATTTTCTACAGATTGGGGAGGGAGAAAAAGAGGGAGAGAAACATCCATGTGTGAGAGAATCATTAGACAGTTGCCTCTCACACATGCCCCAAGTGGGGACGGCCCGCAGGCCAGGCATGTGCCCTGACCTGGAACTGAACCGGAACCTTTCAGATGGCAACCAGGGCTGATGTGCTTTCTTTTCTTTTTTAAATTATGAGGTTTCCCAAACATGAAAAAGTACAAAGAATAACATAACAAACCATGTATACACATAATAGGTGGTAACATTTAGTCAGTTGATTCAGATTTTTAAAAATATGTCAGATACCATAAAAGCCCCACCTCCTAACTTTTTACTCAAACACTATCTTTGCACCATACCTTGAGATACATATGGAAGGATCTTTTTAAAAAGATTTTATTAATTTATTTTTATAGAGGGAAGGGAGGAAGAAAGAGAGGGAGAGAAACATCGATGTGTGGTTGCCTCTCACGGGCCCCCTAATGGGGACCTGGCCCACAACCCAGACATGTGCCCTGACTGGGAATTGAACCGGGGGCCCTTTGGGTCACAGACTGGCACTCAATCCACTGAGTCGCACCAGCCAGGCTGGAAGGATCTATTTTTAAAAATCACTGCCTAGTACTTAATTGTACACATGGTCCTCTCATGGTTTGACCAGTACCTTGTAAATAAAAATTTTGCTTGTTTCTGGTTTTTTTTTCCCCCACTATGATACAAATTTTTCACATATTTTGGTTCACTTTTGCAAACTTATATGTAAGATAAATCCTTGGGAGTGGAACTGCTGGGATGAAAGTCTTGCACACAACCACGCATTATTCAAACTGCTTGTTGGCCCATCTCTCACAAAGCGTTCCTTGTCCCCCAAAGAGGACAACAAAGCCCTGCCTGCTCTGCCTTTGCCCTGTCACCTGTCAGAGCGCTATCGCCCACCGTGCCCCCGGCCTCTGAGCTCCAGCCAGCTTTGGATACTGCAGATCACGGACACACAAGATCCTGCGCCTACCCTCTCTCTGAAGTTCTCAGGGCCTAGAAAACCCCACTGACCCTGCCTAACGCCCACTCAAGCTGCCTCCGGGCCTAGATCCTTCAGCAGCGCTTCCCTGATCGCACCTCTCCTTTCTCACACTGTGCACGGCGCTCACAGGGAGCAAGCGCCACACCGTGTTATCAGTGTTTTTCTCTCCGTCCCCACTAGATGAGCTGTTTTTATCTACAACAAAGCACAGAAATAGATCCAGAGCATTCCTCCAAAAAGATGTTCCAGACTCAGGGCCTACGACATCGGGTCATTTCATCAAGTGGCTTCAGTTTATCTGGAAAATGGGGCCCCGCTAACAATGGGTTTTGGGATATGCGAGTGAGAGACAGGAAAGTGATCTTTCTTCACTATCTACCAGGGACGAGGCGCTTTGCCTGCGTCAAGGCATTGGCGAGACCTGAGCAGCCCTCTGAAAACGACAGTTTTCTGGGCGCAAGAGGCTGTAGTCGTTCGACCTGCCTGGGGTCCGGGGCCCCCTCGGATCGAGGGCCGGGCGCGGGTGAGGGGAGTGACCTGTCAGTACCTGGCCTCCAAGGCTAAGCAGATGCCGGAAGTGGCGGGGCGGGCCGCGTTTCCGCGCCGCGACTGGCCCGGGCTCACCTTGGTCTCTACGGTGGGCCCTTCCCTGTAGCCGACCCGTTCCTTGAAGCGGGCTAGGAACGCCGGCTCGGCTGGCCGCACATAAGACACCTGGTTCCGTTTGCTCATGGTCGCTCAGGGGAAGACGGGTCCCCCGCGGGCCTCAAGATTGTGCAAAGGCGACGGCGCCTACTCGTGACCTCACTTCGGTCCCGCCTCCTGGCGTACGGTCGGGCAACATGGCGGCCTCGGTGCGTGCGTCAACGTCGGAACAGGGCGCCAAATTCAAATTCGCGGCCATCTTGAACGAGCGGAATCCCGGCTCGCAGCGCGCCTGGAGGTGTGGGCAACTCTGCGTTGGTCTCAGGATCCAGGGGTGAGGGCGCCATGGCGCCCGGCTCCAAAAGTAAGTATGGAGCCCCGGGCTTCGTTGCCCCGTCCCTGCCCCCGCCCCCAAATACAGCGTTGAAAGAATGGCCGCCGCCGGCCTCCTGCTGGGTGTGAAAGGAGGGAGTCAACTGAGCGGCTGGGGGTGCTTGGAATCTCTTTGTCCCTCAAAGACTCTGACTGAACAGCTTTCTTCCCTTCCCGCGGTGTGTGGGGCGCACGCTGTGAGCCAGGACAGTCCGAGCCCCAGGGGCGGAGCAGTGAACCAGAGACGGGGCTCTCCGGGAGCGCGGCTTGTTCTTCCCTCTCCTCCCGTTTCGGAGCTGGCCTCTCCCGAGGCTCGGCCCTGGCTCTCACCACCTTCTGTGTATTTCCACACCGCTCACCTTCTGAAGGGGAGGACATGCCCATGGTCCAAGCACATCTTTCTCCTTGGAGGGCCCAGGTGTATGGACTCTCTTAGATAACATTTCTTTGTAGTCTTAAAATTCGTATTTTCTCCCCAAGAAGACCCATCCAATTTCTCCCGGGTGTCATAGAGAGGAGCGCTGTCATTTTTACTTTTGACAGACCCTTTCACTTTCTCTAATACCTTGGTCCTTTACTGTGCCTGTGTACTACACGCCCCACCTCTTAGAAGACCTTTAAAAGTCTTGTTTTCTTAAAGCTGATTTTGAGCAGCTCTGATAACTCTCAGTGAGCAGCATGAAGGTGGGGAGAAGCCTCAGAAGACTGAAGAAACTGAACTTTTGGTGTTCGTGCCTTCCGGCCACGTTAATGCTTCTAGCTGTCCATTGTAATTCTACTTCTACTACCCCTAGCAAACATTTCGTTCCGGAATTTTAGATTTAGAGAAGAGTGGTGCACATGTCCAGAGCAGTATTCCGCCGATCACTAGCCCTCTCTGTGAACCGCTCTTCTCTGGTTTTGGCTCCCCCAGCTCTGAACCTGTAGCGTTCACGCCTTCGCCTCCCCTTCCCCCACTAGCGCTAAGTGACAGCTAATCTGCTTTCTGTCTAGTCGTTCTGTTCATCATTCAAAGGGGCGTATGGAAGTTTCCAACTATTATTATTGAGTTGCCTATTTCTCCCTTCGGTCCATTTTTTGCTTCATGTATTTTGATACTTTGTTATTAGGTGAATATATGTTTATATTTGTATTGCTTTCCTAGAGAATTAACCCTTTTATCATTAAAAATGTCCCTCTTTCTCTCTGGTAATGTTTTTGTTTTTGCTATTTTAAAGTCTATTTTGTCCAACATCGTATAGCCACCCCAGCTCTCTTGTGGTTGCTGTTTGCATGAGGGATCTTTCTTCACCTTTTTACTTTCAGTCTGTTTGTATCTTTGAATCTAAAGTGTGGTTTCTGTTGGTGGTACATAGCTGGAAAGTGTTTTCTCATGTAGTCTGACAGTCTCTTCATATGTTATTATTGATACAATTGGATTTATACCTGCTGTGTTACTTTTAGTTTTCTATGTGTCTTGTGTCTTTTACTTTCCTCCATTCCTCCTTTACTCCTTTTCTTTTCTTTTTTTTTTTTTTTGGTGGTGGTTGCTCTTCAGTCTGGAGTGGAGTCTCCAATTCACTGAGCTGGGAGGGAGGGAGTGATCTTGATTCAACTAATACAGACTTTCACCTTTCTTACGGAATTTTCAAAAATTTTCTTGACTTCATTTGCTGTTTGCCTTTAGGGCCATTTCTAGAGGCTTTAAATTGGTGTTTTGGTTTTGTTTTTTTTTTTTATTGCACTAGTTACACTGGGTAGTGGGTCAGAGGCGTTCCTCACGCTGTCTTGCTAGATGTTAATCTCTGGCATTTTTTTTGAAAGATTTTATTTATTTTTTGTTAGAGAGAGGGAAAAGAAGAAGACAGAGAGGGAGAGGAACATCGATGGGTTCTCTCTCACATGCGCCCGACCAGGAACCTGGCCCACAACCCAGGCGTGTGCCCCGACTGGGAATCAAACCAGCAACCTTTCAGTTCACAGGCCAACACTCAATCCACTGAGTCACACCAGCCAGGGCTCTGGCTTTTTTAAAAAACAGAATCACACTGCCTGTTGGTTGAGAACAGAAGGGAGTTGCAGAATGAGGGAATGAAAGAAGCAGGGAGACTACTGTAGTCACTCAAGTACGGGACATGGCTGACTTGATTCTGTGGTGGTCACGGCAGTAGATTTGACAAGAAATTGCCGAATTCTGGATGTATTTGGAGGTAGAATCAAAGATTGGCTGACAGATGAGATATGAGTGTGAGAAGGAAATGGTTAGGAATGACAGGTTTTGACCTGAGGAATTGGAAAGGTGCAGTTGTCATTAATTGGGATGGAGAAGTATAGCGGGAGGGGTGATCAGGAGTTCAATTTGGACACATTATATTTGAAATTGCCTATCGAATTGGAGATGTCAAGCAGGCAATAAGATGTGGTTCCAGGAGAAGGTTTAAATCTGGGAATCATCAGTGTATGTACAGCATTTAAAACCATGGGACTGAACGGCACCAGCGGAGGAGGTATGGGGAGAATAGAGGAAGGCCAAGGCCCCCGAGCACCTGCTGTCAGGAGCCCAGGGAGCTGGGGAGACTGAGGAGCACTGTCAGCAACTGAAGAGCAGGCTTGATAAAAATGGGATTTTTATATTTCACTTTTAAGCACCTTTAATGATATATTTTTTTCCTAGATGAGTTACGCAATGTGACGAATTGTCAATCTAACCAGCCAAGGTAAGGAAAAATCTTGTTAATGAGACCAAAACAATTAGGGATATAGTTTTTCCTAAGATAACCCTTCAGCATAATAAGGGTACTTGAAACAAGAGGTGCTTGTTTCAGAATTAAGCTTGGGCCTTGGCTACCTGGAAGTATCACATTGCCCCACCCTCTGCCCTCTTACCTTCCAAGCTAAAAGACAGAATCAGTAATTCTCCCTTGGGTGATTCATTTTATTATTGCTGTTGGAGGGAAATTAGGGACAAGCAATGCTTGGAGCTCCTTGGAACCAACTCCCTGTGAGCTGATTTCAAATTAAGGCTTGTGAAGGTAACTGTCCTGAGGCAAATGAGGAAAGGGTGTGGGTCTTGCGGGACTCTTACAAGAGGTATATGGAAATGGAGTGAATGTTGGGCTGGGCTGGAGAAACTCTGAGTATAGAAACATTAGAGGCAGTATGAGCCTCAGATTTTTTTTTTTAGTTTTCTTTTCTCCAGTGAACTCAGCTGCTGCATTTTTGGTCTTTAGTAATGAAGGTGACGCCATCAAAGTTTTTGTGCGGATTCGCCCACCTGCAGAGGGTTCTGGATCAGCTGATGGGGAGCAGAACTCTTGCTTGTCTGTGCTGTCTTCCACGACGCTCCGGCTGCACTCCAACCCCGAGCCCAGGACCTTCACCTTTGATCACATTGCTGGCATGGACGCTACTCAGGTAAGGGTAATCTTGGACACTTAAGTTTCCGTTTGGAGCATGTAAGATTCTGTTGTTTGTGAGGATTTTGTTTTTGGTTTTGATGGCTCTCCCATAAGGAAGCTCAAACATTCCATAAATATTTTAAATTTAATTTTATTAAATTTTTCTTCCTTCATAAACCAGAATGACGAGTCTGTTTCACTGTTTGTGTCCATCCAGTGATGGTGGTTAGCCAAGGTGTGCTTTTCAGAGCCTCTTGGATGATTGATAAATACAGTGGAACTCTGTAGTTTAAGGAGGGTTCTTAATCACCACTGGCAGCTGTAACAAAAGTATCATAAACTGGGTGGCCCAAACAAAAAACATTGATTTTCCACAGGTCCTAGAGGTTGGGAAGGCCAGGAGGTCCAGGGTCTGGTGAGACCTCGCCTCCTGGCTTGTAGACACCTGCCTTCTCACTGTTGATGGAGGAGCGGAGAGAGAATGGGAGAGTAAAGGAGAGAGGGAGACCTAATTACCTCTCAAAGGCCCATCTCCAGATACCATCACATTGGGGATTAGGGTTTCAACATACACATTTTGGGGAGGACACAAACATCCAGTCCATAACAAAGAAAGATAGATTTAAGATTACTGTGTCAATAACTGCATTTCTAATTAAGGACAGTTTAGTTAACATCAAGTCAGCACTATCCAATAGAACTTTCTGCAGGAATGGAAATGTTCTGCATTTGTACTGTCCATTACAGTAGCCTCTAGCCATGTGTGGCTGTTTAAAGATTAAATAAAGTTATAATTCAGTTTCTCAGATGCACCAGCCACATGTGGCTGTTGAGCACTTGAAATGTGACAAGTGCATCTGAAGACCCGAGTTTTAAGTTTTATTGAATTCTAATTAACTTAAATTTAATAATCACCTATGAGTAATGGCCACTATACTGGACATCACAGCTCTTGATTATTCTCTATACGCATGGATGTTTTTGGCAAGACATTAGATCTTTAGTTTTTGTTGTTTTTTTCATCTAGGGCATGGCTGAACAATGGAAATATAAAGTGAGCCACATATATAATTTAAAATATTCTAGTAGCCACATTAAAAAATGTAAAAAAAGAAAAAGAAACAGGTAAACTTAATTTTAATTCTGTATCTGATTTAACCATGTATATGGTTAACCAAAATATCCTTTTGGTTACCTATGGGTAACCAAAATATCCTTTCAACACAAAATCAACATAACAAGTTATTAATGAGATGTTTTCTTTTTTTCTTTCATGTTCAGCGTTCCAAATATGCTATGTATTTTACACTTACAACACATCTCACATTGGAGTAGCCACGTTTCAGGTGCTCAATAGCCATGCGTGGCTCATGGCTACTATATTAGACAGTGCACGTCTAGGAATTTGTGCATTATTGATAAGACTGCACCTACTTGTATGTTAAAATGAAAATAAAAATGAGACATTTATTAGTACAAGCCTGTGAAAAAGCACTGATATACATATTGGACTATACATTTTATGCTAATACAAGTGTAATTGCATGCAATGTTCGTTATATAGAATAAAGTTCTATATAATGTCTAGATGTGAGCTTTAAATCTGTAATTGTGTAGGAGATTAATGACACAAATATGTTTCAAATTTTGTCATTTTAGATGTTTTAGCCTTTTTTCTATAGTGGATAGTATTTTCATGATATCACAAATGTTAAAAAATCTAAGCACATAACTTTTGTTGTATTTTAGAATGTAGTTTAGGAAAAATGTTTTTCTTTTTATGAAATGTTAACATATTTGGTGCTTGCATTTGTAGGAGTCTGTGTTCTCAACTGTGGCCAAAAGTATTGTGGAGTCTTGCATGAGCGGTTATAATGGCACCATCTTTGCATAGTAAGTGTGTCTTTATACAAGGTTACAATCATGGGTGCTTCCTATGGCTGATGTAACAAAGTACCACAAACTTAGTGGTGAAACAAAGCAAATTTATTGTGTCACAGTTCTATAGGCCAGAAGTCTGGCATGGTCTTACTGAGCTAAAATAAAGGTGTCAGCAAGGCTGTGTTCCTTTCTGGAGGCTCTCAGGGAGAATCCATTTCCTTCACAGTACAGGCCACTCACATTGTTTGACTTACAGCCCCCTTTCTCCATCTTCAAAACCAACAACATGCAACTTCATCTCTTCCTAAGTCACATCTCCCTCTAACTAGAGATGGGACAGGTTCTCTAATTTTAAGGACTCGTGTGATTAGATTGCCCCCACCTGCACAATCACCTGCAGAAGTGTGTTTACTTATAATAGGTTCTTGAATAATACCATTGAGTTATAACTTTGGTAAGATGCCACAGGAACTTAACTCTTGTATCCTGATTAGGCTATGGTAAAACTGGTTTTGTTGTATGTTGGTTTCACTTAAAGTCGAAGAACGTATCGACAACATTAAGGACTTACTATATTTGGAATTCTGTAAGGAAGATTTGTCTCTTCTCCCCCCATTTATTTATATATATATATATATATATATATATATATTTGATATGGACGCAGGTGTATTTATACCTTGGGTTATATTATATTCAGTACTATATTATGTTTATCTTGTTGCTCATACTGTTCTGTCTTGGCCATTGAAACTGTTTGAGGTTGAGGTCTACAGACATGTCATATCCTTTTGGGTTTATTAGCACTTGCCTACTTTCTAGTGCTACAAGATGCTCCTGGCTCTTCTTATATTTTCCCTGTCCTAGGCCTAAGATCAGCCACTTGCCAGAGAGCCCTGATTCCTTTTACTGGAGAATGGTACTAAGGAACCAAGATCTGGGCACTAGGTGTGTCTGTTGCTACTGGGGTATCATTGCTTCTCAGCCTTCTCAAGCAGAGCTAGGTAATATATATACTAAGTCATGTATACAGATGTATCTGTAGTTGCTTCTTTGTCTCTCCATTTGTATATGTTAAGCTAAACAGCAGTTCATACTGATGTCTCTGACTCTAATCCAAAGATTCAGAATTCACATGGGTTCATTCTAGAACCCAGTGAATCCACAGGGTTCATTCTAGTCTTTCTTGTTTATCTGTAACTTCCCACGCTGGCAGTGAGAAGCCTGGCTGCCACCTTCTCTCGTCCATTTACCCATTTGTTCAACCCCAGGACCCCTGTGAGAAACAGATTTAATGAGCACAGTGTTATGTACAGACCCTTTTATTGTCTTAAGCCTTAACAGTTTCCAGTCAAAGCCTCATTTTCGGAAGTTGCTTAGGTCAGCTCCTCCTCTGCCCGTCATCCCTTGCAGTGCGAGTGTGACGTGCTCTTGCAGTGCAGCTGCATGCGTTCCATCCGGAGGTCTCTCACATCCCGGGTGGTATGTTTTGCTTGTTCATTGAGTCTGCACACTTTAAAGTTCATCTTTTGTAGTGTACAGCTGTGTAGTGTTTTCAGGCAGTCATGTACTTACCACCCAGTACTGAAGAGAACAGGCCCAACTGTCGGTCCCTTCTGTAGTCAGCTCCTCCCTTCCCACACTCCTGACATGCAGGGTATAATAACATATTTGGTGTTCTTATGGCTTTGCCTTTGTAGAATGTCGTATGAAGGGAATCATATGATATGTAGCCTTTGGATTGGCTTTTTTCTTCCTAGTAAAATGCATTTAGGATTCATCTATGTTGTTGAAGGCATCAATAGTATATTCCTGTTTTGCTATTTTTTTGGTACCACTGTTTATCCATTTTCTTGCTAAAGGATGTCTTGGTTGCTTCCAGTTTTTAGTGATTATACATAAAAATGCTGCAAATATTAGAATATTGGAGTGATGATCCTGAATTTCTAAATGTTGGCAAGCCTTAAAATAATTCTAGAGATTTAATGTTGGAGTATCAGCTGGAGGGCCAGAAAGAATTGAGACAACCTTGGCAGTTATACAAGGTGAATTTTAGTATCGTTTCATAAATAGAAATGTAATTTGTAATGTAATTATTCTTTTCCTTTTCTTCCAGCAATAGGCTGTAAGCATTAAAATTTCTTTAAAAACTTTCAAAAACTTTTATTTTTAATTATAATTGACATACAATATTCCATTAGTTTCAGGTGTACAACATAATGATTCAACATTTATATATCTTAAGAAATGACCACCATAGTATGTCTAGAGCCCGTCTGTTACTGTACATAGTTATTACAATGTTATTGACTATATTCCCTAAGCTGTATAGTACATCTTCTTGACTTATTTTCCCCTTTTCTGACTATCCCTAGCAATAGACTTTGATTTTTTTATCTTCACCTAAGGACATGCTTATTGATTTTAGAGAGAAGGGAAGGGAGGATGCAAGAGAGGGAGAGAAACATTGATGTGAGAAACATCGATTGGTTGCCTCTCCTATGCACCCTGTCCAAGTCCAAACCTGCAACCCAGGCATGTGCTCCTACCAGGAGTTGAACCAGTGACTTTTCTTTGCACTTTGAGGGACACCCAATTGAGCCTCACCGGTCAGGACTCTAGCAATAGACTTCTAAATTTTATCTATATCTAGAGGTTTTCAATAGGATATAGCAAATTATATAATTTATTTTGAGTAGCTGATGCTTTGTGTGTGTGTCTGATTCATCTATAATTGGCTCAAACCACAAGAAAATAAGTAAATTAAGAAGTTTAAAGCTTAGGTTCATATTGTATATACATTTTTCCATGACAATTTGCCTTTGCCTTTTGTAATTTTTTAGTGGCGTTCAGCAGAACTAAATGTTCTCCTGAGCAGTGAGGCAGATACCTATTTTCTCATTTGTCATCTCAAGAAAAGAAACATTTTTCTTTCCACAGAATTTTTTGAGCGGTAAAATTAAAAAATGAATTTGAAATAAAAGCTACGATTGCCAGAGATTATATATCTTTAAAAGTCTTTTCTTCGAAGACACTGTAGGCACACTAATTATAATATTTAATTTGTAGAATATTAATTAATAGCTTAATGGAAATTGCTTTTGGTGATTGAGGGAAGATATGAAAAACTCTCAGAGAAATGAGTGATTTATTTGTTGGGTGAGCATACTTTCCGGTTTACCTAAGACAGTACAAATTCTAGAGTAATTGTTAATACTGTCCCCTCTGCTCTCAGTAGGGGACTCAATAATAGTCCATTTCTCATTCTGAGTTACTAAAGACCTTTTTTTTCCTACCTTCACAAGGAAGAGGCAAATAACTAGGCTATACTATTTTCAAACTTTGGGGACATTGAACCAAGAATTAAGAATATAAATTCAGAATTTTATATTTGTGCTATAAATCCAAGCTAAAGGCATTTGATACCCTGATTGACCTCTATCTTCAACATAAACTTTTTTGAGTTTTTTGTTCATAGGATAACTGAGGAGCTATGACACTATAAACAAAAAATAAGCCTATCACCCTGACCGGGTAGCTCAGTTGGTTACAGCATGGCCCCATACACCAAGGGTGAGGGTTCCAGCCCCCGGTCAGGGCACATACAAGAATCAACCAATTAATGCATAAATAAGTGGAACAACAAATCACTTGGTTTCTCTCTTAAACCAATGAATAAAATGTATTTTTTAAAAAATTAAGTCTGTAGCATAAGGATTTTAAAAATTGCTTTATTTTTAAATGAAGACATTTTAGTATCTTACAGGCAGAATTTAAGAAAGAAATTGCTTCATTATTTAGAATAGCAAAAACTGGAAACAAAAGTCTTGTTTGTTCTGGTTAAGTAAATTATACTTTGAAGAATATCGTGCAGCTAAAAAAAAAATGAAGTAGATAGATCTCTATTGACTTAGGGAAATATCTGAAGTAATATTTAGAGGGGGAAAAAAAGCCAGGTTGCAGAGCAGTCTTTAAGCGCAGCGTTCCACCCTAGGTGCTACAGCTCAGTGGGTCTAGGGCTGGCCTGCGAAGCAAACGGTTACCAGTTTGATTCCCGATCAGGGCACATGCCTGGATTGCAGTCCAAGTCCTCCGCAGGGGGCACACTAGATGTAACCACAAATTGATATTTCTCTCCCTCCCTTCTCCTCTCTAAAAATAAAAAAAAAAAATTTTTTTTAAAAGAACATTGTTTCAGTATTGTAAATGAAAACTCTGATGAGTGTGTTGTACAACCTGGAAGCATTTATTGGACAACAGTGGTTAGGTCCTAGTGGTAGAATAGGAGAGAAAGAAATTGAATCGTTTACTTTTTACCTAATGTTACTCAAAGAAAGAAAGAAAATCAGCCTTTTGTGGGGAAAATTTATACATGAGTAGACCATATTGAAGTAGGAGAGTAGGCTTACAAATTTCATATGGAAAAATAATATATAACACATTCTTTTTACAGTGGACAGACTGGCTCAGGGAAAACATTTACTATGATGGGTGAGTAAATTAAAGATTAATATTTGCTGGCTTAATCTACTCTTTCTGTGATGATAACCCCTAGCACATTTTTGGGGAAGGTATAATTTTTATATGTATATAATTTTGACCTCATAAAATTAGGAGTATTTCCCAGGCTTCTGTCAGACTTGAGTTCCATGACAGCAAAATCCATGTTTGCATCTATGTTCCCAGCTCAATGCCCAGCACAAAGTAAGTGCACGATAAACAATCTTTGAATTGTGTTCAATTAATTTTTATATATTTATGTACCTGTATAACCACTACCCAGATACAGATTCCTATCCGTGCTGTCCCCTGAAGTAGATATTGCTCTGAGTTCTATCATTATTAGTTTTGCTTGTTTTGGAACTTTTACAAATGAAACTTTACTGTATGTACTCTGTAATGTCTGGCTTCTCTCAGCACTAAGTTTCAGGATTCCCTTCTATTGTTGCATGTTCTATTACTGTAAAAGTATATTGTAAAATTATACCACAATTTTCCATTCTACTGTTGATAGACATTTGGATTATTTCCAGTTTGGACCACATGGATAATGCTACTATGAACATTTTTTTCTTGTATGCATCTTTTAAAGTCATTTCTGTTGGATATATATCTAGGAGTGGAATTGCTGAATCACAGTATAGGTGTATTCAGGTTAGAAAAAACTGCCAACAGTTTTCCAAAGTGATGTATAGAAGTTACAGTGCTCCACATCCTTATATACATTTGATTCTGCCAGTGTGGAAAATGTTAGCCATTCTTGAGTATGTGAAGTATTCTCTTACTGTGTGTTTATTTGCTCTTCCCTGATGTCTAGTAACAGCTGAGCATCTTTCTTATGCTTATTGGAGATTGAATAGCCTCCCTGTAAACGGCCCACTAAAGGCTTTTTTCCATTTAAAAAATTAGCTTGTCTTTTTTTTACTCATTGGTGGTGACTCTTTATAAAATAGATATGGCCCTTTGTCTATGATACAGATTACAGGTGTCCAAATTTCAGGGTTTTCAAAAATAGTTTCTGAAGTGTAAGTTGTAATAGGAAAGGTCTCCCCCTCTCGGAGGCAGTAACGATAGACAGCTGAGCTCTGACAAGGTGCCAGGCTCCCTTCGAGGCTCTGAAAGACCCCTTGAGGACAAGGGCGAGCCCGGGAGCTCCGCTAGTGGAACCTGCATTCGGGGCGGGCGCGCAGTCGGAGGCAGGGAAATGCCTGGTGATTATGCCGGAGGGAGGAAGTGCCGTGGAGAGAAGAAAGATGGTGGAAAAGAGCGGGGCGTGGGGGCGCTGTTACAGGCAGGCGAGTGCGGGTGCGAAAAGGCCTCTCGGGACGTGACATTTAAATAGAATTACTAAGTGGAATGAAGGTGAGCCATGAAACTATGTGGGAGGAGAATCTTGGAGGCAGAGGGACTGTCAGTGCACAGGCCTCGGGTGGGAGCCCGGCGAAGGGTGTCGGAGGGACGGCAGGAGAGCCCTGGGCCTAGGGGGCAGCCTTCCCGCGGGAGGGGCTGGCGTACGCGGAGGCCAGGCCACGGAGGGCCGGGCAAGCGGCTGGGATTTTGTTTTGCCTGTGACGGACAGACATTGGAAGGTTTTGATATATGTTTTTTTTTTTTTTTTTTTTTTTTTAAAGAATTGCCTGTGTAATTGAGAGGGCGGCGTCAGGCAGCTGAAGGGACTGGAGACCGCAGGAGGGGCTGGGTTAGGGGCTGCCGCCGCGGGGTCGCGCAGGAGACGGTGAAGGGGCGGTGAGGCGTATGCCGGCCGGCTCCGGTTTTAACCAGAAAATGTTCTGAAGTTAGCTGCACATCCAGATATCGTTTGTCCTTTTTGTTCATTTACTTGCATTCTTCTACCAGTGTGATAGATATTTTTAAGGTATAAGGACTATTTCATATGTTCCAGGAATAGCACACCAAGACAATGATAATATTGAAAATATTTTCTGTACCTTTCTTGCATACACCAGTCTTTTGTTAGTTCTTTTGGTCTTTAAGGATGTTAAAATTTATAATAACTTCAGATCTTTTCTAGCTACAGCTTTTTTTTCTGGTATATATAGCTATAGCAGAATTAGTATTTTGTAAAATCGTGCTATTTACATATCCACTCACACCTTCCCCTTTCCCCAGTGTTAACAGCATTGTTCTGTCTCCATAGAAATCTTTTGGAATATTCCTATAGTATCTTTCTTACCAGCTTGGCTTTTACTGCCAAATTTAAAAAATACTAGCTAATGCTAATTTTCGGTAATTACCTATGAAGTGGTTAATACCATTATAATTCCATTTTACAGTTAGGAACTCTGAGAGAAGCAGTTAGCCTGTGACCACACAGCCAGTGTGAACAGGGCAGCCCATGCAACCAATTGTCATATGTAATAAGTAAAGTGCAATTTTGGGGTGTTTCTGCTCATTTTGGTACCTGGCAGCAGGAAAAATTGCAAGCTTGGTAACTTAGATGGTTTTTAAACTTACTAAACAACAGCTACTTTTTAGATCTGGTTTAGAGTGGTTATTGTGGGTTTTTCCCTCAGTCCCATTGATAGACATGTTCTATTAGATGATCTCTTTGAGGCTCAAATTTAACTTATTTGGCGTCACAGGTAGGAAACATTATAAAATGTGTTGGCTCATTTCTGTCTGAATTGCATTTCAGTGTTGCCATTTTGAAGGACTCCTGTATTAAGAACAAAAATGAACAGCTATATATTTTACATTTTTTAGGACCATCTGAATCTGATAATTTTTCTCATAACCTGCGAGGAGTAATCCCACGAAGTTTTGAATATTTGTTTTCCTTAATTGATCGTGAAAAAGATAAGGTAAAACTTCCTGTAAAAAAAAAAAGAGCAATTCTGTTTTGAGAAGTTAGCTACTAGTCATGACACATGGAGGGGGTGGTATTTTAGAGTGGACAGGCTGGTGTTTTTATTTTCTGAAAGTTTTTAGTTTATAAAACATGTATCATCCATGAACCCAGATTGCTGGTTTAAAAGAAGGAAGGACGTAGTGCTTCCTAAGCTTTCAGATTTTGGAAGAGGAAAAGTGTAAAGGAAGTGTGAACTAAAGGAACAAGTTCACTAAGCTTCATCACCTGCCTTACTACACTCACAGCTGACTGCAGATGTTCATAGATCCTCATGACATCCAGTAGTGACAGGTCCTTCGTTACTGCCTTTGCTGCGCCTGCTACCACCTGACTGTGATCTCTGTGCTCACGGTGGTGTGGCTTTGTCATCCTGGGGGTGTGGGCTTCCCTTTGCCATTGGCTCCCAGGTTGGGCCATTCTCACACTTGTGCCGCTTTATCTTGGTGAATTCCAGGCATAACAGCCCTTAGTGTTCTCTGTTTTAAGCAGTCTGAGGTATGTATAACATTTATTCCTTTGCAGAAACTTCCTAACCACCACAGTTAGACACACACGTTGCATGCCAGCGAAATGTTTAGTGCCGTGCATTTCTGTGGTGAAAAATTCAGTAGAGCCTTGGCAGGTATGGTTCAGTTGACTGAGTGCTGGCCTGCAGACCGAAAGGTTGCCGATTCAATTCCCAGTCAGGGCACGTGCCTGGGTTGTGAGCCAGGTCCCCAGCTGGGGGTGTGTGAGAGGCAACCAGTAGATGTTTCTCTCGCATATCAATGTTTCTCTCCCTCTCTTTCTCCCTCCCCCGCTAAAAATAAATACATAAAATATTTTAAAAACTTTCAATAGGGAGGTTTTCAAGATAAGATATTTTTAGTCTTTTAAAATATATTAACACCTGCTTCAAATAAAACTTTATGAGGAAGTCCAATATATAAGAGATAAAAATGAAATTTCCCAGCCCTGGCTGGGAATTGAACTCACGACCTTTCAGTTTACAGGATGATGCTCCAACCAACTGAGCCACACTGGCCAGGGATAGGGTTTGTTTGTTTGTTTGTTTGTTTTAATTGACTTTTAGGTATCTTTTATGGTGTAAAGGATAAGAGTGTAGAAAATTTACACTTGTGAAGCAAGTGAAAGATTAATGCTAATGAAAGGTAGGGATGGATACATGAAAATAATATATCTAAAACCAGGCTTCTCCTCACAGGCTGGAGCTGGGAAGAGCTTCCTTTGTAAGTGTTCCTTTATTGAAATCTACAACGAGCAGATCTATGACCTGCTGGACTCTGCATCGGCTGGACTGTACTTAAGGGAGCATATCAAGAAGGGAGTCTTCGTTGTCGGTGCTGTGGAGCAGGTGGTGACCTCAGCTGCCGGGGCCTACCAGGTATCTCGTCTTGAGCGATGCACCTTGATCTCAACAAAAGCAAGAATTGAGCTATTATAATACTTTGTAAAGGCATAACACAGAATGTTCATGAGAAGAAAAAAAAAGAACATGACGGTGTTTTATAGCTCTCCCCTTCGTTAAAGCAGAACTTCATGCCCCTCGGTTTTGCACTATTTCTGTGCTCTTCATACCTGTCAGGCTCTCTCAAAAACCAGCCTGGGTGACATGGGGACATTTCGTAGTGTCCATATTTCTTTAGCGGTTCCTCTTGGGAGCTGCTGCTTTGAAGAGCTGCTGGGATCTGTTCTCTAAATCAGCTGTACATACTATGCCCTTGCTACTCAAAATATAGTTCTCATACTGTGCGTATCACCTGGGAGCTTGATACAAATGCAGAACCTAAGTCCTTACCTTACACTTACTAAATGAGAATATGAATTTTAACAAGATTCCCAGGTGATTAGAATGTGTATTACAGATTGAGATGTTCTGAGCTTTGAAAACGTTCCACTGGCCTCAGACCACACAACTAGTGAATAGCAGAACCAGGGGTTGACCTCATGTTCACCTGGTTCCAGAGCCTGCAGGCCGAGCCTTCATCTGTCCTGCTTGCCATAGGGAACAGGGAGGGGGAACAAATACTTGGTGGACTGAAAGAGCTGACAACACTGGGGGCGTGAAGGTCATTTTGAGATTTATCTTGTCTAGCTTTCTCATTGTCCAGGGAAGGAAAGGGTTCAGAGAGATTTTGTGATTTGCATTAAGGGAACACAAATAGAGGATGGCAGAACTGGCTCTAGGCCCCATGCCTTCTGATTGCCTCTTTGCTCTCTCTCCATAGCGCACAGAGGGGACAAGAAGGAAAGGGAAAGGAAACCGCCTTACGGATATTCCTTGCCAGAGCAGCTTGTTTTCCTCACCGCTTTTTACAGTTTTCCCCCTGATGTTGTTGGCTGCCGTGACCACTGGGAGGCTGTGACGATATGTTTCCCTCCCGCCCAGGTGTTGACTGGAGGATGGAGGAACAGGCGCGTGGCATCGACCTCGATGAACAGAGAGTCCTCGAGGTCTCACGCAGTCTTTACAGTCACAATAGAGTCGATGGAGAAAAGCAGCGAGACTGTGAACATCCGAACCTCCCTGCTCAATCTGGTGGATTTAGCAGGATCTGAAAGGCAAAAAGACACCCATGCAGAAGGGATGAGGTTGAAGGTAAGAATGGAATTATGGCCTTCAGTTGAACTTGTGTATGAATTCTTACAAGAAATCTATACCAAGTTAAGTGTTGTGAGGCCTACAAAGGAATAAGAAATTGTAAAAGATACAAACATTTTTGTTGGGTAGGGTCAATAAACATACCTGGGACAAGTCTGTCAGTAGCAAGAGTATTTGAGTTCATGCGGGAAGGGACAATATAGTACAAGTGGCAGCAGGGGCCAGACGGAGAAGGGTGTGACAGGGACTGCTTGGAGGAAGTGTGGGAAAGAGTAACTCTTGAGTTGTGTTCTCAAAGGGGCCAGGATTCGGATAGGGGGAGAGGGACAGGGACACATGCCCTTGCAGGGAGACATCTTTAGGGTGTGGCTGCAAAGTGAACGTGGCGTTTCAGCGTAGATCGAAGGATGGCTGGGTTGGCGGCGCGAGTCGGCCTAGGTCGTTGAGGACAAGTGCCTGGCCAAGTTTGTTCTCAGCTCTCCAAACACTGACAGACAAAAGTTTTGAGTGATTTCATGCAAAAGGCCAGTTCTGTAAAAACGTAGCCGTCTGGCCCACCACTGCCAGGTTCCCGAAGGGGAGCCTGAAGAGAAAGCAGCTGAGCTGTGTCATGCTTTGGCAGTGAGGGTTCAGACCCAGGCGCAGGCTAGGGTGTTAGCGGTAGGGCCAGAGGTTCCCTGCCGTGACTATTGCCGGTATGTGCATGTGTATTGCCAATAAAAAACATGTGGATTCTATAGGATACTCGTATGTTAGGACTGAGGACAAGCAACCGGAAATGGTGGCGGAGGGTCTGCTTATTGCATTAGAAGCAAGGATTTGAGCCTCCTGAGATCTCAAAGTTTCAGGCAATCTCAGATTTGTGTTTGTATTGAGATAGGAAGCAACGAAAAATTGCATATGTTCATAGTAGGACATATGCCGGAACTCTTCTAAATGCTTTATATATATTAACTCAACCTTCCCATCAACTCTGGGAAGTAGGTACTATAATCGTTGCTATTTTAAAGAAACTGAATTGAATTTTTCCGGAGCACTCAGCTAAGAGCAGAGCTGAGGTTCGAACACAAGTGTGTCGTTGGGCTCCTGGGCAGTGCTCTCAGCCTTTCTGGTTTGTGGAATGACAGCTCTGACTCAGTGTGTTTGCTTTATCATTTCCATTCTTTCTCTTTTTCCTCTGCTCCCACCACTGCAGACCAGGTTATTGAAATGTGCTGCTTCCAGTAAAAATCAAGTGTCACATATTTAACCCAAACACTTTTTCCACCCAAACCACTATTTGAAAGGGTTTTCATTTTTTTTTAGATTTTATTTATTTATTTTTTGAGAGGGGAAGTGGGGGAGAAAGAAAGAGGGAAAGAAACATTAATGTGTGGTTGGTCTCTCATTTGTCCCCCCACTGAGGACCTGGCTCTAACCCAGGCATGTGCCCCGACTGGGAATCAAACCGGCCACCCTTTGGTTTGCAGGCTGGCGCTCAGTCCACGGAACCACACCAGCTGGGGCTGAAAGGGGTTTCTTAAACCCATTAGAGAATTAGTTTTGCTTGTAATTACTCCATCAGTGACTTTGTAGGACAGGGGGTAGGTCATGAATCATCACACCTTGATAATGTAGCATGCATTTTAACATAAAAGCATTGAAAAATATGCTCATTAATGCACTACTCCAACTTTTTCTTCTCTGTTCTTTTCTAGTTTTTATCCCTACTGATAGGTCACTTTAAAACTATTACATTACAGTGATGAGAAGACGCTGATTTTATGTTTTTCCCCAGACAGGATTTCTGTGTTTGTGTTTGAATACTAATATTGCCATATATGTCAAACAGGAAAAGGTTACGGGATAGTTGAGGACGTCTTTTTGCTGACAAGTTAAGTTATCCTTAACTAGTATGTCCCTGTCTTGCCTTTCTATTCAGAATTGTCATCTTTCTAGGTATATTTTAATTCAAAATACTAAAAAGAAATTAGTTCACCTAAATTTTTGTCTTTCCCGATGCCTTAGGAAGCGGGCAACATAAACCGATCTCTGAGCTGCCTGGGGCAAGTGATCACTGCGCTTGTTGACGTGGGAAATGGAAAACAGAGACACGTTTGCTACAGAGACTCCAAGCTCACCTTCCTGCTCCGGGTAAAGTGTGCAACTGGGTTCCTGGACCCTTCTTTTGGTGGTGCTCACTGTGTCTAAGAGTTGGGTAATTTCTCAGCCTTGGTGGTAAGAGTGTACATTTTCTTTGCTTAAAAAAGACCTTGCAGTTTCTCTCCTGAAAGTGTGTACATTTGTTTCATTAAACAGGACTCCCTTGGAGGTAATGCCAGAACAGCCATAATCGCAAATGTTCATCCTGGATCCAGGTGTTTTGGGGAAACGCTGTCAACGCTAAATTTTGCTCAGAGGGCCAAGCTGATTAAAAATAAGGTAAAATCCTGAGTGCAATGAAGTAAATTAGAAAAATACATAAGCTTATAGTATCTCACTTTTGTGACTGCCCTAATATTAACAGTAGCTTTTATTTATTTCACTGTGAAATCTTAGCTCTAGGCAAGATTTCTATTTCGTCTTTCCTAGCCTTCTGTATCATTCATGTAATCTGACACCTAGATTAAGTGTTATGGTTAACACTTAATACGTTTGCCTAGTTTTTTGTTTACGGCAAAGTTTTTCCTTTGTAATTGAGTTGGAGACTGAGTTGTACCTAAATTGTGGCGGAGGGGCGGGGGTGGAGTAGGTGGATTAGCGGGTGGGTGGGGGGTAGGGATTCTCCCTGAAGATAATTTGATGATGTTGAAGAAGTTGGTCTTTCATGTTGCCTCTAACTACAAGGGTCCTCCATTTTTCTTTATATACAAGAAGGCTCCTTGATATATATGTACACCAGTGGTCACAAACTTATCCTGTAAGGGACCCAAGGGTAAGCATTTTAGTCTTCTTGGACTGTATGGTCTCCGTCCCAACTACTCGACTCTGCCTTTGTAAAGAGAAAGCCGCTGTAGACAATGTCAGCATGTGGCCGTGGCTGTGTTCCAACAAGGCTTTCTAAAACGGGCAGCAGAGTGTATGTCGCCTGTGAGCGAGTAGCACTTTGCCAGCTCCTGGTGCAGGCTGACAAAGGACCAAGGAGTCCCCCACTCATTTTGGAGAGGTTGGAGGCCCCTTTGGTTCCAAATGAAAGAATCGTCATGCCCTAAATTGGAGATTAATTCCTTCTGACTTTCAAAGGAGAAATTGATCATTCTTACCCCTGAAATAGACTGCCTGATTATCTTAGCATGGCAAGAGTGAGGGGGGCCATGTTGCCTCTTCCCTAGGTCAGGAAGAAGAACGTAGGTTTAGTCATTCACTCATTTTGTTGGATTATGACCCTCTTGTCGGGCATTTGTAATATGAGGAGGAAAAATCATTAGAGCTTCCTAACCCTATCTCTTGGGACTTACTACAAGTCTTTAGAGAGTAGAGGGCTGCAGGGGTGATTAGAATTATGGGGTCACTGATGTGGCAATGATGTCAGAATGTACAGGAGTGCCTTGTAATGAGCCTGGCCTTAAGAATCAGAAGCAACCAGGAATGGCTTCTTAACACATGAAACAACAAACCCAGGAGCCTTACACTAGTCACTATCAATGGTAAGTCCCCTGTCGCAGGGCAAGTGGCTAGGATACCTGGGACTTGTCTAAGGATGAACTAGTTAGATCTTTCCTAACGCGCAGACCTGGCTTAAGAGGAAACATAAGCCCTGACCGGTGTGGCTCAGTTGGGCGTCATCCTACAAAGCAGTAGGTTACCATTTCTTTTCCTGGTCAGGGCACATGCCTGTGTTGAGGGTTTGTCCCTGGTTGGGGTGCACACAAGAGGTAACCTATTTATGTTTCTCTCTTACATTGATATGATGTTTCTTTCCCTCTCTTCCTCTCTTCCCCTCTCTCTAGAAATAAATAAATAAAATCTTTAAAAAACAACAACAAAAAAACAGGAACACCAGACCCATGGGGCTTTTTCCTCACTGGACTTTTGGTTATTTCACAACTGGGTCACTTTGATCTGGTTGGTACTCAGCTGTTGGCTCTCGTCAGCCTGTAGGTTTTGTGGGACTTTCTGAACTTCTTAGACGTCATCTCAAGTAGGATATTTCTTTAAGAAAAATTTTTTTGTTTAATTTTTGTTCAAGTACAGTTCTCTCCTTAAAGAGACAGTTCTTTAAAATAGCATTAAACATGGTGGTGAAGCAGAAGTGGAGCTGTGGCACCCGCCTCGCCCCCAGGAGGTGCCGTTGGGAAATACAGGGGCGGATTCCTGCGGAGAGGGTGGTTTCTGCCAGGCCAGGGCTCTCGGGCCAGCCCTGCAGTCCATCACAGCTTTACAGCAAGCCGAGATGGGGGCATCATACCCGCCGCTCTCCACGGGGGGCAGAGCTGCCTGTCCCAGGTCCCGGTGACCCGGCGGAGCAGGGCCCAGGGCTAGTCAACGGAGCGGAGACCTAAGTGGGAGCAGGCGGGAGGAGGCGCGGCGAGGAGCGGAAGGGTCTCGGGCTGTAGGTCTGAACACAGGGACAGGAGCCCCCTCCCAACAGCACGCTGGTCCTGCTGGCCTCTCGACTGTTTGCGAGGGAGAATCCTTCCAAGTCATACAAATGTAAACACAAGACTGTACATCTACAGAACGTTCTTTTTGTTGTTGTTCCTGTTTCTCTTTTTCTTTTATTTTTTCACAAAAGATTCCTTTAATGGTTCTTAAAAAATCTTGAACAGGCAGTGGTAAACGAAGATACCCAAGGCAACGTGAGCCAGCTCCAAGCTGAAGTGAAGAGGCTCAAAGAACAGCTGGCCCAGCTAACCTCAGGGCAGATGCCACCAGGAACCTTTCTGACCAGAGGTGAGATGCGCACAATCTTCTTTATCCAGAGGAAGACCGTGTGCGGCCACTAGTATGAGAACCCTCCAGCGACAGGCACAACCCCATAAGGCCACCCACATGTTTCCACAAGTGTCTATCTCTGTTTATTTCACCTACAGAGGAACATGGTACCTGTTCTGTAACCAGACTCTACAGTACGGAGTTCTGTGAGATATGTGGGAAGTGGCTGTAGAAATAATTTTGAATAATAAAAGTGCTAAGAAGACGTACTAATAAATTTCATTTTGATACACTTCTAAGACTCGGTTATATCATATGTAATCTATATATGTTTACTAAATAGAATGAGAGAGGCTTTTCTTGAAGGAATGGCTAATATATTGACCAGGTTCATTTAAAATCCGTGACCTGTTGATAATAATTTGATTCTTTTAGATTAGTTGAGAGCAGTCAAAGGCTGTTTTAGGTCATCTCTTAGTTTTCAGATTTGAGAGAGAAACATTTCTTCCCCTTTCCCTTTCTTACTGGATCAATTACAGACAAAGATGAGACGGATTACATGAAATATTTCCAAGAGGCAATGTTACTGTTTAAGAAGTCTGAACAGGAAAAGAAGGTAGGAAACTGAATTAGTATAAAGGGGATGCAAGATGTTTCGGGCTTTACCATGTATGTGATGGATGCCTTTCTGAGTGGAGCAAATGGCACCAGTGAGTAAAACAAAGGAAAGCTGTGAAAAATCTAATTTTGCCTTTGAGATTAAATGGGAAGTTAGTGCTTGTTGCTTAAGGAAGATGAATTATTTTTTCACGTTTAACCAAATTATGAATTTTTTTAAGTCTCTGGTAGAAAAAGTTACCCAGTTAGAAGACCTCACCCTCAAAAAAGAGAAATTTATTCAGTCTAATAAGATGATTGTGAAATTCCGGGAAGATCAAATAACACGTCTGGAGAAGCTCCACAGGGAATCGCGGGGCAGTTTCCTGCCTGAGGAGCAGGATCGTTTGCTGTCGGAATTGAGGGACGAGATTCAGACTCTGCGAGAACAAGTGAGTGCGTGACGTGTACGGCGCTTCTAAATGTAACGGAAGCCTGCGGCAAATGGAAGTTGTTACCACATTCTTGCAACACAACAGAAAGTGTTTTAAATGAATTAAACTGACAGTATGATTGTATAATCCAACCCCCCGCCCCCCCCACACACACCTTTTTTCTGAAAATAATAAAACCTGAAGGGAAAAGCACTCAACCCAGCAGGCCAAATCTGATTCACTCCTGTGCACAGCTGTGGTTGCCTGAATCTAGTCCCTTTAAAGTTTCTTTTTTTGTTTTTCCTTTTGCCTGGGAAGGATGGATAATTAATACAGGCACATCATTAAATATAAAGATGATTGGTTATCAGCTATGTGTGTCTCTCAAGAGATTTTATGCATATTCAAGGCAATATGTATACTCCTACTTTTTTTCCTTTTGCATTAAAGGCCACTCACCACACATTCTTTCCTGCACCTTGCCCCTTTCACGTAATATATCTTGGAAAGCATCTGACCCTGGTCCACAGTTTCCTTATTCCTGTCTTTTGTGTAGTTGATATAAGCAGTCTCCTTCGCATGAAGCCTTATGCGTGTCTCCTAGGTGCCTGGCTGAGAGTTTCATGGGTGCAGAGCCCAACAGAGAACGTGGAGTTGTAGGGTATACACACGTGCAGTCTGACCACAAGTGCCACGCTGCTTTCCACTGTGGTGGCAGCAGGCCACCCCCCAGTTCCTCCTGCGTCCATAAGGACACCTTTGTACATATGTAAGTCTGTACTTCTGTGTCACACAGGTAGAGCACCACCCCAGAGTTGCCAAGTATGCAATGGAAAATCACTCCCTCAGGGAGGAGAATAGAAGGCTGAGGTTATTGGAGCCCGTGAAGAGGGCCCAGGAGATGGACGCACAGATGATCGCGGTGCTGGAGAGAGCTTTCCTCGAGGCGGCCGGCACAGAGAGACATGGCAGAAGTAAGGAGGGGCTGTTGGCGCGTGCCTTGCAGGCATGGGCTGTTCTGAAGGGCACTTATGTCACTTGTGTGGAGGGTCTTCACGTTAGCCTCTAGACCTGGCATGCTCATTTCTTATATACATACTTATTCTTTTATGTTATCAAAAGGTATTTTCTATACTTCTCTCAAAAATTAGAGTAGTGCCCACCTTGGCTGGTGTGGCTCAGTGAATTGGGTGCCAGCCTGTTAACTGAAAGGTCCTGGTTTGACTCTGGTCAGGGCGCAGGCCTGGTTGGTGGGCCAGGATCCCGGCTGGGGGCGTGTGAGAGGCAGCCGATCGATGTTTCTCTCACACATCAATGTTTCTCTCCCTTTTTCCTTTCCTTTTCCTCTCTCTAAAAATAAATAAGTAAAACCTTTTAAAAAAAGAAAAAAGCAGAATAGTGCCCTGGCCAGTGTGGCTCAGTAGGTTGGAGCGTCATCCTGTAAACTGGATGGTCACAGGTTCACTATCCAGTCAGGGCGCAGGCCTAGTTTGCGGGTTTGGTCCCCAGGGGGTCGTGTACTGAGGGCAGCCAATCGATGTTTCTCTCCTCTCCCTCTCCCTTCCCCTCTCTCTAAAATCAATGGGCGTGTCCTTGGGTGAGGATTAAAAAAAATCAGATTAGTAAATTACATAGGTTAATAGATAATGCAAAGAAAAGTCCATTGCATATCATTTTGTTAATTAAAGATTGGTTAGATATTAAGTGAAATTTTCCTGTTTTAAGTATTTGAAGTAAAAAATGCTTAACTAAGTACAACATGATGAATGTAGAGTTGAGATGTTCACCCACCTAGTTACGGCCTCATGCTGCTCCCGGCAGTGTTTTGGTCCTGGTGTCACGGTTGCTGGCTGTGCTTGCTCGTGCTCACTCTGTAAGTTACACGGCGTTTCCACTAGGCTTACTTTTAATTTTGTGAAAGTGGTTTATGAGCACTGAACCTGACTTACAGGCTTGGTAGTTATTGGTGTTCATGCTCTGGAATTTAGCAGGAAAGTCTGTGGTCACTCGATTTTTAGAGAATATTTTCATGGCCTTTTATCATATTCTGTCTCAGTCTTTGTTTCTGTTTAGGATGAAATTTAGAAAGTTTTAATCTTTTATTCTGCACTCATAAAGAAGCCTGCTGTCTACTTGCTTTTTGAAATTTTCTTTTCCAAGTTTTTTCCCATTCTCTTTATGACTTAATAAAAGACTAAAATTCCCAGTCTTTGGGTTGTGAAGATACTAAGATTTTAGATACAATTTTAAAATCAGGTTTTCTGTATTTTTTCAACTACTTTTCTCTACAGTACTCTGTATTTTGTTGGCCACTTTGACCTCAATTGTACCTTGACTTGCTACCCTTGAAAAATAATAGTGGTAACTTCTGGACCCCACCATCTTCAAAACAGACGCCATTCTCTACATAACTGCTACATGATGCTTCCCCACCCTGAAACTCAGTGGAGCACTCTTCAACATGCTCAGTCTCCTAAGTAATCCCTGAAAATTAATCTCTCCTACCTAGTGGGTGATGTCAAGTTCTTTCAGCTTGCTGCTTTTGCCGTTTGTTTTCTTTCCTAAAATCCATTGGCTGTCCACAGGAGCCACTAGTACTCATTCCTGCCAGGCTCCCCTGGCGCCGTTTCTGCCCCCAGTCACGTGCGTGTGGCACTGCAGGCTCTGCCCCTAAGGGCTTGTCTTCAACCTGTCCCTGTCCCATCCTGTGGCTTCTCAGATTCTCAAAAGCAACTTCTAATGCTCTTTGTCATGTTGTGTTGTATCTGTGTCTCCTGTTGAGTCTCAGGCTCTTGTGTTTTAGGGCCCACCTTCCAACTCATTTCTCGTGTTTTCCTCCTTATGCTTCAAAATGGATACCTGGCAGAGATCTTAGAAAATGTATTCTGTTGTTTTTGTCTTTCAAAGACCAAGTTGTTGACTTATTATCAGGTCAGCAAGCATTTTCTCCTAAAGCTGCAAAAGAGCCACGTTCTGTAGCAAACACTGAGAAGCTAAAAGCACAACTTCTACAAATTCAGACAGAGCTGAATAATTCAAAGCAAGAGTATGAAGAATACAAAGAACTGACTAGGTAACGTACACATGCACATTCATGCTTACTTATTTTCTTATCTTTCTGTGTTGATTTATTTTCGGGTTTGACGTTGTCAATTTAATCCAGCATTTTACTTGAAGTATTGATTTGTTTAGGCATGAGGGAAAAGGGTTTGCTTCTAGTTTTGTTTTTACTCATTGTTTTTAAACTGAGGTATAATTAACATAAATTTCTAGCTCTTTAATAATGTATTTAATGAACTAGATAATAAGAATGTTTTAATGTTGATGTGAATGTCTATTGAACTTACATAGTAAAGAATTTTATCTGACCATATATTTAAATCACTAATGTTATGAATTAAATCTGGATTTTCAGAAATTTCAGGTTATTAATATTCTTACTTGTTCTTTGTGTAAAAGAAAACAAGTAAAACCACATTTATATTATAAGAAAGATTAACCCTATTCTAAAATACAAAAAAGTGTTTTTTAAATAACATTTCACACATGGAACCAGTATGGGCTCTTTGGGCTTTAGGTTGGAGCTCTGCCATTTACTCGCTGAGCACCTTAAACAGTCACCAAGTCTCTGAGCTGTGTTTTACCCTAAATGGAAAGCGAGGGTAATAATCGAAGAATATCTCTGATTTAAAGAGGTAACGATAAAGTTATGTGAGAGTATAAAGTACTCTACTAATGTATGATATTACTTATTACCTAAAATACTAAATTTTATAATATCTTTTAGGAAAAGGCAGCTAGAATTAGAATCAGAGCTTCAGTCTTTGCAAAAAGCGAACCTTAATCTTGAAAACCTTTTGGAAGCAACAAAAGTCTGCAAACGACAAGAAGTTTCTCAGCTGAATAAAATTCATGCTGAGACACTGAAGGTAGGTCCCCTGAAGCAGTACTGCAGCCTTCGGCCACTGCTCTCTCATTTTGTTACCAGCAGGGTCTGCACCAGCACCTCCCTGCACAGACAGAGTCTCCTGCGGGCAGGTAAGCCAGGGCGACCAGTCCCAGTGCTCTGACGCGGACCCAGTGGCCGGCAGCAGGGGAGTGCACTGTGGGGTCAGACCTGGCTTCAGATTCCCATCTGCCACTACTCTCACGAGGGATTTCCAGCTTCTGAGCCTCACCCTTATTGTCTGTGCATCGGAGAGGAGGATCATTTAATTGCTTTTTAGGTTTATTAGAGCATTAAATGAGATAATAAAGTGCTAGGCACCTGGGAATGAAAATTAAGACCCTTTCATTCCCCTCATTCGCAGTGAGGTCAGACATCTTTCTTTGTTCATTGTCCATTTGTCTCTTCTGTGAAAAAAGAGCCCATTTTTCTACTACTTGATTTGTGGGAATTTTTATGTGTTAATCTTTGTTATACCTACGGCCAATACATTCTGTCATCGCATTCCTTGTCCTTTTGTTATATAGAAATTTTAAAATTTTCATATAGCCAGGTTTACTGTTTCTTTACCTTTTTGACTTCTTTCATTCATTTTTATTTTTTCCAAAAAATTTTAAGAGATTTTATTTCCTTATTTTTAGAGAGAGGGAAAGGAGGGAGAAAGAGAGGGAGGGGAACACTGGATTGCCTCTCGCACATCCCCATCCGAGGGCCTGGCCCGCAGCCCAGGAGTGCGGTCGAACCAGTGACAATGGTTTTCGTGGGTGGGGCGGTGGCTAAGGAGTGCGGTCGAACCAGTGACAATGGTTTTCGTGAGTGGGGCGGTGGCTAAGCTGCTGGGCTGCACGTCAGGCCTCCTGCTGTTCCTTTTTAAAGGCTCAGACCATCTCAGCATCATCAGTATATAATACTTTCTTTTACTACAAATCTTCCTGCCCTTACACTGTATTTAGATTGGCCAGGGAAGTCTTCCCAATTTGTTCTTTTTATCTTCTTACACATTTATTCTTTGTATAAGGTTTGGAATCAGCCTATCAGGTTTCATTTTTCTAAATCTTACTTGAAATGCTTAAAAGTCTTCATTAGATTGATAGATTTGTTTCCACTTGGGCATTTCTGTGCTGCCTCTCAGGGATGCTTTTTTCCTGTTTATTAAGAGAATTTTAATTTTGCCCTCTCTGTTCACACAATTATTATATTTTTCATGTATGGTAATGTTTCCCATAATTATTTTTTTTACTGCAGATTATAACTACACCAACCAAGACTTACCAACTTTGGTCTCGACCGGCACAAAAGCTAAGCCCCGAAATGGGGAGTTTGGCGTCTCTGCACACTCAGGATGCTAGCAAATTAGACAACGATATCTTCAATGAGCCAGTTCCACCTGAGATGAATGAACAAGCGTTTGAGGCCATTTCTGAAGAGCTTAGAATGGTGCAGGTAATGTTTAGTTTTAGAAAAAATAAATAGACATTTATTCAAACAAATTTTCTTTATTTATCATTTTAACTCTATAATTTGCAGTTTTCAGACCTATTTGGTATCTTTCTAAGTCCTTGGCCTAGAATCCAATCTACTGTTGTCCTTTTAATTTGCTCTGCGATATTCAGCAAGTCATTTTCCAATGTCCTGAGGCTTTGGTTCTTTTATATGTAAGGAAACCAGTTTGCCACGAGCTTCAGGTTACAGAACTGGTTTGATTATCTGCTAAAAAAAGTTAAAAGTATTTTAAAGACTCTTGTTACAGATGAAATTTTAGACAGCTTTTGCTATATTTGAAATAACATGAAATTTGATTATCTCAGAATTCTGGTGATTTAATTTTTTTAGAAAAAGTTTATCTGTTGTCTAGTAAAACTTAGAATGAACCAGACCACCCCAAATTCCAAAATTTTGCCCTTTTATGGCATGGAGTCTTATCTGGTGAAGTCACTCTGTGGCCCTGAGAAAGCTCCTCAGAAATCCCAAGATGGTTGTATGGTTTAATCCATGGTTTTAATTTTAATCATTTCTTTCCTGTGTGTTTTAGTTTATCCACTTAGATCAACTACAAGTACAATTCTGAAATATGAGAAGTCATTAGAGTAGACTTCTGAGATTGTTTTCTGGCTCCAAGCAGGCCTTTGATACCTTTGTCCATATGAGGTTCTGAGTTTTGTTTTTTTTAATGCAGAAGAAATAGTGGAATGTTTGAAATTTGCATTACAAGACATTTTGACAACAACTGAAGTTTTTGTGTTGCAGGAACAAATGAGTGCCCTTCAAGCTAAGTTGGATGAAGAAGAGCATAAAAACCTGAAGCTTCAGCAGCACATTGACAAACTTGAACATCATTCTACACAAATGCAGGAGGTAAGTCCGAGAGCATGGCATCAAGAATGTGAGTCCAGTTCTCAAAGGAAGCGTCTCAGGAAGGAAAGGACTTCACAGAGCCCTGGTCAAGGCTGATTGGAGCTGTGGTCTCCACTCCCTTACCTCGCACACGGCTGCGATAATGAGCCACATCCCCGCAGGCGGAGCTCTGGCGCTCTCAGTCCATAGTGCTCCGGGATCCCCTGCTGCCGGTCCAGAGGAAAGAAGAATGGACCAGCCAGGTGCCTGCAAGGATCCTTTCTGTGTTGGGTGTCCTCGCTGAAGTGGTGGGAACAGCCAGTTTCCTTCTGGTCAGAGATTTTAAAACTAGATTTTCAAACGAGAAACACGGTGATGCTTTGGGGTGTGTCTCAGCACGCCAGTGTGCCTTTTCCAGTCAGGTGATCTCTTTCCCACAGCTCTTCTCGTCGGAGAGAACTGATTGGACCAAACAGCAGCAGAAGCATCTCTCACAATTGAATGACCTTGAGAAGCAGCTGTGGGACACTCAAACTAAGAATGACTGTAAGTTTGAACAACTAGGAACTTTAATCTGGATACTGGAATTCAGTATCTTTTTATTCATATGACTGAGTTTTGTCCCTATGTTTTTGGTTGGTTGGTTGTTTGTTTTAATTAGACTGTTGAGTTTGCCTGGCAGTGGTAAGTGAAGGTAATAACCATATAGGGTAATTTGCTTCAGGATCACTCACAGACAAATGATACAACTCTTTGCTTAAAGTTTTAATACCGCTTTGAAAATGAATTGCCTTGAATTCATAAGAGGAATAATGTTTTGTTTTTTATTAACCACTTATTTTCACTTTTCAATTATAGTTTTGAACGTTTTAAAAGTGACAAAACAAAGCACAAATTATACGTTGGTATATATTCATAAATGCAGGAGTGTCATTGATTCCCAGTTTGTTTGTTGTTTTCAGTTTATTTCTCCTTTCATCAAAATATCTGCAGTAGTTTGTAATAATGTTCAAACAAAAAAGACAGCCATTCAGTTTTTTTTCACCTAAGAAAGTACCTAATTTTAAGTTGGAGTTCCCTTAGAAGACCAGAAGTGTTTAACTCATTTTAGAAAGTTCTGGCACATTTCCAGGGCGTTTTCAGTAATTAAGATTAGGTCACTTAAAATATGTTATATACCTTGATTTTTTTTTCATATAAAGAATTTTGATGCACATTCTAAATGTAGAAAATTATGTAATCTACAAGTCAGGGACAAATGATGTTAATTCTTCCTTTTTTTGGTACAAATATACCAAAAGCTATGAGCAGGGAAAGGGAGAAAACAGAACTCTCAGTGCCCTTAGGCACCTACCACCTGGCTGTGCAACATCGACTTTCTTTTGCTGATTGTGTGAAGATACCTATTGTTTTTATTTGCCTACTTTGTAAACAATATGTGTAGAGAAGCCTGTTGAGGAATTACTTTGTTTTTTAGTTTTGAAAAGTGAGGTGCATGACCTGCGAGTCGTTCTTCAGTCTGCGGACAAGGAGCTGTCTGTGGTGAAACTGGAGTACAGTTCATTCAAGGAGAGCCAGGAGAAAGAGCTCAGCGACCTTTCTGAAAGACACGTGCACGTGCAGCTGCAACTAGACAGTGTCAGGTAGAGTGGTTTGGTTACAGTTGGCCTGTAGCCCTGGACTCCTAGCAGTGCGCGTTCTGTAAACTGAACTCAAGCTAGTTAAACCGAAAGTTAATTTATTGGCTCACAATATTGGGAAGGCTCGGGGGTGATGGTGATTTCAGGGGCAAACTAGGTTGTGTCTCAGACAGTATTGTCAGTGTGCGTCATTCTGTTTCTTTTGCTCTCTGTCTCTCCCTCCCTCTCAGTCCCAGCTCTGCTTCCCTCTGGGTTGCCCTCATTCTGTCCTATTGAGGGCCTTCCTCTGTGTGGCAGGGAACAGGAGACCTCACTGCTCCATATTCATCTCCTGGTGTGTCAACTCCTGTGAAGAAATCCTCTCACCCAACAGCCATGTATCATTCTCAGGGAGAACTGGAATTGGCCTTGCTTGAGTCTCTGCTTACATTTGGACCGGTCACTTAGCAAGGGTGTGAGGTGATATTGGCCTGACAAGGTGACATGCCTGTTCCAGAGGGAGAGGTGTCCTCTCATGAGAGGAAGGGATAGCACAGGGAGGACAAGTCCGCAGTTGTCACCATCATCCACAGTAACTTCAGGGGCTGGCTGGTCCATCTAGTGCTGGCAATAGAGAAACAGAGTAATCTAAGATGGAACATGTTTTTTTTTACGGGGTTTTTTCTTGCTAATTTCAGCCTTCTGTAAAATGTAACTTAAAACTATTTTGTGGTGATGGTTGGTGTGTTTTTTTTAAGATTTTATTTATTTATTTTTAGAGAGGGGAAGGGGGGAGAAAAAGAGGGAGAGAAAGAAACATCAGTTTGTGGTTGCAACTCTCATGCCCCTTTCCAGGGACCAGACCTGCACCCCAAGCATGTGCCCTGACTGGGAATCGAACCATTGACCCTTTGGTTCCTAGGCTGGCACTCAATCCACTGAGCCACACCAGCCAGAGCTATTTTGTGTTTTTGATATTGCCTCCTGGGTCTGTGGCAGTAATTTAATAATGGACATTTTGAAGGTGATGCTCTGAGTGTATATGAGTGTGACTGCTCAATCTAGAAAACCTGCTAGTAGGCAACCTTGGATTTAATTTTTATAGAAGTGGTAAAAATTAAAACCTGTAGCTGTTGAATGTTTTCTGATTATTAATTAAGACAGAGGAAGAAACCTGGCTGGTGTAACTCAATACATTGAATGCTGACCTGCGATCCCAAATGTCGCTGGTTCAAATCCCAGTCAGGGCACATGCCTGGATTCAGGCCAAGTCCCCATTTGGGGGCGTGTGCGAGGCAACCGATTGATGTATCTCTCACACATGGATGTTTCCCTCTCTTTCTCCCTACTTTCCTCTTTCTAAAAATAAATAAAATCGTTAATTAAAAAAATAAAAGAGAGGAAGAAAATGAGAACTGTAGACCCAATCCACCCATGGCTATCTTTTTATGGGGACTGCCAATGCGGTTTTTTTTTAATTAACACAGTTGTTTTTTTTTTTTAATGAGAGCTTTCTTATTTTAAAACAACCCATACTTTACCATCTTTTTAAAAATTAGACAGTTTGGTGGCACAGAACCCACATTGCTGCACAGTGACCCTCAGCTGCGCTGTGAGTCTCTTCTTCCCTCTAGAGGCATGTGCTGAGTCAGCGCTTCCTCCGCTGCCCTGTGCTGTGTCCCCAGCATCAAGGCTGCTGGGGAGGTGCCATTTATCATCGGGTGCACTGTTGTTTTTTCTTTTTTCTTTTACTTTTTTTAAGATTTATTTATTTTCAGAAAGAGGGGAAAGGAGAGAGAAAGAGAGGGAAACATTGATGTGAGATAGAAACATCGATTGGTTGCCTCTTGACCCTACAATCCAAGCATGTGCCCTGACCAGTAATCAAACCGACAACCTTTCTTTCAGGGGATGATGCCCAACCAACTGAGCCACGCCAGTTAGGGCTGCTAGTTTTTTGTTTTGGAGTTTTTTTTAGATTTTATTTATTTTTAGAGAGAGGGGAAGGGAGGGAGAGAGAGGGAGAGAAACATCAATGTGGGAGAGGAACATCAGTTGGCTGCCTCTCTTATGCCCTCCAACTAGGGACCTGAGCCGCAACCTGGGCATGTGCCCTGGCTAGCATGGAAACTGGTCACCGTTCGGTACGCAGGCCAGTACTCAGTTCGCGGAGCCGCGCCAGCCAGGGTAGAGCCGTTGTCTTTTCTGACACCTGGCACTTATTTTTCATATCTGAATCACTAAGTCTAATCCTGGCTTTGTCATAAATTAACTGGGTGATTTTTTGAAAAGTTGCTCCACTAATCTTACTGGATCTTAATTTCCTCATGTTTATATATTAATTGAAGTGGATCTAAGATATTAAGAATCCACTACATTTGGCTGTGTACTTAAATTCTGTCTTAAAAACATCGAGCTTTTCCTTGCTTCTTCAATGAGACATAATTTAACGTCTCAGTGTTTCAGATTTCCCATAGAGTACATCACTCACCGGGCTGCGTGTACCCCCTCATGGCACTCTCCCTACAGATGTGTTTCTCGAATTATTTTACCTGCTTTATTCATACAGTTTACATTATAAATACATCTGTTCCCCCTCACTACCACCTATGGTCTGTATACTTATCTTTAGCAACCGATTTGTACGGCTTTGTAGTTTGCTGCTTCTGCTCTGCTTTCAGTTAGTAGAGATATAGGCCCCTGTCTGGTAACCCCTGTGTGAAAGCTGGGGCGTCTGTTTTGGATGGCCCATGAGGCAGGCTCGTTTCCTAGTTCCTGGCTGGGCTCTGGGTGTGGGGCGTCCACGGTTTGTTGGGTAGCAGCACCAGAGGCTGGCAGCCTACAGAGCAGCCGATAATAATCGTGTGCATTAGATAGTTCTGCCCCCAGGGAGGTTACACTCCTCCCAGATTGAAGCCACATTTGACATCTTGAGAAACCTCCGTAGAGTTGGGGGACTATGTAATGAATAGACAGAACTGAGCTATCCACCAAACTAAATTAATAGCCAGTCCCTAGGTTACGCAAGGGCTAGGTCTGGAGCCCCCTAAATTGGCACCATTCTAGATTGCCAGTCAATTAGGCATGCCTGTTTGAAACCACGGGAGGAAGAACGAGGAAATGGCTACAGGCTGGCACGGGCACCCTGTCCCGTCCGTCGCACTATGCTGTGGTTCCGTCTGTGACAGGCCTGCGCGTCGTGGGCATTTTACATAAGCTCTTGAGGATCTTTAATCAGTTAAGGCTTCACTAAGTTGGGAATGGTCTGTAGCTGGGATAAATCGAACTGCAGACGATCTGACTAGAGCTACATTTAATGTTTATATTTACCATTGTAAAAATGTTTTCCTGATAAAGATTAGAAAATGAAAAACTTCTTGAGAGCAAAGCCTGCCTTCAGGATTCCTATGAAAACTTACAAGAAGTAATGAAGTTTGAAATTGACCAACTTTCCAAAAATCTCCAAAACTGCAAAAAAGAAAATGAGACTCTGAAATCTGATCTGAATGTAAGTTAAGAAAGGTACTGGTTATTCCCGAATTTGTGCTGGGTGTGTGGCCGCCCCCTGGGGTGCAGGGCAGGCCCGGTCAGGGCCTCTCCCTCACTTCCTGTGCTGGCCTGGCGTGGGGCCTGCCACCCAGGAAGTACTGATTGCGCTTGTTGCCCTGACGTTGCTGGTAAACAGTTACTTAAAATCTGATGTCACGTTGTCTTTTAGAATTTGATGGAGCTTTTTGAGGCAGAAAAAGAACGCAATAACAAATTATTATTACAATTTGAAGAAGATAAAGAAAACAGTTCTAAGTGAGTGCTCTTTCTCTTTTGCATTAGTGAACTAGAATATCATTTACTACCACACTTTATCTTGTTTTTCTTTATTGTTAATACCCTGCAAAGTTATTTTTTTCTATAGCATTCCAAAAATGAATATCTCTTTTTTTGTGTAAATGGGTATGTAGGGAAACTTAATTTTTTCAAGTATTCAATCACTAGCCATGGTACTTTTTAAATGAATGGTGGTGATCAGAACTCAGGGCCTTCTATAATTAAATCACACTGTTTATTGGAAGGGGGATTGATTCTTTATTTCTGTCTCTACTATTGTTTTTCTAGCTGCCCTTTTTTTCTCCTGGCCTCTTAATATGAATGCCATTGTCTTTCTTCCCTTTCTCTCCAAGTTCTTTTCCTTGGTCATCTCTGTCAGTCTCTTGGCCTCAGCCAACCGGATGATACTACTCTTTGGAGAAGAATCTGTATTTGTTTATTCAGCAGATGCTTGTAGAGTTCTGACTATGAGACAGAGCCTCTCTAGGCCCTAGTGTACAGTGGTGAATGCATCTAATGGATGCAAATATCTGGTTGGGAAAGAGACAGTTAACTAGTAAGTTATTCATTTCAAACACTTAGTGATACCGGGCAAGCCAGGTATTTTTCTGGCCAATGCTAGAACATCTACAGATGAGATAGTGAACAATATCCTTGTTCTCATGAGTTTTACATTCTAGCACAGAGAGACAGGTAACAAATACGCACAATATGTTAGATGTTATGTTTGGGAATCCTAAGTGCTTTGAAGAAAGAGAAACTGTTGTGACACAAAACTGGGTTTGTATTCAATAATTGTGGAAGAAGTAGGTTCAAATTTATGACTCACACTGGAATACAATGCTAACACCAAGTTTGTGCCTAATAAAGTTTAGGTGCATTGCACTAAATCTCTTTTGTATAAATAGTTCCTGTTTTTATTGAACGAAGTCATGAGTAAAAGATACTTCTTCTCTTCCAGAGAAATCTTAGATGTTCTTGAAGCTGTGCGTCAGGAGAAACAGAAAGAGATGGCCAAGTGTGAGCAGCAGGTAAAGTTCCTGTACTCTCACTCTAAAATTTGAGCTTTGTAATTTTTCCTTATGTCAAAAGAGGTTTATTATAACAAGTGTCTCAGCTTTCATATGTTGAAAATTGGTAATAAATCCTGACTGGTGTGGCTCAGTGGACTGAATGCCGGCCTGCAAACCAAAAGGCTGCTGGTTCAATTCCCAGTCAGCGCACATGCCTGGATTGCGGGACCAGGTCTCTGGTTGGAGGCATGCAGAGGCAACCAGTGGTTATCTCTCTCTCACACTGATGTTTCTCTCTCTTGCTCCCTCCCTTCCCCTCTCTCTAAAAGTAAATAAATCATAAAAAAAAAAAAAACCATTGGTAATAAAAAGATGGAGTGTTTGGTTGCTTGTATTATTTTTCAACTCTGTATTTCTAACTCCCATATGGCCATTTTTATATTTTTTGGTGGTCTCCTAATAGAGACCACAAAATCTGAGTCTTTTAACCCAACTTATTGTGTTCAAGTATTACTCCTACTGTACACTGTATATGAAAAACATTTCAACTTTTTCTATGTGTGTAGTTAACTCTGTGATTTAATTCTTTTTCTAAAAATATTTATTTTTTTCCCCCGCATAGATGGCAAAAGTACAAAGACTAGAAGAGAGTTTGTATGCCACCGAAAAAGTCATCCGTTCCCTGGAGAAGTCCAGGGAGGCTGACAAGGTAGGTGGCGGGTGGCGCCGCCTCCCTCTGTGCTTTCTTTGGAAGTGGTGCTTTAGCCTCCCAGCCTCCCGCTCTGAGGGCGACTGATAGCCAGTGCTTCTGTGTGCACCGGTGCCCTGTCATCCTCCAAGGTTTCTAGAGAATGAGGTCTTTTATTTACGTTCATTTTCCACATAACTTCAAGTGCCAGCAGTTCCGTCTCTTTCGAAGGCAGTGTTTCCCAAGCACGCCCTGCCCCTTTTCACTGGGAGGCTGTTCGTGTGGCCTTTTCCTGTTGACCCTGAGCCCCATAATACAAAGTCATAAATCCCTGGTGTTGACTTTAGCTAGCCTAATAATCATAATAAGTATGCTTAAGTATAACAACATTAGGTATAAATTCCTTGTGTCTAGCTTTTATTCATAAAAACAAAGGAAATGATTAAATAAACTGGTATAAAACCATTACAATATAAATAGATAACAATAATGTAATGTGACATTTGGCTGAGGTGAAACTGGCTTCTGTTGTCATTAGGAAAGATAAAAAGTTTGTCATTTATAAATGATCTTCACGTCACTGGGTGTGAAGCTATTGTTTCTGTCCCCATCAGGAAGCTGTCGCTGACCTCAGGAGCCAGATCCAGGTGCTGAGAACATCAGTCCGTGAGAAAACAGAGACCATAGATACCCTGAAGCAGGAACTGAAGGACATCACTGTAAGTTCTGTTCCTAAAAAGGTATTAAATTTGAGCCTAAGACACATTTTGCAGCTGCCTCAGGAGGTTAACAAATACTTTCACCAGAAAAAAAAGACTCTGTGGTCAGATAGATTTGCAAATGCTAGTTACACCTCAACGGAGTCTGCATTTGCAGAACAGGCAGAGCCTTTAACATGCGAATGTGCAGTGTGAGTGCATCTCAGTTGAAGGGTCGTGCTTCCTCCTTCCCTTGCGACAAGGGGGTATGGTTGTCAGCGTCCCCCACTCCTCTGCTCCATATGGAGCTTGCTGCCGCCATATTTATTTCTGATGGCAGATGTTTTCACTGGTACCTGTAGGACTTACCCACTGTTTGGTCATCCATGCATTTATTCCTCCATCCCTTAGTTCAACAAGTAATGATTGGATTAATTTGTGTTAATGTGGTCATCACCTTGGAATTTGGAATCATTCTTAAGTTTATTTTCATCTAAAACTATAGATAATAAAGCAGGCAGCTCTTATATGGAAACTTTCTTCTCTGCAGTGTAAATACAACTCTGCTTTGGTCGACAAAGAAGAGAGCAAAGTGTTGATTAAGAGACAGGAAGTAGAGATTCTGGATCTGAAGGAAACCCTTAGACTGAGAATAATCTCTGAAGACATTGAGGTAATTGTTAGCACATCATGACTCTTTTTTTGTACTTCATTACTTGTCAATATGTATATGTTTATATGGAAGTTATTGATGAATAAATGAGGATTTTTTATAGGAATAGGCCATAATTAGACCTATTTTTCCCCAAGCAGACATTAACACATAAGATTACACTGTTATATTTTATCTGGTTGACTTATCTTTAATCATTTGTGCAGACACCATGTTAAGTTCTTGTCACTACCCTGGGGGTGAGGGGAAGGGAGAGCAGAGGGCAATTAGACCTCTGTTGGGATACCCATATGCATTCGCTGTAATATTTATCTCTAGGCCTGCTCACTAGTATTAACTGCTTGGTTTGTCTTGGAATGGATTACCCCACAAGCAAAAAAAAGAAAGAAAAAGAAAAAAAGAGAAAAAGGTCTCACTTAACACTTTCTCTCAATCTTTTAAAAATTGCACATAGTAATGATTTGCAAATCCTTATTGGAGAAACACAATTAAGAAATTCTGCTTATGTGGGGATTGTCCCTTGACAGAGAGACATGCTCTGTGAGGACCTGGCTCACGCTACTGAGCAGCTGAACATGCTCACCGAGGCCTCGAAAAAGCACTCGGGGCTCCTGCAGTCCGCCCAGGAGGAGCTGACCAGGAAGGAGGCCCTGATCCAGGAGCTCCAGCACCAGGTGAGCAGCTGCGTGGGCAGCCGCGCATGAGCTCTGAAGGACTCGGTTGCTCCCGGGGGTTCAGCCTTGCTTGGCTGTCTTCCTGCCCACCTTCCATCCTTGATGGCGCCGGCAGGTTCTGACCACTGTGGTGAGGTTATGGCTAATTTTTATCCTCTTTTTGGCTGCTGCTGTTTTATATTCTATATTTTTCCTCACGTGACCCTTTGATTGTTTGTGAAGCTTAAAAACTAAGTTGTTATTTTTTAAAAACATTTTATTTATTTATTTTTAGAGAGGGGGAGGGAGGGAAAAAGAGAGGGAGAGAAACATAAACTAGTTGCCTGCCGCAAGCACCCCAACCAGGAACTTGGCCCACAACCCAGACATGTGCTCTCACCAGGAGTCAAACTGGCGACCTTCCGCTTTGCAGGATGATGCACAACCAACTGAGCCATGCTGGTCAGGGCAAAACACAGTTTTATTTAAAAAGTGTAAACAGCCCTGGCTGGTGTGGCTCAGTGGATTAAGAACTAAAGGGTTGCCGGTTCGATTCCCAGTCGGGGCACATGGCTGGGTTGCAGGCCAGATCCCCAGAAGGGGGCACACAAGAGGCAACCACACATTGATGTTTCTCTCCCTCTCTTTCTCCCTCCCTTTTCCTCTGTCTAAAAATAAATAAGTTTAAAAAAATAAAATAAAAAGCGTAAACAAATTGGTGAGAGAGAGGGTGAGGGGAAGGATATAGTAGTAACTAAGATATACAGACACAAATGGCAGCCCCAGACTTTACAATTTGTTACTTTAAAAATTGCTGTTTTAATATATTGTTGCTTTTGATTATTGATCAAATCCCCGCCCCCCTGCCACTCCCCGCCTCCCAAATGTAAAACCTGTTTCTACAAACCTTAGGAAGATAGGCTGGTCTAACTGGACCATAGGTTCCATATTATTTTCTAACTTACAACCTTACATTTGCTGATTTTTCCCAGTTGAAACAAAAGAAAGAGGAAGTGGAACAGAAGAAAAACGAATATAACTTCAAAATGAGGCAGCTGGAGCATGTGATGGATTCTGCTGCCGAGTGTCCCCAGGTACTTTTCAGAAAAAGAGTGCATTTCAGGAGGAATGAAGTTTTGTGAGTTTTAAAAGTCTGGAAATTACTAAGACCATAGCTTTGTCTTTTTATAAAAAAATTTTTCACTGACACATTTTCTGCTTTTTACTTGAAAAAAAGGAACCAGTGTTTTTTACGTTTTGCTTGGACAAGATTTAGACTAAGCCAAATAGCTTGAATATATTCTATATGGTTGGCATATACCTTTAAAATGAAATCTTTATAACATCACTTAATCGAGCATTTGGATGAAATTTGATTTTATTTTAGAGCCCTAAAACACCACCTCATTTTCAAACACATTTGGCAAAACTCCTGGAAACACAAGAACAAGAGATAGAAGATGGACGAGCCTCTAAGGTTTCTTTGCAACACCTTGTAACTAAGCTAAATGAAGACAGAGAAATCAAAAATGCTGAAATCCTCAGAATGAAGGTAACTGGGTAATTGTTTCCAATAAATTTAACATTTTAATAAGGAGTATCTTCCATGGTTACTGAAGATACAAAATTCAAAAGGCACAAAACTCAGTGTAGACAGAAAAGCCTCCCTTTCACTCCTGACTCCGAGCTACTCGTCTGCTGTTCTGGAGGCTCCCAGTGTAGCCAGTTCCTTAGTTACCTTTTAGAGCTTTCGGGGCATGTGCAACCACGTCTGAGCACGCGTCTCCCTGCTCCTTTGGCTTTTCTACGGTGGCATCGTCATGCAGGCCGACCAAACCGCTCTCATCACGCACAGTGCTGGCTCACGGCTAGATCTTGGCGTTTTCAGTGGCTGACGCGTGTTGTCTCATTGAAGTTTTAAGTTTGTATTTTTCTCATTAGCAGTAAGATTGAGCACCTTTCTTTGAATTCTGTCCTTCTCCCCATTTTCTGTTGTTGAACTTTTTCTTAATGGTTTGGAGGCATTCTTTATATATTAGATTAGTTTTTGTTTATGATAGTTAAAAATACTGTTCTCTCATTTGCCATCCTTTCAAACTTCTTCCTAGTGTTTGTTAGCCAGGTACACGGGGGTGAGGGTGTGCTTCGCGTGGCACTGCAGGCTGGGAGGGGTGTGGGGGGTGCGGGGGGAGTGCCGGGTCGTCGGTGAGTGGGGGCGGGTAGGGAGGTGCTTGTAAGGTCATCGCTCTGCAGGGCGGTTTTGTTCAGGAACAGTGCTAGCTCACTGCACCCTCGTTGGGTAAGGTGTATGACGACCATGTCCCTCTCAAGCTTTGTTTCTGTTGGAGGGGTTGTTCCCGGCCTTTCTGCTGAGGGCAGCTCTCAACGTGCTGCCGTCTCAGGACTGTAACTGTTCCCCAGGTTGGCGTGGTCTGGGTGCCCCACAGAAACTGGTGAGGTTAAAAGAAATCAAATAATGGACGGAAGAAGTAAATCAAAGAGGATCCTTCTTGCAGACTAGTATTTATACCTTCTAGATGGTTATGCTCATGATTTTCAATTAGATTCTATTAAATAGACCCAAATAGAACAATTACCAAAGTAGTGACGTTTTGTCATCTTTCCTCATAAAGGAATTTTAATGAATCATGTGGTGCTGATCAGAGACTACATTTAAGATGCTGGGTATGAAACTGAATCACAAGTTCCAGGCCCCTAAGAGCTTATCACGGTCAACTTTTCATCCAGTGTCATGCAGCGCAGTGTTCTGTGCAGAAGAGCTTGAAGGAGAAATACCTGTCTTGGTCATGGCCTTGGGGAACAAAATAAGGCCTCCTCTCGTGTTTTCTGAAAAGTATGATTTCATGTGTTACTAGGAGCAGTTGAGTGAGATGGAAAACCTACGCCTGGAAGCTGAGCAGCTGAGAGAGAAAAACTGGCTCCTGCAAGATCAGCTGGATGATATCAAAACCCAAAAGGACAACAGGTGCGAAAGAGCCACCGGAACCCTGTGGGCTGTGTCTCGGCCTGCCTGGGTATAGTTCCATGCATGAGGTCGGAATATACACTGGTTTCCCACCAGCTGCTGTTTCGTTTTGTTTTGTTTATTTATTTTAAATCATTTTTTATTTTTCAAATACAATTAATACTCCCCAGTGATTAGATATAACTAAGTGATCATCCCGATAAATCCTGTACCCACCTGTCACCATACATAGCATTAGAATGTCATTGACTGTATTCCCTGTGCTGCACTTTACCTCCCCATGACTCTTCTTTAACTGCCAATCTGTACTTTATCCCTTCGCTTCCTATACCTGTCCCCTCAACCCCCCTCCCATCCTCCAGTCTGGCAACCATCAAAATCTTCTCTGTATCTATGAGTCTGTTTCTGTTCTGCTTGTTTGTTTATTCTGCATTTTAAGATTCAATTGTTCATACATATGTATTTATTGCCATTTTATTGTTTGTTTGTTTTTTTCCTCACCTGAGGATGTGCTCGTTGATTTTAGAGAGAGGGGAGGGGAGGGAGGGAGAGGGACAGAAACATCGACTGGGTCTTACGTGTGCCCTGACCAGGGATTGAACCCACAACCTTCAGGTTTATGGGATGATGCTCCAACCAACTGAGCCACACCAACCAGGGCTTATTCATATTTTTTACCTTTTTTCCTTTTGAATCAGGTCTGCTGAGGGTGTTGATTTTTCCAGAGTGGGAGAACGAGGCATTTTCTTGGCCTTGCCCATGAAACTGTGTTGTTGGAGAGCTATTGCAATGAATTTCAGACATGTCAGAAACTTGAATCAAACTGTCTATTTCTATTTGAAAAGAAAAAGGGGAGCAAATCAATCAACAAGATCAGAGGTCCCGCAGCAAAGGGGGATGTCCTCCCAGCTGGGTTTGCCTCTGACTCGCCGGCTGGGGAGCAGCTCTCTGGGGGAGACTTCCCCTGGGTCTGGGCACCTGGGTTTGTGTGTGTGGCCTCAGCTCAGGCAGGTTTCCAGTTGTGTTTGCCTCTGGCACAACATAGCACCCCCGGCACCCACACCCAGGCTACATCCCCTCTCTGACACTTGAAAATCATGTGGCTTGAGGCACACTTTTAACCCTCTTAGTGCCTCAGTTTCCTTAGCAATAAAATGAAGAAAATGATAGCTCTCACGCAAGGCATTTTCAAGTCCAGAAACTCTGCGTGTGACGTACTGGTGCCCACGCTCGGCAGCAGGCTGCCGGGGGCACAGGGAGAGCTGCGCCCCGCCTGCTGTCAGCTGTGGGAGTGGGAGGCGGGCGGGCGGTGGCCTGCACAGCCGCACAGCCAGCTGGAGTGAATCAAAGTCGGGGGTCTCTCTGGGATGGGGACCCTTCCTGAACTCAGCGTCCCAGATTAGGGGTGTCTGTCATCCCCACTGCTGGCGGCGGCAGCCCTGAGGTGCACCGTGCAGACCCTGACACGGCAGGCACTTGAGGCCGGTGCCTGGGCTCTGCCGGCAGCCTGCAGTCACATGCTGCGCGACTGGCTTCAGTCCGTGGCGGACCGTGCGGAGGACGTGGTCCCTCTGGGCTGAGACACTCCTGTCGCCTAGTGACATCATAGCTGTCATTGCGTCAGTGCGGCGCTTCGCTCAGCTCCGGGGATGCTGGTGTAAGCAAGCTGCCGAGCTCCATTCACGTGCTATGTGACGTTACAGCTGGTAATGATAGCGGCTGTCACTGGTACTATGCTATTTATTTTTTACAGTTAGAGTTTTATTTTCTTTGTACTTTGCCTTCCTCTTCCCGCCTCTCCCACCTGAAGACATGCTCATTGATTTTTAGGGATGGAGAGGGAGAAAGAGGGAGAGAAACATCAACGTGAGAGAGAAATGTCAGTTGGCTGCCTCTTGCACATGCCCCCACCAGGGACCAAACCCGTACCCTAGGTGTGTGCCCTGACTGGGAATCCAACCAATGACCTTTTAGTCACAGAGGTGTCCAATGTTTTGGTGTCTCTGGGCCACACTGGAAGAAGAGTTGTCTTGGGCCACACATTAAATATACAAACATTAACAAAAACTGATGAGCAAAAAAAAGAAAGGTTCTAAGTAAATTTACAATTTCGTGTCGGGCCACATTCATAGTCATCCTGGGCTGCATGGAGCCCGTGGCCACGGGTCGGACACCCCTGTTAGTGTATGGGATGAGGCTCCAACGGACTCACACTGGCCAGGGCGCTGGTGTTATTTTAGACAGCCTTGTACATCTCCTGTTTACTGTGTCTCTTGATTGTATTTAATCTTGTGTTGTTTAGTGCAGAAACATGCTATACAGGCCTGTAGCAACAGGCCATACCACCTCACCTAGGGGTGTAGTCGGCTGTACCATGTATGTTTGTGTAAATTTGCTATATGGTGTTCACACAACAATGAAATCACCTAACAATGCGTTTCTCAGAATTTAGGCCCATTGTTAAGCAGCAAGTGCATGACTGTCTTACTAAGTGGTTTTCTTCGAGTTTTATGGAGCATCAGAAATGCTCGTTTCAGTAGCATCCTCTTTTAGGGACGTCACCCCCTTCGGGGTGTTCCGATGCAGATGCTGATGCAGACCATGCGCCATGTGCTCCCTCGTTCCCACGTGCTCCGCCCCCACCTCAGCTGTGTTCAAACAGGGCGTTGTACTTGGTATACTATCTTTTATCAAGACTCAGCGTGAGCAGGGAAAACAGAATGTTCCCAGGCCGTTCGTACAACCACAGCTAGAAACGCGGTTTCGTAGCCTCTGTGCCTTTCTGGAGCAGCCACACAGAAACTTCCTCATGAAAGGTCAGGTGGAAGAACACTGGAGTCCCCGCCCCTCTGTCTTCTGTGCACCAGGGGCAGCGCTCCTGCCACAGCCCCGGCCCCCTGGACATGCTGCTCGCCTCTCCTCATGTCCAGTTTGCTCCGACCCCCCTGATTTCTAGCTGCAGCTTCCAAACCAGTGCCGAGCAGCCAAGCTCGCTGGGGCTGGGGCTGCGGCTGGGGCTGGGCTGCTGTGGGAGGGCTCACAGGCTCGGGGGCTGGGGCTGGACCTGGGACCAGGGTTGGGAGCCTCGCCGGTGAGGCCGGGAGCCCTGCTCTGAAGCAACAGCCCTCCTGAGCCTTCTGGGGCTTTGCCCTCTCAGAGGCCGGTGGCTCCTTAGCCTGACGGTGGCCTTTCTCACCCTCTGCACCACATGTAGGAGCCCTGGCCGCTGCCCACAGCCCTTTCTGCCGCGCCCGGTCTGCCCTGGGGTTCCCTTCTCCTGTGCCTCTCCAGGCAGCCTGGGAAAGCGGTCGGCTCAGGGTTTGACAGAGGGAAGGGAGTTAAACGCTGCAGTCTTAACCGAAAACTGTAGTGAGGCTCAGGCCTGGCCTGTCGGGTAAACACAGCTGTAGGAAACTCAGTCATGCCCTGTCGTGTAGACCTTGCTGTGGCCGCTCTTCGGCGTGATGACAGCCAGCCTGACAGCTGTGATACAGGCCCTGTGGCTCCCACCCCTGGCGCAGGGCAAGGAAAACACATCTTCCCTAATGATTTCGGGTGTTTTCCTTTCGAGGTCTTATTACAATTTTTGTCTAGGCTGCCAGCTCCATTAAGTGAAAGAAATTGTATCTTCTGTTTTCTTGTGAGAAGCAATCTCCGTATTCCACCCCCCCACCCCCCCGGCAACTCATCAGTAACAGATATTCCTGGAGAAGCCTGTGGCATTCAGGCAGGTTCGCCCAGGGGGTGTCTCCCCGGTCCCGAGGCTGCGCACAAAAACCCAGTCCATTTTCCTGACAGGGTCAGGCTCAGAGAGGGACTCAGATTCAGTGGCTTCCCGTGATGCCGACGTTTCACCCAGAATCCGCTTTCCTGCACGTAGAGTTTTTCATGAAGAAATTGATGGCTGGCTGACACTCAGGGGATCCGCTTCCTGGCATCAGCATATCGGGGAGGCCAGTGTCATCAGAAACTGCCAGCTGGCTAGGAAATCCAGTGCAAGGGGCCATCCGGCGCTCTGGGGGCCAGGCCAGCCTGCGGGGCCCTTCCCACCCCTGAGACCCCCACCCAGCAAACCACAGCCCCGCAGATCCCTGGGCTGCCTTTTCCTTCAGCCACCTTTTGCTTACATTTGATCTTCCGATGGCACTGCTCCTGACGAAGTGTCTGTTTTACTTTCAGCCAAGCCTTAGGCTTCTCGGCTCTGCTCGCCTCACTTTCGCATGGGAGGGGTCCTCAGTTCTGGGGAGGTGCCTGCGTCACCCTGCGTGCCGGTCACATTGAGCAAGCACGCCAGCCTCAGTTCATTGTCATTGAGTTGGCTGGCTTCTTAGCACAGCTTGGCATTGCTGTGTATGATAGACACGAAACTGGTATTTGGGTGTGCTTGACAGTGTTTCCCCACTCTCCCTTCCTGATCTGCAGGGAACAGAATCATCCAGACGACCAGCAGCTAAAGAATGAACAAGAAGAACTTACCAAAGAAAGACTGGCTAAAGTATGACTTCTTTTTTACATAGTAGTTTTTTATTGTCTGACAAGTGCTTTTATAGTAAGCATTTATGGTTTTACGTTTTAGAAACCATTTACTATTGAAATTGCTGTCTTTTCCTTATTCCTACTGTTAAGCTTGATACTCGCCATTAGTACTTAGACATAGCTGAGAATTAAGAATTTTGTCTTTATGTCTAGATGGTAATGAGACTACTGCTCAGTGCACCCACACAGTTGGCCACTTAGAAGCAAGGACAGTGTCCTTTGGGGGGCACAGTACACAAAGGCATGTAAATAGGTCCCTTTTATGTGCATGCAGCTGGGATTGTGGAAAAGGCTATTGGTTTAATTGATTTTGTTACCATGAAAGAGTGTGGACTGGTTATTTTCAATCTTTTTTGTTGTTGTTGTTTTAACAATGTTAAGAACTTAAGCCATCTTTTTCTTTTTTTATCCCATAGAACAAGTTGGTTGAAGAAATGCTGAGAATGAAAGCAGAGTAAGTACACTGGTTTGTAATTCAAGTTCTTGTCGACCCTTTCTTTATTATTCTCTAAGTGGAGAAACGCTTGTTCTATCCACAAGGTCAGGAACTTTTTTCCTTCTGAAATAATATGTGAACTTAATAGATGTTTACAAAATCATTTTCCTGAACACGACTTGCTAAAGGGGCTCCTCACAGGAGCCGTTCCAGTTGGTAGTTACAGAAAGTCTGTAAGTGTTAAGTAGCGCCTCCTTGAAGCCATGACCAGTATCCACCGTCTGAGAGCCACTGTTTGAAATAAATGATTGCTCTTGGGTATGGAGCCTACTGTGTTGGCTCCACGTGAGCTGGATCTAAAAGTTCCTATTCTAAATGTTCATTATTTAAAAATGGTACGAGGGTTTTGCCAAAAGGAAAGTCTCGGTTAAACCAACAACAGAAAGCCTCCGTGCTGCCTGGCGATCGCCTGCCTGGAGGCCTCGAAGTCAGTCCTCCTTCCAAGTTCACGCTCTGGGCTCGGGGAAGACCCTTGTAATTACGTTTCTTTGGAAGACCAAACAGGGATATTCGTTGTTATAGCCTGGAAGAGGTCCAGAGCGCCCTCCAGAAAAAAGAAACAGACTGCCTGAGAATGAGTGAGGAAGTCGAACGAACCAGATCTTTGGAGTCAAAAGCATTCCAGGAAAAGGAGCAACTGAGATCAAAGCTAGAAGAATTGTATGAAGAAAAGGAGAGAACATCCCAGGTGTGTTTGTGTGTTTATTTTTTCCTGTACTTAGGACACATGAATTAATAGAGCCAATCAGAATGAGACTCGTGTCTGATTGGGTGTCCTGTGGCCACAAAAGTTGGGGGCCTGGGCTCTGTCTCCCCCTCCCTGTGTTCTCAGAGGCATGAACTAATGTTACTTTTTTTTGTTTTAAATTTATTGATTTTAGAGAGAGAGGAGGGTGGGCAGAGAGAGAAACTTTGATCTGTTCCACATTGCATCCATTGGTTGTTTCTTGTGTGTGCCCTGACCGGGAGATCCAGCCCCCAACCTTGGCGCAGAGGGATGATGCTCTAACCAACTGAGCTACACAGCCAGGGCAAATGTTACTTTGCTTTAAGGAATTAAGAGCAGCTCATTTTGTCCTGCCTGGATTGATTACCTGCAGGAGGTGGAAATGTTAAGGAAGCAGGTGGAGTGTCTTGCTGAGGAAAATGGAAAGTTGGTAGGTCACCAAAACCCAAACCAGAAGATTCACTATGTCATGAGGCTGAAGAAGGAAAACGTGCGACTCACTGAGGTAAACGATGAAAATTATTCTGAGTAAACTCACTCTGGTTTTTAAATGATTAATTATTGAATCACTTAACTGCTTTCTTCAGGGAACTTCCTGAATTCAAAACAATTTAGTTAATGCTATTCTAAGGATGATTCGGTCATTTTTCATACACATCAGATTTCTGTTTAATGTTTATAGATTTAAAAATTACAGTTTTAATTTGAAATATAAATTTAAAGAGTGCCACGAGTAACTCTTCCTATAATATTTATAGCCCTTCATTATTTTCTTTTTTAAAATTACTAGGAGACAGGAAAGTTGCGGGCTGAAAATACATTTTTGAAAGAAAATAAAAAGAAAGAGCTTCTGACGAACATTCTGCACCCATCCACGCCCTGTGGCAGTGAGCAGCCTGCTGTGTAGAGGCGCAGCCGCATTGCAAGGCTCTAAGCCAACTGTAAATATTGGGAAAACCTTTGGCATTTTTAAAATAAAAGCTTGTAGCCAATGTTTCCAGTGGACGTTAGCCAGACCATTTTTCCCCTGGGTACTGACGTGATCCCCTGAGTCTGAGGTCCAGAAGCTCTGTGTTCGGTGGTCCCAAAACTTGCAGCGAGGCTCATGGCTGGTGGCGCAGTGTGTATACAAAGCAAACCGATGAATATAGATTATTTTTCTACTCCTACTTGAAGTATTTTCATGATCATTTTTATGACTGTAAATATGGCCATTTTTCAAAATGTAATAAATCTTTTTCAAATAAAGAGTCCAAAAATGTTATTCACATGGTTCATTCACTCGTTCATGCAGCGTGTACTTAGTGAGCCCCCACTGTAAGCCACGCACGGGCTGTCTGTGGGCGAGGCAAACAAAGACCTGCTCTGCACCAGCGCTTCATGCCTTTCCATTGCAAATGATATTCCGTTGCGTTGACACACACGTTTTACTCACCACCTGACAGACGTTTGAACTGTTTGCAGTTTGGGGCTATGATGAATAATTCTGCTATAAATGTTCAGTCCAAGTCTTGGCATGGACCTACCCTTCTTACCTCTTGAGTAGAAACCTAGGAATGCAATTGCTGGGTCTCGTGGTAGGTGTTTGTTTCACTTTTGTAGACATTGCCTGCTGTCCAAATGCTCTGTGTGGCTGCACCACGTTCTGTTCCCGCCAGGGGTGTGTTCCAGTTTCTCCCATCTCCAGCGACACTTGCCGTTCAGGTGTTTGACTCTGGCCGCCCTAGCGGGTGTGCGCTGGTATACCAGTTAGCTCCCGGGTGGCTGCTGGCACTGAACACTAGTTCATACTGTGGAAACATGACAGCAGTAAAAAGAGAGAGACTGATACATGCCACCACATGGATGAACCTAAAAAAAATGCTTAGTGGAAAGTCAGACTTAAAAGACCGCAGGCTGTATGATCCCATATAAGTGAAATGTCCAGAAAAGGGGCAGGGGTGGGAGTGGAAATGACCACGTGTGCACAAGGGAACGTTTTGATGTGGAAGTGTTTTAAAACTGGCTTGTGATGATTGCACAACTCTTTAAATTTACTGAAAATTAAATTACATTCAAAATGGTTTATAAGTCATACCTCAATAAAGCTGAAGAGAAACATTCATAGTTCATGCAGCCCTGACCGGTGTGGCTCAGTGGGGTGGCCGTCGATTCCCGGTCAGGGCACACGCCTGGGTTGTTGGCCGGGCCCCCGGGTGGGGTGGTGTGAGACAACCAATCCATGTTTCTCATGCGCATCCGTGTTTCCCTTTCTCTAAAAACAAACAGAATCTTTTTTTAAAAAAACAACGCCTAGCTGAACTTCAAGGAATAAATAGTACTAAATCCTTAGGAGCCAGAAACAAAACAAAAGTCAGTGTAAAGTAGAAAGGAGACCTGACTGCCTTGGAAGCTGGAGGAGGGGGGTTTAAAACAATAATTTATCCTCTCGCAGTTCTGGAGGCTAGAAGTCCAAAATCAGGCGCTGCTGCAGCTGGCCTCCGGGGGCTCGGAGGGACAGTGCGTTCCACGCCTCTCTCAGGTTGTGGGCAACAATCCTTGGTGCTCCTTGGCTTGCATATCGTGTCCCTCCAATCTCTGCCACCATGGTCACATGGCATTCATTTTCCCCTGTGTCTCTGGTTCTGCTTAGAGGGACATTAGACAGATTAGGGCCTGCCCTATTGACCCCATCTTAATTTGATTACATCTGTAGTGACCCCACTTCCAAATGAGGTCACAGTCATGGGTGCTGAGGGGTTAAGACTTCAGCATACCTGTTGGAGAGACGCAGTTCAACCTGTAACATCACTCAGCAAGAAAAGAGAGAGAAAGCCTTAGGATGGAGAGTTAGAACTAAGAGTTTTGCCAACAGCCAGAACCCAACGGAGTGCTGGGATCTTAGTCACCCTGGCAACTCTGCTGCCTAGCAACAGGGCCTGGCCTCAGATATGTGCTCATTTGTTTAACTGGGCAGAACAAAGAAGGGACAGAGAAATGGACACAGCATGAAAGGAGAGGAAGAGGTAAGGTTGGAGAGAGGACAGTAGAGGACAGAGACATTCACTCCCCATGTTCACCGGCCCTACCCATTTCTGCTATCTCCCACCAGGGACTTCACACATTTAAATTCCCTCTTTGGCCCCTAAGGTCTCTTAAATGTGGCTTCTAGCTCTTAAAGGTGAGGGGCATTTTGAATGAGTCTCCCGGGACACAAGAAGGCATCTTCTGCCTGGATGTCATCTTTGAGGTTTGTTTTGATTGCTTTTTTGATAAGTGTGGGATGAAGTATCCTTCCCAAACACACTGTCCCAGTTCTAGTTTGCAATCAAAGCGTTGCCAGTGGAAGTGGGCCTGTTCTAAGAAAGTTCGTTTTGTAGTCTTTCAAGTATGAGAGTTGATGAAGTGCAACAGCACTTAATTTCCTGTAAGTTTCAAGTAACAAACTTCAAGAGGGGATCACCTTTGAGCTGGGCATTAAGATAGGGTATGTGGCAAAATGGCTGTAACCAATAAGGGCTACAATGATTATCAAGGAGATAGTACGACCAACTCCGCAATGGATTTAGGGCTTAAAACCTGCAGAAGTCCACCTTCATCCAATATGGTGACTAATTTCACCTTGTAGCAACCCCTGTCCTCTATAAGCTCCTTGTAATACATTAGCATACTAAACACACCCCGCGCTACCACGATCAAAACCATATACGGACCCAAAATGGCCAACAGAGTTTTTCTGAGAAGTCTCCCTCAGCCCTGAAAAATCCTAACAATTCCCCTTATGGACTGCCTGACCCCTCCATTAAATGAGCCTCAATGAAAGCAGTAAATTCCCACGGTGAAAGGGCTGCTTCACAAATAAACTCTCTTTCATTTTAATCTCTGTGCTGGTCTGAGTTTGAATTCTCCCGTGGGTGAAGCCAAGAACCCACAGTGGGTCCCAGACCCCCAGAACACCTTCGTCAGTGTGGTTCCTTCCTCAGTTGCAAAAGTAGGAGTTACCAGGGTTACCCATGCTTTCATTTGCCACAAAATCACCCTGTGAGAGAGGGTGGCAAGGAAGGACTTCCACAAAAATCTCCCGGATGGATTAAAAAAAAATCACAAAACGCTGAACGGTAGTATGTTCACTGTGAATTGTTTTCAAAAAGTCCCACCCCTATATGTAAACTTTACATGTGTTATATAAAAAAATAAATATACAAAAAGTACCCTATAACCATGATTTTCCTGGAGCGCGGAAACAGTCCTTCATGTATTCTTTTATTTATTTTTTTTTCGTTTTAAATTTTTTTCCTTCGTACCTTTCAACAGCATTTTATTTTCAAAGACATATCCTAAACACTTAAGTGAAAACCGTTTAAAGATCTTTAAATGCACAGGAAATTAGAAATAATGTTAATCCTGACTATCCGAGTGGAGTGATTACGGATGACATCTTTTCTAAATTTTCTGCAATGACCAACGAGCAACGAGATCCATCTGGGTCTTTTGATTTGTCCGAAACCCGATCCCGAGCCCGCCTTCTCGCTGAGTCTGGAGGCCTCTAAGCGCCCTCGGCCGAAGTATCTCTCCTTCGGAAGGTTCAGGTGAATCCGTGGGCGTCTAGTCAAAATGCAGATTTTGATTCAACGGGTATGGGGTGAGGCCTGGGATTCAAAATTTTAAACAAATACCCTGGAGAGGCCGATGGCGAACACAGCAAGTGGCAAGGACTGAAACTGTGGGGCCGCGAATTCTACAACAGCAAACAGAATCAGACTCCGGGTCCCCGGATGGGGTGGTGTGCCTAATTTTCCGGGTAAACGTGCCTAAACTTGTGACGACGGTCACCCACCGCCCTGGGCTCCAGCCCGGTGGCCCCACCCCCACCTCCTATGTCCCACCCCTGTGAGGCCCTCGCAAGATCCGCATTGGCCTCCTCGCTCACGTGAGCTCTGCGTCACGTGAGGCCGCCGTCCAATCGCAGCGCTCACTCAGCCCTGCGGGTGGCGGGGCAATAGGGCGCTCGGAGAGGCGGTGGCGGCAGGCACGATGGCTACGTGCCCTGTGGCCGCCTACCCCGACCCCTCCGCGGGGTTCCCCCCGCATCTGCAGGCCGGCGCGATGCGGCGTCGCTTCTGGGGCGTGTTCAACTGTCTGTGTGCCGGCGCGTTCGGGGCCCTTGCCGCCGCCTCCGCCAAGCTGGCCTTCAGCAGCGAGGTCGAGCCCGGGACGCAGCCGCGGCGGGGGGCGGGGGGCCTGGGCGGCTGAGGAGCGCTGCGGGGCCGCGGGGGTCCCCCGTGGTGCCGGGCTAAGGGCGCAGAGCGCCGCCTCACCTGCGCCGTTCTGTTCGGCCGCGTCCGCGGCGGGGTGCTGCAGCCACCCGGGGCGGAGGAGCAGCCCTCGATTCCATCGCGTGTAGGCCGCCAGTGTAGGCGGTAGGAGGCGTCGGGGATCTGAAATCTGTGCTTTGCTGGGGCTAGTTCTCTCTCGGGGAAGACGCGCAACCTCTCTCATTTTAAGCCCCTTGTGCTTGAACGTTTCTCTCCACGTGACTGAAAGTGAGAAGCCTGTTGCCCGTGTCTTTATTCCGTAATTAACGGGTGTTTTGACCAGTCTACCCTGCTGCCAGAAAACGTGAGAGTTTGGGAAGCGGTCTGGACATTCCCTTGATGTTGAGAACCCTTAAGCTGCCTCCCCACGTCTGCTAACGTGTATCTCCTTGCCTTGCCCATCCCAAGTCTGCAGCCCAGGGATAGACCCTGACCTGCACAGTGGACAGGCTGATTCTTTAGGTTTAAGCCTAGTTAGGGCTAATCCAGTGAGAGCGGCCATGCTTGAGGTTAGTATCCTGTTGGCTGTAATTCTTGAAGTGGTCCAAAATAAGACGAGTGACTCCATGAGACATAAATGGTTTTCTGATCTTTTTAGTTGTGCACCAGGCCTTCAAAATCTTTTATATAAGCTGCCTGCCACTGGCACAAACAGTGCTTTTGTGTAAATTATACAAAGACGTCCCTTCCCCAAGACACTATATTCGGCTGCTGGAAAACTTACAAGAAACGAGTATGGGTTTTCAGTGGGCACAGCCTCCAAGAACACAGCTCTGTCTGCAGGTGGGTTGCTACCTTAATACCAAGCAAAGCAAGGGGGTCTGCGTGTTCTTTGTGTAGAAGGCTTCTGAAGATCCTCTCTCCTCTCAAGGCTGTCACCTTTAAAAAAAGAGGCAGACAGAAAACTCGGCAAGTTCTACAGGTGGTGCCTGGGACCACCAGCCAGATAGTCTCAGGTGGTTTTCCTTGCGCAGGGCTGTGTCCCGATGAAGAGCGCGGAGCCACGCAGCCTGGGTTTGAATCCTGGTGGCTCCCATCCCCTGTGGCGTGTTAGGCAAGTTACATAATGTCTCGGGTTCTCTCTTTGTGAAGTGAAGTTAAGGAGTAAATGAGAATGCACTTAAAACACTTAGCACACAGCCTGGCACAGAGTGAAAACTCAGGAATGGTTGAGTGAGATGTAGCCCGCACAAAACGGGGGAGATGCAGCTGATTCACGCTTTACCTGATCTGGGGGAGTGAGGACTCTGCCTGGATGGACTCACAGCTCAGGCCCGATAATAACTGCTTGGGCCCCCGGGGACTGAACGTCCCGCATTGGTCACTGTGTGACCAATAAAGAGTGGTGTTCAGTAGAAAGTACTGATCATGGGTTAGCGTTTTACTTCTGCCCCAGGTCGCATATCAGGAAGATGGCCAAATGAGTGCCATCTTAGTGCTGAGTTTGTCCAGCTGTAAAATGGATGTGCTGCCCACTGAGGGTTAAGTGACGCTCTGAGGCCCCGCTGGCTGCCGGTGACTGTGACCCCAGGTGTGCTGTGGGGGGCACTGCCCGCTGCGATGCCCAGGCTGGGCACTGCCCAGGCTGGGCACCGCTCTAGTGACACCTCCTCCTGCAGGTGCATGTGGGCTTCTGTGCCTTAGGCATTGTTATGATGGCGACCACCAACTCTCTGATGTGGACGTTTTTTAGCCGGGGTCTCAGTTTCTCCATGTCTTCGGCCGTTGCATCTGTCACGGTGACCTTTTCAAACATCCTCAGCTCGGTGAGTAGCTGGGGGGTACAATCCCCCTGCCCCAAACTTGGCTTCTGGGTGGGGTATCCTTTGGTAAGCCCTGCTTCTCTAGGTAGGAGAAGGGTCAGGAACTGAAACAGAGGTTGGGCTGTGGCTCGACCCCTGGGGCTCTTCCTGTGGTCTCTCAAACCAAGTGAGCTGGACGTGGAGCCCAGCGGTGCCGCCGCCTGGCGTGTTGCCGCTCCAGGCTGGAGCCCTCGTTCGGGTCTGTGCACGGCCCAGCCGTCTCCTAGGGATCGGCACACCTCAGTGTGAGATGCGGAGGGACTAGTTCCCTCTTCTGGTGGCCTGAGGTTGGCCAGGCAGACTGAGCCCACTCAGTGCTGCGCTCAGGGGAGGGAGGACGTGGTTGGCCCTCGGGTCGGCGGGCGCCAGGTACCAGGTGCATGCAGGGCCGGCTGCTGGCCTCTGCTGGACCCCACTTTGCTGGGGTCTGATGCCGTGAGGAAGGTACCCTCTCCACTTCTGCAGGTGAGACCAAAATGAATAGAGTGACTTGCTGAAGGTGACAGCAAGGTCTCAAGCCCAAGACTTGCGGCTCCAGACCTCTCCCCCTGCCCCAGGAGGGCAGCAGCAGCAGGGGCGCAGGGCTGGCACACTAGTTGCATCCGCGGGCCTCACAGCTGTCTCTGTCCTGCAGGCCTTCCTGGGTTTCCTGCTCTACGGAGAGTGCCAGGAGGTCCTGTGGTGGGGAGGCGTGTTCCTCATCCTCTGCGGGCTCATCCTGATTCACAGGAACCTCTTGCCAACCGGGAAGACCCTTCCTCACAAGCAGCAGTAGCATCAGTTGGCTGGACGGGTCAGCTAGACAGATGACGATGGTGGCTCAGGCCTGGGCTGGCGCATGGGGACACCGCCCAGGGTGATCTGGGGTGCCGCCTTCCGACCGTCAGATGGAGGGAGATGCTGCCGCGGGCTCTCGAGGGCCAACTGCTCTGCCTCCCGTAGGGGGGCCGCGGCGCGGCAGGGTGCTGCCTGAAGCACCCAATGCATCTGCACTGTGCGCTGATTCTCACCGCCCCAGGCCCGCCCAGGGGCCTCGGCAGATGCCAGAGACCCCGGCATGGTCTGCCCGTGGATGGACTGGAGCTACGCTGTGACTGCTGTCCTGTGGCCTGACAAAGGCCAGCCACGTCACACGGGAATCAGTGACTGGTGGGGCTTTCAGGCAGCTTCATGCTTTGTGTTGGGCCATCGGGCTCATGCTGGGTTACGGCAGGAGAAGAGAGACTGGATCGATGCTCTTTTGTAAGTTAAAACTACCAGGTGTGGAATCCTAATTCTTTACTCCTGTGTTTTTCTTTCCTGATTTTCTGGAGGTGCAGTTCCCCACCTCCTGGGCCTGCCCGGCTCAGCACGTGGTCCCTTCCGACATCAGCCAGCGGGCGCTCCTCAGATCTAGGAGGGCCTGTCCATTCTCTTGGTACCCACGGAGAACAGCTTGACCTCTCTGTGGGGACCTCCTTTTATTTTACTGATGAGGAAAGAAGGCTGGCCAAGATTGCTCTCACCCCCTCATTCCACCTTTAGGCCCCTCCTGTCCCTTGAGTATCTTGCCCAGATCCTTGTGACTTTTTTGTGTCTTGCACCACGTGAATGTAATTCCTAGTTCAGTGTTTACGCTGCCTGCACACTGTGTGTGTGCACAGCCTTTGGTGTGGCGCTCACCTGCTCCAGTCTCCCAGGGGCTCCCCAGGTGTCCGAGAGCCGTCTCAGCTCACCGGCAGCCGACCGCTGGCCGCAGGTCTTCTTGAGGCATTCCCTGCAGTCAGAGGGGACTTGGGCCAGGAGGCCGGTGGGGGGAGAAGGGTCACGTCCAGGCCAGTCCCTGCTCTGTGCACACAGTGCTTTCATTGCCTTCCATTCCTCATTGCACAGTAACAGGTGGGCTTTCTGGAACTTCATGGCTCCCGCTGATTGGGGCCTGGCCCCAGCCCACCTCCCCCCAACTTCTCCCTTGCTGCCTTCTTAATAGCCCCAGGGCTGCGCCCGGGCACCCCAGTGTTTGGAAGTCAGGGAGATGTGGAGGAACTGGCCAGGTGAGCAAGCAGACAGTGAGAGGCGGTATAGCCCAGCCAGTGTGGCATCCTGGGAACACCTCTGGAAAAAGGCTGCAGCCACCCAGGCTAATGCTGAGGGTCACAAAAGTGGGGACGGAGAATAGGCCACTGGGCTGGGAAAGAGATGACTGGCCAGAGCAGCCTGGAGTGGGAGGAACAGTGGGCCGTCTCCACTGATGCCAAAAAGTTCAACATCCTTTCATAATCAAAACATTAAACAAACCAGGAATAGAAGGGAACTTTCTCACTGTGACAAGCCCACAGTGAACATCCTACTCAGCGGTGGGGCATGGAGAGCTGCCCCCAAGACCAGAAGCGGAACAAACACGCCTGCTTTCACCACTTCTCCGCACCTTACGGGAGTTCTGGCCAGAGCCCCGGGCAAGAAGAACAGGCATGCCGTTGGGAAGGAGGAGGAAAAGTTACCATGGTTCAAAGGTGACACCGTCTTACATGTAGAAAATTCTAGATCCTGGGAGGAGGCTGCCCTTTTTCTCAGAAGCCTCGGGCAGGCCTGAGGAGGGAGGCTCCTCACCCCGCAGCAGCCCCTTCCTCTGCTGCTGTCCTGGGAAGTCCTTCCTGTTCTGCCCTCCGCACTTGCTCACATGATCAGCATGCTCTCAAACTCACCACTTGAAGAGCGCTGGCCCCCTGGGTCACTTCTTTCAGCAAACAAGCCTCAGCATCTTGTGTCGGGAGTAGCGGGGGCAGGTGGGCACTTGGGGAGCCATCAAATCCTCCACATTTCCCAGGTCCCTCTCTGAGGGGCCGGCCTTCCTTATTCGGGGCCCTGTTCAGGACACCCAGCCCCTCCATCAGAGGCTGTAACCCTCAGCTGCGCACTTCTGGCAGCAGCACGTGTGAGCTGAATGAAGGTTAATTTGTGTAGTTCATACGACACTCAGCAGTGGTGGGCTGGGCTCCGAATTCAGAAACCTTCGGTCCCAGGTGCTCTGGCCCCAAATGCCCACCTCCTTGACATGGTAAATGATCAGTAAATGCTCGCTGCATGCAAGGCGATTCTCCTTTTGCTCGAAATACCACCCAGAGAGGAGGGTCTGGTTAGCAACTCCCCACGTGCAGCCTGTGCCTGTGTGGCACTGGCCTCCCACATGGGAAATGGGAGAGCAGGGGCTTTGAGGTGACCCTGAGGGAGGATGCCACCCAGGGCCTGGCCTGGGATCTGCTGAAGATGGGAGACTGGCCACTGTGGTCAAGCAAAGAGCTCTTTATTGAGAGGAAGGCAGAGGTGCCGGCCTGCTGCCCAGCAGGCCCTCTTCCTGTTCCGGCGTCAGCTGCAGTGCGTGCCCTCTGAGGCCAAGCAGTGTTAGTGTTGTCGACAGCCACCACAGGGACAAGGCCGCCGTGTCACTGGTGTGCAGAGGACTTGAGGCTCAGGGTTGGGCCTGCCTGATCTGTCCTCCCAGAACAGGCTCTGCTGTGGCTGAGGCCTAGTGCTGAGCCGGGCTCAGGGAGGGGGCACCAGGCCTCAGTGCAGGGTAGATGCCTCCCCCAACGGTCTGAGAACTGGATGGCTTTGGGGGGGGCTGGGTCTGCTTTCAGGCCAAGCTGGTTCTAGGGGAGCAGTTTAAAGCCCATTGTCTCAGGGGACCTGGGTTTATTCAGCACACACCTCTGACACGGCCTGAACTCAGCAGCGGCCCGCAACCATCTTCCCTGGTTCTAAACTCTAACCCTGCCTCCTCGGGGCCACCAGGGGGCAGCAGCGCGTCCCCCGCTGTGCGCAGCCCGGTGCGCGGCCCTCCGCGCTCTCACCCCCGTCTGCCTCCTGGGTCTGGACGAGGACGGCCTTCGGCCTCCGCGCTCGGCTCCCCCTCGCGGGTTTCGGGGCTCCTCACGCTGTCGTTAATAAATATTAGAGCGGATGTGGCCCGAGGAAGCGAGCCTCGGCCCGTTCTGGGAGCCTGGGCTGGAGCCCTGCCATCGCCCTCTCCTGAGGCCTTGTTAGAGCGCGCCGTGCCGGGATCAGGACAGAGGCAGCTCTGCGAACGCCGCCCCTGGGCAATGAACCTCGGGCCTGGTGGGCCACCAGGTGCGGGCAGGGGCCGTCTGCAGCCGCGGGGGCTGGACTGGCCAACCGCGCGGCAGGCGGCGCGCCGGAAGCCCACTCCTGTACCAAACCTGGACCGGCCCCTCGGCGCAGAGGACGCTCTCCCAGCAGCCACTGAGAGGGCCCCCTGCGCAGGTCTTCAGGCTTCAAAAGGGGTGACTGTCTTTCTGGTTCATCAACGTGCAGGCCCTGCCACCTCCCACCTGCTGACAGACAAGAAGGGCACTATCTCGGGAGAAATGGCCTGAAACATACAGGCCAGATGTCTGGTCAGCGCTGCCACGCGGGTTGTTAGACCCCCTTCGGGAGGGAGAGTAAAGTGAGGTTCCCGTGGGACAGGTTGGTGACGATTCCGGTGTCCACGGAACAGGAGCCAAGTTTGGTACTACTGTCGGAACTCGGGCGTTGCCACCTGGGGTACGTTAGCCCACGGGGTCCAGTCGGGCCCTTGCAGGGAGCGGGCCGCCGGGCTGCTCTCCAAACCCAGGCGGGCGGCAGGGGGCGCCCCACCGAGGGCGCGGCTGGTCTCCTGGTGTCAGCGTCCTGCCCGGGTCCCTCCGTCGTAACCTCGTGGCTGTGGTTCTCAAAAGCCGCGAGGCAGGGCCCCACCCGCCACAAGAGAAGACAGAGGTCCCCGGGAAACCAAAGGCAAGTTCGCGGCTGACCCTGGGCTGCCCGGGGCCCAGCTCCCTTCGCGGGCGAGGCCGAGGGACGCCCAGTCGGGGAGAGTGGCTCCTGGCCATCCCGCTCCGGACACTCTTACTAGATGAACTCAGGGAAAGTCTCTTGTCCTCCGTCACCCCCGGTCCCCCGCCCCCCACATCCCCAGCCCTGGCCCCACATGGGGAGAGGAAGGCAGGCTGAGGGTGGCAGTGCCCGGAGAGCGGCCCGAGGGAAGCAGCGGGAGGCGGGGACTGTGTCATGGCCAGAGCCGGGCAGCCACAACGGTGGGGTTGACAGCGACTCCTCCCCACAACAGCATCACTCGTCTGTCACCTCCACAGACTCCTCGTCCTTCCTCCCCTCCACCTGCTCCTCCGTCGCTTCCGTGTTGTCTGACATGGATGCCGCCTGCCGCACCCAGTCCCCGTCATTGAGAAGCTCTGGGTGGCAGGGTCCGGAGAAGGGGTTGAACCAGTTGAGGGAGAAGTTCCCACCGAAGGTCTCCTTGACCGTCTTCCAGCTGCCCCGGTGCTCTCTGGGCTGGTGCTTTCGTTTGAGGCGCTCAATGCCCTGGAGAGACAAGGGGGTCAAGGGGGTCAGCATGGGACGGGCTGTGCCCCCCAGGCGCCCCCCCAGCCCTGGCACAGCAGAGCACGACGCCCCTCAGAGGGCCGACGGGGTGCAGCGGGGAGCGGGGAGGGTCCCGGCAAGCAGGGCCTCACGAGACCGGGCGGTGCCTCCCACCCCACGGGCCCGCCCGCCCCCTCCCACAGGTGCGAGGCTGCCCCGCCTCCTGAGGGGCCAGCTGTGCGCTGGGGCCAGGCCGGGGGGTGGCCAAAGCGCAACACCTGAGGCCTCCGGGGCGGGAGCTGGGCCACCTGTCCTGAGACCACTGAGGAGGTGACGCCTCCCTGAGCATCCCGGGCCACTCCCCCCACGGTAGGCAGTAGCCGCAGCAAACAGCATGGAGAAAGATGTCGGGCCAAAGGGGGCAGTGTAGGATACAAACAACACATGAGGCGAGGAAGCAGAGGTGTGTGCAGCTAGAGACAGCATGCAGCGGGCAGCCGGAGGGCGCACAGGGTCACTGTGGGGAGGCCACGGCGGGTGTGGGGCCTGCTCATGCGGTGGACACGCCCTGCGGCCTCTCCCAAGCTGCCCACTCACCTGCCTCTGGGCGTCGGCTGCGCCTCAGCCACCAGGCCACAGAAGGAGAGTGTTGGGGAAAGAGAAGCCCCAGAGTTAAAGGCCCAGCCAGGCCGGCTCCGCAGGCCCACGACACCCTCCACAGAGGCTTTGACCCCCACGGGGAAGGACGAGGACTCTGCCTTCTCCATCTCTTCTGGATGCCAAGGGGACGGGCTGCGGGTCTGTCGGCCGTGGGAACGGCTCAGTCATGCGACTCCCACCTCAGGACAATCGCCGATCACCGGGGCCCTCTAGTTCTAGGTTTTCTCTCCTTTTCCACAGAAGATCCTACACAACTGGTCTAATCCTTTCTGTTTTGAGGAACGGGAAACTGAGGCACACACAGAGATCTGACCACACCCTGGACCAGTCCTCCAGCTCCTCCTTCCCACACCTTCTCAGAGATTGACCTTTCTTGGCTTTTGAAAACATCATGGGTTAAAGAATTTGATTTCAAAGTATTGCTTCGTAAGATGCTTACTAATTACAAAGGGCAAAAGCAGTAACTTTCCAGTAGGGAAACTTTGCAGATATCACCTTAGCCAAATCAAAGTTAACAACAGCACCTGCGCTGAGAAAGGCACGGCCCTCAGCCCCTCAGCCCCTCAACCCGTCAGCCCGGCCGCCACCAAACCGCCAGGAGCCAGACGCAGCGGAGGTAGTTCACGGAAATCGGGGCTCCTAACCCTCAAAGGGCTCAAAGTCTGATGAAATGTTTTAGAACCAGATAGAAGAGGGGACTGTACAGTGTTATGAAAGCCCTGAACGGCAGAGTCGCACTTTAAAATGGTTAAATTTATGTTGTGTGAATTTCACCTCAAAAAAAAAGTTCAGGAAAGACAAAGGAAGACTGAGGAACTCTGGCGACAGGCAGAGACTAGAGACAGGATAAGCGATGCCATGTGGCACCCGGGAACAGAAAGAACATTAGAGGGACAACTGGGAAATCTGAACAGAGTATGCAGATTAGTTAATAGTAATGTATCCATACATTTCCAGGTTTCTACATTTGCATTGTGGTTATATAAAATGTTTACACTGAAAGACTGATTGGAGGGTTATGGGACCTCTTTATACTATTTTAACCACTTTTTTGTAAGTCTGAAACAATTTTACAATAAAAGTTAAGACAATTTGAGACAGATTTATGCAGGCAATCTTGGACACAGTTATAACAAAAAGGTGGAAACAATCGAAGTATCTAATGATGGCTGTGTAATCTATAAAGCAAAACACTGCAATTATTAAAAATGGTATCAATACATTTTTACATGACATTGGAAAACCCTGTCCACATGGTGACAAGGGGCCCATGACATCATCGTAGAACCTGAGGTCACCTTTGGGGAAGGGGCTTCAGATGATCTGAATTTATTTCGGCAAACTTCCCCCATGTTCCAAGTTTTCACCAACACACAGGTGTTCCTTATAATCGGAACCAAAGCAGCTGTTTCAGATGGATCCCATTCACAGTCTTGGGGGAGCCCCACCTGGGCCAGGAGTACAGGGCTCGGTGCGGCTCGTGGGCAGGCCCCTGCCAGTCCTCCCTGCGGAGCCGAAGCAGCAGCGGCCAACTGAGGTGACCTGCTTTGGGGACCTTGCATTCCTGTCCTGGGTCGTCATCTGTAGCGTGTTAAGAAGAGTTTAAACCACAACGGCAGGGTCGCTGGGATGTCACTACGTGGCTGACCAGGCTGCACAGGGGACCCCAGAAATGGCAGATGGGCTGTACCCACACTGATGGTATCACTCAAAGCCACGGCTATGGGTTCTCAACCACCCAGAGAAGATGCGGGCTCAGGGTAGCACTTGGCAGATGGGCAAACAGAGGCTGAGAGGCTGTGACAGCGGCCAGAGCGCGTCCTGCAGCTCACACATTAGAACTGGGGCTCGAACTGGTAACTTCCCTCTGCCCACGTTGTGTTCGTCCTCCTGCAAATCGCTCTGCTGGTGCTGATCTCAAAGGCAGAGCAAAGCCGGGAGGGGAATGAAGAGAGCGTGCCCCGGGATTACTGGAGCCCGTTCCCGTGGCTCCTGCCCAGAGACTCGAGGACGAGGCTCAGCCTCCCCACTGAGCCTCCCCGTCCGCCAGATGAAGCTCCTCAGCCATTAAGTGTGTTGACTCAAGAGTCCGGAGAGAAGTTCCGACAAACCTGAGGCATAAAAGGCCCGAAGATCTGAACCCTCAGGTTCAGGAGGAGCCTATAGAGTTACTTTTTCCTGGGAAGACTCAGTTTTGAGTTTTGTGCAGATTTAAAGGTGTCCTGAAAGCAAAATGCTTTAAAAAAAAAAATTGATTTTAGAAATAAATGAAGGGGCGCGAGGGGTGGGTGCGGGGGGGAGACATCGATTTGTTGTTCCACGTATTGCTGCATTCACTGGTTGCTTCTTGCATGTGCCCTGACTGGGGATTGAACCTACAACCTTGGTATATCGGGATGGTGCTCCAACCAGCTGAGCCACCCAGCTGAAGGAAACGGTCTTAAGCTGGAGGTCTGCAGAGGCAACAGCCGCACCCACCTCAGGCTGAAGAGACCCACAACGGTGGATTCCTGGCAATGGCCCCAAGCAGCACCTCTCGCAGGCCATATGTGACATGGGGCTTTTGGGCCCCATTGGCCTGAGTGACACGAGCTGTGATCTGTAAACAAAACCACTAACGCCCCAGAATGAATGTACCAAGACTAAGGGTCCAAGGGAGGCAGAGACTCAAGTGCACACTCTGTGAGGGCTCAGCTGAGACACAGCGCCGTGGTGCAGAGGTCCCCGCGGACACCAAAGGCCGGCACGTGGGCGTACATCTGCGCAGGCTCTACGTTCTTTCCCCTCGCCCTTTTAGATGGTTCTTCACCCCAAGGGCCCCTTGGTCCAGAGACCAGGCGGACAGATGAGCAGTGCAGGGCTGCCAGCCGCACGTGGCTCCCTGCACGTGCTCTCGCTGCCCCCAGCACTCGTCTGCCGGGGCGGCCGCAGCTCGGGCAGGAAGAGGGGCTGCCGGCTGCAGGCCTGCCCGCGCCGCACCGAGCCCAGCAGCACCCAGGGCCACCTCCTCCACGGGCGCCAGGGCCACCTGCTGGGGGACCTCGCAGCCCCAAGTGGATTTTCAGAACTGAGCCTGCGTCAGAACCACGGCGGGGCCACTGGAGTCCGGACTGCTGGGCGTGACCATCATGGGGGAGCCCAAGAATGTGCATTTCTAACAAGTTCCCAGGGGCTGCCGCCCCCCGTCTGGGCACCACCACATGTTGAGATGTCTCCGTGCCTCACTGTAAAGATTCTTGAGAGGAATTCCAGTGAAGTCTTCCCTTCATTGGTATTTAAAGGCCCCTTCTAGGCTGGGACCCCTCACCTCCACCAGCTGGCTCACCCTTCAGGCTGATGCACTGTAAGTGTTGAAACGTGAGTGGCGTAAGCCCAGCCTCCCGAGGCCTGCGTAATGCCGACCTCACACGGGTGGTTCGTGACTGTTTCTTAACTGACCTCACCTGAAGATTCCTGCTTCGGGAAGGCGGGTTTTCACTTTCTAGCAGCCCAGCCAGAATGAGCAAAAGCTGGTAACTCCAGGCACCTCCCTTCCAGCTCTTCCAAAAAAAATGCATTACGGAGATGCAGTGCTTAGGACTAACAGGAGGCTCGGCGCCTGCACACCCACCCAAACTCCCTGCGCGCGCGTGGTATCCCCCAGCCCATGCAAATCTGCAGATTTGTCCAGACGGGGCCTTCTGCATTTGGTCGGGTCGCTGCAAACAAGGAGTCCCCTAATTCACCCTGCCACGTCACCACCGTCCTCTTCACAGATCACTTCCTCTCTGCAGAGGCCACGTTATGAAGCCCTTTGGCTACGGCTGGCCCGCTTTCCACGTGTGTGCGCCGTGCAGCGCGGCCCAGCTCCTGTGCCGAGGCCAACAGCCGGCCACCTTTGTGCAGAGGCGTGTCCTCTTTGACCAGGCATCTGGGAAGGCCGAGGAGATCTCAGGAGGCCCGTTTCCTCCTAGGGGGACGCAGGGCTGGAGGCCACCCCCTCTACTGCCAATGGAAGCATCGTTCCTTAGCTGCGGTGCCCTCGGCGGCGTTTCCATCTCCATGAAAATGGGAAGAGCACAGGACCCTGGCGGGGGCACTCCTGTCTTCCGAGGGCAGCATGTCTCTCTGGCCTGAGAACCGGGGACATGCATCCCTTCAGCCGGGGGGCTTGTGGACACCGGAGATAGAATCACACTGGACATCGGCAGGAGTGTCTCTCTGGGGAAGGTGGGCAAAGCCCACTCAGGTTTAAATGAGGGGCTTCTAGTTTTAGGACTCAAAAAATGTTCAAAACATCTTCAGCATTATCTACTGCGTTCTTTAGAAATTCCCCTGGGAGAAAAACCAACTTGGGTTACTTAAAAATATGCTCTTGAATATGGGGACTTAGGGGTCATCCAAATACTTAAAAAATGTACCGTGGGCCCCAGTCTCCCTCCTGTAGCAGGAGGACCAGTGCGGTCACGCGGCCTCCCAAGGGACAGACCCCGAGGGGCACGGGCAGGGCCAGAGTCCTCTAGGCCACTTCTAAGTCATTTAACAGCCACGCTTATCCCACACCCATAAGTGACGGGTGTGGCTCAGTGGGTTGGGCATCGTCCCTCAAGTTGAAAGGTCACTGTTTTGATTCCCAGTCAGGGCATGAGCCTGGGTGGCAGGCAAGGTCCCCCGGTTGGGGAGCATGCGAGAGGCAGCTGATGGATGTTTCTCTTGACCATCGATGTTTACCTCCCTTTCTTTCTCCCTCCCTTCCCCTCTCTCTAAACAATTTAAATTTAAAAAGCCTTTAAAATAAAACATGTGTGGGAAACAAATGCTATAAGCTAGGTTTGAAAATAGGCTTCAGCCTTGACTGCAGCACAAACAGCAGAGCAGAAGTGAGACCCCGTTAGCTGACTTCAGGCCGCAGAACTCCCTGGTCCAACGCCGAGGGGGCATCAGAGCAACATCCTGGAACTGTCGGCGGAGGGCGGGGGGGTCTGCAGTGACTTCCCCAGCGTTCGGCTGCGTGGGGACCTCTCTCCCAGACCCAGCCCTAGAGGCAACATCTGCAGACCTGACAATTTTTTTCGGTAGTGACTGAGAAGCCATGAGTACAGGGAAGGGACTGGGCTGCGGGAGCCAGAGGCGAGGCTGGCGGGGCAAGCCTACCTTCCTAGGGAAGCGTGAAAACAAACACCCAGTCAACACACTCAGTGGCCAGACCCCTCGCGGGCCCTGGACGCGCAGCGACGTTGTCAGAGAGCAGGGCTTCCTCAGAACGGGTTTTGGAAAACTTTTATTGCATTTTGTTTCCAGGTGGAAGCACGGACTGACAGAATTGAAGACGCAGCATGTTCCACTTACTTTTCTGAAAAATCACATGGCTAGGTTCACGGTCTTCCTATCCCAGACCGGATTTAATAAACCTTATCCCGTCCCCACCCTAGGAGCTACAAAAGGTTTGTGGCGATGCCTTTAGAACAAAACAAAACAAAACCCATGTGTGAGAATCCGGGCTTCTGAGTTTTGCATATGAGGGCACTCGGTCTCCTCCCTCTAATTTCCCCGTCCTCAGGCCTCCCTCCGGCAAAGGGTACTTGCAGCGGGAAGCCCCAGCTGGGAAAAGCTATGCAGGCCCAGCACCCGAGGCCCAGGCGCACCTGCGGGTTTCAGGGACCAGGGCAGCCCCTGCCAACTGTGGAAAGTCGGGGGGCTGGAACGACGCCCTTGTGGCACGGTCAGCCCCAGGCCAGGGCAACAGGCTCCCAGGTCAGACTGGAGACAAGACGTGGGCACGTGCACATTGAAGGGTCTAATTATCAGAAAGCGAACCTGCTTTGGTGACTTACAAAGCAAGGAAGAGAGGGCGACGGCAGGGGTGCAGGTGCGGGGCTGCAGCCGCCTGGCCTGGCGGCAGTCTCGCGAGGAGCGGGAGGAGGGACGTGGGGAAGCAAGCAGACGCAACAGAGGGAAAGGGGGCTTGCCCGAAATCGCGCGATTTTTTCCGTCTTTTGATTGTGTAAGGCATTTTGAACCAGAAAGACTTCTTTCCTTCACACTCTTCCAAATAATCAGAGAGAACATAACTGGTGATTCAGAATACAAATCTGACCCTTTCACCCCCCCGCCCCAATCATTCCACACACCCCGAGTCTACAAAGTACAAGGCAGGCAACTGATTTCGTGGATTAGGAGGCAAACCATGTCCACGTCGGGGATGGGGCCGCGGTGCCAGGGGCCCTGCACAGGGCTCCAGCCCTGATCCTGCCCTCTGGGCCGCCAGGGGCAAGCGTCCATCTTCTGCGAGGTTCTAGTCCTGCCGCCGCCTCCTGGGCAGGGGGAGGTCAGGGCCCTCCAGTGCCTCCCCGACCAGGACCAGGCATGGAGACCAGTCCATCCATCCACGCACCAGCGTCACACGTCTCAGTTAGTGGGAGAGGGCACCGCCCGGGGACAGCGCCCTCCACGTTAGTCATGCCAGACAGACAGCAGAGAGGAAACCAGAGGCCAGAGAAGTGATTTTTGAAAAGGAAAACAGAAGAGCAGCTTCGGTTTGCCAAAAAATAGAAAGGATGATCTTTTAAAAATAAAACATGGGGACTTTTTTTTTTTTTCTCTGCAACGCTCAGCCATTTTACTTGAGCCATAAAAAAAAGTTTTAGTTGTTTTGCTCTCTCGGTTTAAACATTCGTGAGGCCGGGCTGGCGGCGGTGCTGTGATGTGGTTTGTGTCTGAGTGGCATTGCTGGCCGGGGTCCTTCAGACCACGTACTGGGACGGGTCTGCCTTCCCTTGGTCTGGCGTGGCAAAGGGGCTGGCCCAGCCTAGAGAGAAGGGGTGGCCGAAAACGGCTTTCATGTTCATCCATTTTGTTTTTTTAGCCCATCTTCTCTCTTCCTTTTTCAATTGTTCTATTCCCTGAAAACAAGAACAATCACACTTTCAGTCAAGTGCTTTATCGCTGTGGGTTTGGGGGAGGGATGTCCATTAGCTTGAGATGAATGGAGTAAATGCTTCCTTTTTAAAGCCATAAAGCTAACTGCAATATGCATTTTTTTCCCCTTTCTCTCAAAAAAAGTGTTTTAAAAAAAATCATGCTTTTGGTGGGGGAAGGGGTGGGCAGGGCAGATACTTGTAAGTCCCTCCTGGAAGGGCAGGAAAGTGAGCAGCAGACCAGGAGCGCCCAGGCCTTCATTCCTTGCCCGCCCGCCGGCCGGCCGGGGTGCCTTAGGCCCTGACTGGCTCTGCGGGCGCTGCTGCGGAGCCAGAGGAGCGTGGGGGCCAGAGCAGCGTGGGGACTGCACAGGCTTGGGCGCGGGAAGCCTCAGGTGGGCGACCGTGGCCGCCAGCCACAGCTGTTCATCTGGGACTGGTTCGCAGGAAGTCTAAAGTTACTATGACCACTTTGCAGACAAAAAAAAAGGAGCAAGTCAAAGGGCGGCTCTGCGCGGTCAGACACGCCAGCCTGGGGTTCAGGAGGCACAGCTCAGGAGGGGGACAGGAGGGACAGACCGCGCCAGGGGAGAAGCCACCAGAGGAGGAAGGAGGCAGTTAGTACAGGTCAGAGGACCACGCGGACAGACCAGTCAGCCTCAGTCACCGCAAGGTCTTCCCAGGGCTCCTGTGGGGAGCAGTGTGACCGGGGCCACCTCAGCGGTTGTCACAGACCCCGCAGCGCCCCCACCAAGGAGCTGCTGGTGGGCGGGGCCAGGACTCGGGCCCAGCCCAGAGGGACAGGGGAGAGCAGCCTGGCGGGAGCCGGTGGGTCCGGGCCGGCCTCTGGTGAGGCGGTGAGCAGGGCCTGAGGGAACAGCCAGCCCAGCCTGCACCTCTGTTCTCAGCCTAGGGGCCTGGGAGGACAGAGGTGAGGGGACGGCCCCGTTTCCTGCGAGCTGAGGCCAGGCCGGGGTCACCCTGGTTTCCTGCAGTTCTTCCATGGGGGGCCGGCCACGTCTACTGCTCGGGCACAGCTGCATCGATGCCGCTGGCGACCGTTATGTCAGGGCCTCTGGCAATGACGTTATTTCTTAAAAGAGTTGCTCTAAGCCCCCCAACCTTCTAACCCGTCGGGAAGCCCCACATGTCCAAACCGTGGTGCCAGGCAGCCGGACAGCACCGCCCGTGTGAGCCCTGCCACCTGAGGGGCCCTGGGAGGCCAGGGGTACTGCCAGGTGGCCTCGCGACCCCAAAGGCAAAAAGGGAGGAGGTGCCCCCGTCAGCCATGGGCTGACCCCTGTGAGGCTCCCGCACGGCTCCTGAAGGGGCGGGAGGTGGCAGTGGCACAGGGGGTGGCTCCAGCCCGGGAGCTTCGAGGCCCCCCGAGGAGGAGGCATGAGCAGGCGGAAGGCAGAACCAGGGAGCAGCACCTGACAAGGACGAGGACCGGGGCTGGGCCTGGCGGGGCGACCCCGCGGTCTGGGGCGAGAGCACCTGCTGGCCACTGATGGGGGCGGGGGCGGGGCTTGAGGCAGGCTGTCTCCCGACTCCGCCCTCAGGACCTGACCATGGAGTCACCTCCTCTGGGAGACCGACCCCGCCTGTGCCCGCTGGGTGAGAGGCCCCTTCGTCCACCACCCTGTCTCCAGGCCTGTGGCCCCTGGATGGGAGGTGTCCCAGTGCTGAGCTGGGCACCCGACACAGAGCAGGGCTCGGAGAGAACCACCGCGGGAGGATGGAAGGACCAGTGACAGAGGGGAGCCATCACCGAGGCTGCTGGGCCCGTTCCTGGCGTGGCCTGTCATGCCAGCCCCAAGGGGGGCGGACTCATGTGTCCATGAAGATCAGTGTCACTGCCTGCGGGGAGCGAGCCCTGCACACGGGGGTCTGGGCGGGCTCCCAGGCCTGGCCTGCGAGCTGCCTTCCCAGCAGCACCTGCCCCGGGGCCGCCCCCAGCCCCACGTGCAGAGGGCCGGTTGGCCACCTGCTTACCGTCTCGTCTGTGCAGATGGAGTGCACCTGGGTCCCAAACATCACCGACGTGAAGATGAGGAAGAGCAGCCCCTCAAAGCACAGCAGGATGAGCAGGATCACTGTGGTGGGTGGCGAGAAGTAGCTGCACTCTGAAAGCAGGGGGCACGGGGGTCAGGGCGGCGGCCCGCTGCCCTGTGCCCCCAGGGCTCCCCCTCTGCCTCAAGCCTCCCGGACTGGGCCAGGGCCTCTTGCACACAGCTGGCCACCCCGGCGCTCCCTCAGGGAAGTCCCCTGACAGGCTGGGCCCGGCGGGGCCCCCCCACCCTAGCACGTACCGGTCCTCACTCACTGCCTCTTCCCCGGCCAGCACGTGACGCCTGTGTCCTCGTGCCAAGCACAGTGCCTGCCCACGGAAGGACCCAGCGAGGACCCAGGGTCAAGGTGTGAGGCCTGGCGACACCAGACAGACCCTCGTCCCCTCAGAGAGCGGGCTGCGGGTGGCCCGGGGGAGCGGCCCAGCCCGGTCCGGTGTGGCCGTGAGCCTGGGCATTCCCGTATCGGCGCCGCCCCTCTCCACGCCTCTATCTGCTCAGGGGCGAGACTGTGGGTCTGGAGGGTCACTGGGGGCTTTGGGACTTGAAGCTCATGGGGGCGGGTGGTGTGACTGCTGGGCTCCACCCTGCCCTGGGGGGAGCTGAGCCCAGGCCGTGCCCCCTTGGCAGCATTGGCACCACCCACCACCGAGACATCCCGGCCCCGCTGCCAGCCCACGCTGACCTGGGGTGTGTCCCCCCTGCCAGGCCTCTCCTCCCTCCACTGCGGGTCAGAAAGATCGATGAGATGCACGCTTTTATCCTAAGTAGTGGAATCTTTTGAACAAGAGTCAGAACCCCGACCCACGGGAGAGAAGAGCAGAGGTGCTGGGGAGATGACCGGGACGAGCAGGCGGAAGCCCGGGGACGGTGGCCGGCACGGGCCATGGGGGCGCCCCGCTGCCGCGCCAGCCCTTGCCCTGGCCAAGAGCCGCCCGTGAGGTCAGGCCCGGCCGTCCCTGCGCTCCATGGCGCCGGGCTCAGGCCTGGCCCCCAGCTGGAGAGGTCGGATCCTGGAGGGCAGTCAGGCCTCGCTGGGTTGGGCATCCAGGAGTAAACGGCCCCTCTGAGCCGCCCTGCTGGCTCCTTCACAGGGATTTCGTGGGGAACTCGGCACTGCCCAGGTGGCAGGGCCCAGGATGCTGCATCTCATGCCTCCTGTGGCCCTCGGGCCTCAACAGGGCCTCCAGAGACGCCCTCCCTTCCGGGGCCTCGGCGGACAGGGCTTGGCGGGCGGCCACAGGTGCGGCGGCTGTCGGTCCGGCCTGGGGGCTGGCGGGACGGTGGGAGGCGCGAGGGCTCTGAGGTCAGGCAGGCATGGCGGGGCGCGGGTCCTGTACCAACCCGTCGTGACCCTCACTACGGTGCCACCACTCACGCGCCATTCGGGCCCCGCGTCTTTCCTGCCCTGCGCACCGTGGAAAATGGCCCGTCAGCTCCGTTCGGAGCGGAGACGCTCTGCCTCAGTGACAGCCCACGTGAGGCTCACACTGCCCATGCCTGGTAACCCGACAACAGGTGGGCGCTGCTTGTGAGGACAAAGTGTCCTCCTCAGACCCCACTGCTGAGTTGCCAAAGCCACACCTGGAGCGGGACTGGACCCTGAGGACCTGGCAGAGTTCGTGTGCCCTCCAAACGCTCACCCAGGACCTTGCTGGTGACCCGTCCAGCCGTGCAGGACATACGACCGGCCCACAGCCCCTCGCCCCACCCTCCGCTCCCTGGCACCCACTAGCTCGCCCTTCTCCTCGCTGGCATGTGCCAGAACCATGCCAGTCACGACAGCGGGGAGACACGGAGCTGTGGACGGAGCCGTGCCCCCTCCGTGCCTGTGTTTACGCCCCACCCCCCCATGCAGTGGTGTTCAGACACGGGCCTTTGGAGGATGAGCCAGATGAGGTCACGAGGGAGTCAGTGCCCTTCTAAGAGACTCCAGGGAGGCTGCTTCTCTCTTTGCGTGTGAGCACACGAGGAGGAGACCCCGCATCAGGAACGAACTGGCCGGCCCCTCGACCTGGCCTTCCCAGCTCCGGAGCTGTGAGGGGGGCACGGGACTGTTCGGGTGGCTGGGGCGGAGCTGCTGCCCCCCGGGCCAGGCCCAACTGGACAGAGCCGGGCAGGGGCAGGGCCGGGGAGGACCCCGGACGCCATCTGCCTCGCAGCCTCACGACTCCTGAGAAACCACCACGGCAGGACAACGCCCAGGACGTCGGTACACGCAGAAAGAGCACCACTTCTGAAAGACAGGGACTTGGGAAAGGGGGCCCATCGAGGGAAAAACCAGTAGAAACAGGATGTTTCTGCTGAAGACGTCTGTCTCACAGACTGCGCGTGCGTGCGAAGGGTCTGGCTCGGCAGGCGGCCTCTCTTAAATTTTTGAGTGTATTAAAATTCTTATTTCTTCTTTTTATTCGCGTTTTAAATTTCATGTATTTATTTTCTTCAGCACCTGCATTTCCCCTCAGAATCTGTGTGATTTCCTGGTTGGAGTTCCTCCCCCATTTACACATTTACGTGGGATACTTCTCAACAGAAAGAATTTATCTACAATCTTAACGTAAACTGGTGACCAAGCAGTTAAAAATCAACCACCATAGAAAACAAATTAATAAACAGTCTCCACATCCTAGCCAGAAAGTTAGAAACGAATTTCTGCGAGACTGGCATAAGTGACCTTTGAATCGAGTGCTTTGTTAAGGACACGGAACAAACACTCCTCCCCGGGCAGGGCTGCTCTCCCCGGACGCGCCTCCGGGCCGCAGTGCTCTCCCCGCCCGCGTGGGCGCAGGCGCGGGGTCTGGCTGGGCGGCCACTGCGCCCACAGGGCTGCTCTCTTTCAGGAGGAGAGGCCTGGGCCTCCGCTGTTGCTGCCCGGGCGGTCTGAGGGCTTGCAGGAGGTCTAATAAAGTGGGGCCCCCCCACCCCGAGTGGGAGGGGGACCCTGACGCATACTCACTTGTCCAGTCCTCTTCAAAGCAGTGCAGGAAGTGGAATCCCACCATGATGAGGGCGTGCAAGGAGATGAGCGCTATGTACATCTGCAACGGGAAATGGGAGGGCAGCGCAGGTGCAGAGTGAGGGCGCCCCCCCCCCCCACAGGCACACTCAGTAGGGGCGGGGCGAGGGGTGGAGGTAGCGGAGGAAGGCTGACCCGCCGAGGGCCGCAAGAGGCATCCTTGTGGTTCCCCCACTGGTCCCCGCCCCCAGCCCGGGTCTGGGCTGAGCGGCCTTTCACGGGAAGTGTGTGGACAAGGACAGAGACAAGGGCCCACCCCCGGGTGTGGCCTGGGCGCCAGGGGCTGGGGCTGCCCGGGGCGCTGTGGGTCTGCCAGGGGAGGGCAGGGCGCCGTGGCCAGCAGCCCCTCCAGCTCTCACTCTGAACACAGCCCCCCACCCGCAGGCCTCGCCAGGACTACCGGCCTCAGCTACCCCGCTGCACCCTGGGGACAGGGGGCATAGGGCACGGCCTCGTGCACAGCTGACTGACCGGAGTTGACCCTCCAGCCACTCGAGCGAAGGCCTGAGGAACAGGCAGGCCCTCGCAGGGCCAAGGAGAACCGGCGGGAAGGCAGAGGGCAGCCGGGCGCCGTGCCAGGGACTTACTGTAAACAGGACGAAGTACTTCTGGTTGTTCTCGCCCACACAGTTGTTGACCCAGGGACAGTGGTGGTCCATCTTCCGGATGCACCGCTTGCACACACTGCAACGGCCCACACGGCAGGGTCAGGTGGGCCTGGCCATGGTCGGAGGGCTGCAGGGAGCGCAGACGCTCCAGCCCCGCTCCTCGCGGTGGCCTCCTGCCAGCGGTGTGCCGCAGGGGGCTGGAGGCGGCCAGGGCCCCCAGGGCACCGCCATCCACCCCGGGCTCTCATGTGACACGGACACGGGGTGGGACTGACGCGGCCGCTCTCCTGCTGTGACACTGAGCTGAGAATGCATGTGCTTTACGGAGAGGACAGAATGAAGGAGCAGTTTCAAATGCCTGACAGGATGAGACGGACCGAGAAAACAGCTGCTCCCAATTCCCCAGACAGACCAAACACTAGAGGCTGCCCGGGGCTTCACAGGCGGGGGAGCAGCCCAGCAGGAGCTTCGGGGACGGGGCTGGGTCAAGTGCCCGAAGCCTCAGGGCGGCAGGAAGCCCCCTCCAAGAACCTCTCAGATCTAAGATAACATCCAAAGTAGCCAAAAAAAAAAAAAAAAAAGAAAGAAAAGAAAAGAATAAAGGCACAAAGGTCATTTGAGCTGAAGTGTTGATCAGAGGATCTCATAAATTTGCAAATCACTAACTGGTTATTGGGATCATTCTGGAAGGTTCCAAGCTTATGTGAAAGCAAATGCCCTGCCCACCCCTTCGTGGACACACAAGGTCATCATATGAAACAAGAGCACCATGAAAGCAACCACTTCCCAAAGCTCATGTCTAGAGAGACCCACTTGCCAACAGATAGGTTCACCAAAATTGTTCTCTTTTCAATTCATTAAAATAGATTCCTTAACATCTATCTTGGGGGCATTATTTGTTTGAAACAGTTGGAAATGCTAAAAATAAGAGCTCGGAAATAGTACAGTTAGATTTCTTCTTTGAAAGTCGCTGAGCTGACACCAGCGTTTCTCCCCACTCCCCGTGTCTCAGGTACCGGCCGTGCGCAGCGGTGGTGGCGGGCAGCCCCTCCAGGAAGGGCTGGCCAGGGCCCCGCTGAGCGCCAGTCACTGGCGGACAGGGTGGGAAGGCGCGGGAGGCCCCACTGCGGGCCGCTGAGACCTGTGACCCGGAGCTGCGGGGCCCACCCCCACCCTGGGAGGAGGGCGGCCTTTTCGAAGCCTGGCGTGAGCTTTGGCGGCAAGGCAGACCTGGGTCTGCTGAGCCACCCGGCTGCCCGCCCACCGACAGGGAGTGAGTCCTGACTAGAGACTAGAGACGAGGCGGGAACAGGCGTGGCCTGGCTCGGCCAAGCGCTGGAGCCAGCCCGGTCTCCTCCCTGTTCTTCTCTACAACCCCGAAGGGTCTTGCCAACACACCTGAAAGGGACGCATCTCGGGGAGGGTGGCCCCACTACTGAGCTCCCGGGGCCAGGGGTGCAGGCGAGAACGGGGGGAACAGAAGGGTCGTGGGCAAGTAGAGAGCCAGGCGCCAGCAGCCCCATTATTCTCACTCTCTCTTTGTCTCTGTTACTAATTAAAGAATATGCATGAATAACATACAAGGGGCGGGCAAAGAGAGGGTTACTTTTGCAAGTACACAAAATAGTTTATTTTTTGTTATTATTTATGAATTATTGTATCATTGAGTCAATTGGTGACACTTGTTCCCAGTACAAACGTTTGAAGTGCAGACAAGGGGACAGGAGACTGAGCTCCCCGCACCCCAGGCCCCAGGCGCTGGGTCCCACACCCCCCGCGGAGCCACCTGCGGGGCCCATTTCTTGCTTGTCCTTCCCGGGACAATCAGCTCTGGGGGTTCTGGGCCCCTCCCTGTGTGGGGAGCAGACTGCTGAGGGGACCCACCTCCCAGCTCGAGGCTCTTGAGCACTGTCTCTTCCGCTGCACTTATTTCTAAGAGGCTTTTGAGTGGGTGCTCCGGGGCCCCGCCTGCTCAGCAGAAGGAGGGTGCGCACTGGCCGGACGCCCTCAGGAAGCTGCCGAGGACTGACCCACCCTCTCTTGGCAGACCCATCCTCTGTTCTCCCAGCCTCTCTGGGGGGACCAGGCGTGCCCCCGGGAAGCTGACCCTCACAAAGGCCTACGTCTCACCAGGGAGCCAAATCAGAGAACTACTCATCCTTCCGGTAGCAGGGAAAAGGGGGCCTAGCCCACTGAGAGCTGCAGAACTTGGCTCAGGACTTCGGTCAAGATGGCGGCACAGACACACATGGCTCGCCTCTTCCCACAGCCACATCAAAATCACAACTAAAATACAGAACCACCATCACTCAGAACCGTCAGAAATTGAGTTGAATGCAAGCCTGACAGCTACGGGATTAAAGAGACCACCCAGACTTGCAGGAGGTGCACAGATGTGGAATAGGCTGGTCCCTCACCCATGGGTGGTGGATGAAAATTTGGAAGGGATATCTTGGGAGTGAGGACTCCCAGCCCCCACACCAGGACCCCCAGCTCAGGGTCACAATGCCAGGTAGGTAAGTATCCACAACTTCTGGCTGCAAAAACCAGCAGGGACTGAGTTGGTGGAAGAAACTGCTGGAGCCCCAACAGTTCATTATTACCAAACCGTTATTGTATGAAATGTTAGAGGAATTTATTTAAGAAAAAGAACAAAACTGTGAACAATAAAATGGCAAAGTACGTATCTATCAGAAATTCAATCTAAAAAACAAACTCAGCAAACAAGAGCAGAGGCAGAACCACAGATATGGAGAGCGTTTTGATGGTGGTCAGAGAGGAGAGGGGTGGGGGAAGGGGAGAAGAGGTGAGGGGAGTCAGAAGGACAAGTAGGCAGTTACAGAGCAGCCACGGGGACGTAAAGTGCGGCGTAAGAAACGGAGGAGCCGAAGAACTTACTATGCAGGACCCAGGGACCGGAACAACGGTGGGGGATGCCCTGAGGCAGTGGGCGGGCTGCCGGGTGGAGGGGGGCGAAGGCGCGAAGGGGGAAAAATCAGGACAACTGTAATAGCACAGTCAATAAACTAATTTAAAACAACACCACCACAACAACGACCCCTAGCTTCTGAACCAGCCTCTGCAGAATTAGTCCTGATGTCCCTGAGGCTTGAGATAATGTGTGTAAATAAAATGCTTGAGAAACAATACTGAAGCCACATAAACTTTATCAGTGTCATAGCATGAGAAAGGCAGAACAAGACCCCGGAAGGCGCCCAAGCGGTCCCCGACGGGCCGGCCTCAGCGTGTGTGCACGCGTGCGTGCGGCGGTGAGCAGGGGTGTGAGGCCTTGCCAGAGCCAGAGGTCTCCACCCCCTCATGCAAGAACCTAACATACACCTAGCGCCGCCCCGTCCACCCGACCGCAGACCGCCCCCTTCTGCAGGACTTCGCCTGCTTCCATGGTCCTCAGCACCAGGGAAAAGCAGCCAGGGTTCCAGAGTGTACTCCTCAGCAGGAAGGCCCCCCGCACACCACCAGGCGGGGAAGAATGCCTACAGCCCCAAGTTCAGAGAGTGCTTGTGGGGCCACCAGAGCTCAGAGAACGGAGTTTTAAATTCCACGGACTCCCCTGGGAGGAGAGGGACCAAACAGCTGGGCCCAAGCGCCTTGCCTGAGCAGGCAAGACTGGCACTGCCTTCCTCTAACCACGCAGCAGGCCTCCTGGCTTGGCCAGTCGCGAACCCAGCTCTGCCGGGCGTGCTGGGATTCCACTTATCCAAAGCTGTGGGTCCCCAGATGGCATGGGCCACTGCAAGCTGCCACAAAGGAGCAGTTGTCAGCACACACTTCCTGAGTCAGGGATCCTCCCTCGAGATCATCGGAATCAGCAGCTCTTGTTTTGCTCAGGCTGATTTGTTGGCTAGCACTCAAGAACACCTCCCTCGGATCATCCCAGGGAGAGAGGCGAGGAGGCGGGGAGAAAATGCCAAGCCAGGAAGGCAGCCCAGGGCTTGGGGAAGAAAGAGGAAGCCACTCGCCCCTTGAGCCCTAAGTCCTTACTCAGGGAGTCACTCCTATAGCAAAGCTAGCTCCGAGAGCAACCGTGAGGCCGGAAACCAGGTGACAGACAAGGGGATGGTGGGCCGGGTGCCCGGGGCACAGCAGGTGCTCAGGGGCCGACCATGGCACAGCAATGCTGGAGGCTGCCTGCTCTCCTCCGAGACAGAAATGCCCCTTGTCCACCCACAAACACACACCAGTCTGAGAAAGGGACCAACTGACATGTCTGTGGTTCCGTAACAGTAACATGTGATTTTTAGCTAGATATCCTCTAAGAAATCTGAAAACCAAACGGGAAGAATCACCGCATATGAGATGGGGCAGTGGCTTTTTGGCTGAATTCTATAATGTCATAACTTCTCAAAGTTCCGTTTCAGAGAAAAGCCTTCAGTCGAAGATGACGCCTGCATTTCCCTGTAAAATTTAAGAGAGCAGGGCCCACCCCTTAAAAGGGTCAAATACTCGACGTTCACAGAATGGTGTTCTAAAGTTTTTTCTCAGGTGCCCTTCCTAAAGTAACAAAGCTGTGAGGCAGGAAGGGCAGAAATCTCCTGGGTTTTATAGACGAGGAAACAAGGCGCAGAGTCAAGGGCCTGCCCAGTGTCTGCGTCAGGCGCGGCAGAGCCGAGTTTCCGCACCGGTGTCCTGAGCCCAGAGCCCAGAGCCCAGAGCCCAGAGCCTACACCCTTTCCAATCTGGTGAGCTCACAGGGGTCTGGGTGGGAGACCCTCAGGGGTCCCTTGGCGCCCAGAGCAGGCGGTTGCAGCCTGTTGCTGGCGGCACCATGGGGAGCGAGTGCGTGCATGCGGAATGACCGTCCCTGAGGTCTCCCACGGGTGAGCCCCGGGGCGCGTACCTGCAGTGATGCGCTCGGTCGGGCTTGATGCTGCAGCACTTGGGACACTTGTACACCACCTGGCCGGGCTTCAGCTGTAAACTCTCGATGAATTCTTTAGTGGCATTTCCTTTGGGCACTGCCCCCTGTGAGGGAGAGGACAGCGTCAGTCCGGCGTGAGGGACAGGACATTCCACTGTGGACACACTCATTTCAAAGCAGCAGCTGTGCGCACCCCGACACGTGGACTCGGTGCTCAGGATGACACCAACACCCGCGAATATCTACTGACCATTTTCCCGAGGAAATGCCAAAAGGTGACATGTGGGCGGTTGTCATATTATTCTGCGTACCCTCTGCAGTGTCTGAAGGGGTTCAGTAAAAATCTTTCTAACAGTTCAAAAATGAAGTAGAAAAAAAAAAAAATCTGGCCTGCAGAATGCAGTCAGGTGCCAGAAAAGCCTGTGACAGAAAGGTTAAAGCAAACAAACTTTGGGGGGCAGGGACCACACAGTATGCCAAGGCTATTTAAGATACTGTTTTACATTAAATACACCGTAGAGGTCCACAGCTACTGGCGTGGGAAACGCCCAGGACAGACGGTTACAGGGAAAAGTGGACTTTCAAACAGCGTTCGAATACGCGCTCATTGTGGTAAAGATTTTATAGACATAAATAAAAAGACGAAGACATGGGAAAGTATTAATGGCTACCTCACTCATATACTAGAATCACAGGAATGTCTTATTTTTTTGACGATACTTCAAAAACGATCTACTATGAACATGTGGCTTTTGCAGTTAAAAAAAACCATTAAATATACAAGCAAAAAAAAAAAAATATATATATACCTCAGGGGGCAGCCACCTACAAAGTAAGGAACACGACCCGCTCTCCTGAAGCGTGAAGCCCAAATGCTGTGAGCCAGCAGGGGCGCCTGCGGCGGAGGCAAGCGGGGCGGGCGGGGAGGCCGGCTCAGCGGGACGGCGGGCCCGGCCACCCGTGGGCGCTGGCCCAGGCGGAGGAGAAGGTCCTACGAAAGCCCAAAGGGCCAGAAGTAGACTAACAAACAAAAAAGCCCAAAACACTAAGCTGTACACCGGAAACCAATACAAAATAAAATGGAAAGTGCAACAGAATTCTGCCACATTCTGTGAAGATACAATCTACTAAGTGTATGAAATGGAGAAGTAAGTGGAAATCTCTGGGTTAAAGGGCGGAGCATAATTACAGAGAGACGGCCTTACTTCTCCTTCTCCTCAAGGGCGTAAGTAACTGAGTTTAGCCCTGGCCAGGCGGCTTGGCTGGAGCGCTGTCCAGCACCGCAAAGCACCGTGGGCCCAGTCCCCAGCCGGGGCGCGCGTGGCAGGCAACCCTCACGTCCATGTTTGTCTTTCTCTCTCCCCCACCCCTAACATCAATAAACATATCCTTGAGAGAAGATTAAAAAATGAAGTTAATATTTAAAAAAAGGAATTGAGTTTAGACAACTGTATGACCTTTTACAGATCTTCAAGCCACAAAACTGTAACTAGAAGTCACTGTTGTCACCTGAACACAGGGAAAACATCATTCCCGAGGGAGGTGAGCAATGGGACTCAGTTTCCTACATGAAAACCCAGCCTGGCGCCCCACCCACAGGCAGCTTTTCAGGTCCCGGCCACCAGAACTTGCTGTGAACCTCGGGAGGCCCCCCATAAAGGGCTAGGGAAGGCGGGGCCCCTCCCCTGCAGAGGGCAACCGTGCCCGCCGTGGGAGACCTCAGGGACGGTCATTCCGCAGGTCGGCCCCTCCAGGGCGACTGCGCCTGTGTGCGTGTCCTGGCAGGCTCGCTCCCTCCCGTCATCCGGCCTGTGACCCAGCTGCCAGGGCAGGGGGGCGGGGAGCCGCGGGGCCGCCCCAGCACTGAGGAGCCTGTGACACATGCACATCCCATCGCTGCCTCAGAAAGTCTTTCTATTTCCTTCTCCTTCTCCCCCTTCTCCTCCTCCTCCTTAAAGGATATGCCCTTTTGGACCTATCTCCACAGATTTCAGAACTTCCTGTTACTGGTTCATGGGAAGGAATTTTGTTCTGTGCAATCGGGACCGAAGGCAGGCAGTGGAGGTCCTGCGGAGCTGTATGTCAACGCTGCCACGCTCACTGGCATTACTGAGAAACACCCCTCCCCTCCCCCATTCTTACACGTCTCACCGGGATGTCTGGAAGCTTCCGTGACCGCAGCCTAGCGGACCAAAACTTAACTGATTTTTCCCTCCTAATTTCCGAAATCATAGTTGTTCCTGATTTTAAAAAATATACGGATGAGAAAATTAAAAGGGAAAAACCCACCCATTCGTTCTGTCACCTAAAGAAAAGCACTGTTAGCATTTTGAAGCGTATTCTTCTGGTCTAGTCTCTGTGCACACAGGAAGCTAAAAACACTTCTAGAAATCTATAGATCCATAAAAATGCTCACAGGCTTCTAAAATATTTACCTGGCCCCTCCGCGGCGTGCACCTCGGGAAGGGCGGGAGAACACGGCTGGCTCCGTCGCCGGCCCCTCAGCGCCGGCCCCTCAGCGGCTGCCCAAGCCTCCAGCACCTCCGCGGCCCCACCCGCGTCTACCTGAGGGAAAGCGGAGGCTGCCCGCGACCCCCCGCTAGTCCTCCCTCCCCGCCCTTCGGTGCCCACCATCTTGGAGGACGGGGGTCCCAGCTCATCCCGGCCCTCCCCTGGCCCACCCCTCCCTTCCCGCCAGTCCTGCTGTGGACGGCGTGCAGTTCCCCAAAAGCCCCGTGCTCCCCAGGCCCTGCGGCCACTGCTCCTGCCTTCTTCCCCAGGACCCGGGCCGCGCCGCCCAAAGCCACCTCACAGCCTTTGCGCGATAGCCTGTACTTGTCTTACAGCAGCTACCAGTGAATTACGCCGCAGCCTCTCCTCCGTGACCGGAAACCCCTGGAGGACAGTGGCTTTCGCCTCGCAGCCCGACTTCCCAGGGCCCGGCAGGGAGCCTGTAGTCAATGACTCCATGGTGAACAACAGCGACGATACAACCACCATTTACATTCACAGTGCCAAGTGCTTTACTGTATTTTGCCAGTTAATTCTGACAATAACTGTGGGAGGCAGAGACTATATCCCTCATTTTACGCACAAGGCGACTAAAGCAGAGAAGTTAAGCAAGTTCCCAAGGTCACATAGCTAACAAGGGGCAGGACCAGGATTCAGGCCATATCTGGGATGTAAGGAAAACGTACGAAGGACAGAGCGGAAAGCAAGAAGGACACAGCAGGAAGCCGTGGACACAGGTTCCAGAGAAACACCGATGCTTCTGTCGTAGGCAGGCAGACGCGAGCGGAGCAGGCACTGTGGGCCTAGCACAGAAGGTCAGTCACCAGGGCAGAGAGCCCGGGGCGCCCAGTGACGCACGGAGCTGGGAAGGCCAGGACCTCGTCCCAGGTGACCCTTCCTCCCCTCGCTTATCGCTGGTCCTGTGGTTTGGACCCCTGACCCTTCATATGGCTGGTAATACGGGCTGGACCCCTGCGTTTCCCTCCCTAAAGATAACATCCAGGCCTCAGTCACGTTTCAGCTGCAGGCCCGAAAAGCAGCACAACCAGACGCATGAAGCCACAGCTGCCTCAGGACCAGCTGTCCTGACTGGTGGCCCCTGGCGCTGACCAATCAGTGGGGACCAGGACCCAGAAAGAGCTCCCCTGGGGGACTGATGAGTCGTCTGCTGAGACCCTCCCAAGACCCCCCTAAGATTCCCACCTTCGAGAGAGAACCCTCAGGACGCAGGCTTCTGGGGAGCAGGCGGGGGCCTTTCCTGGCCCCTTCCTCCCGCACAGGTGCGCGTCTCCTAATTGCGCGGGGCCCCGCGAGACCCGCAGCTAGGGGAGCGGCGGGCAGCGGCAGCTCGTCCCGAGCTAACTGTCCCCCACACCCCTCCTCGGACCTCCCAGGGACTGGGCAGCCGCCGCCCTCCGCTGCGGTCGCCTTCCTGCTGAGCCCTCCGCCCTAGTGTCACCTCGCTTGGCTGCACTTTTGTCTCGACTGAAGTCTTCCTTCAGGAAGACTGGGACCCAGGTCTCACTGTCTCGCCCGCTACAGCTCCAAGGACTCGCCTTCCCACTCCCATGGAGCAACAAGGAGGAAACGCGCAGGAGTTGTCCGGCCCGGGGGCCGAGGCTCGTGCACGCCTGCGGCTCCAAGCGGACGCCCTCACGCCTGGCGGAACGTGGCGGCCAGCCCTGCGCCTGTGCCACAGGCCACCGGCCTCCTCCACAGAAAGGCAGGAGGCAGGAAGCCCCCAAGTGGTCACTCTCCGCTCCCTGGAGCCAGAAGGGTTTCTCATTCGGCACTTATGAGCTGCTCAGCGGCAGGGGTGAGGGGCTGCCTGGCGTGAGAGGGCGTGACCGCCCTGCTCGAGGGGCCCCCGGGCGGCCCCCGGCCCGCGCAGGCCCTGCCGTGCGGACCCGCCTCTGGGCAGGGCGGTGCGGCCCTTCCCTGGCCGTACCTGGTCCCTGGCCTACGACCCAGCAGCCCCATTCCCCTTCCCTGCTCCCACAGTCTGACATCGCGCTGCCTGCGACCAGCCCCAGGGAACGCCTGGCACCTGATTTCCACACAGTGTGTGCTCAACCAGGTCGCCCGGAGAGAGGCTCCAGAAAGGGACGCCAGCTGCAGGTCGGGTGAGCCCCGACCCTTCCACAGGTGGTTTTGGCAGCTGAAAGGACGATCAGCAGCCTGCGGCGGTGTAAGGTCCTCGTGTGAAGTCTGTCTACAGCCAGGTGTCACTGGGTGGGGCTCCCAGGGAGGGAGGGGCCGTGGCGGCAGAAAGACGCACATCCTTTTCCTTGGCAATGTGGTCACATTGAATTTACAGTCCTCTTTTCCTCAAATCTAGGATTTGAGAGAACTTACAATGAGGTTAAATTATTGGGTCCTGAGAATGGAGGGGCAAGAAGTCCCTGGTCACTGGATCCACACAACCGCTGCGAGGGCGCAGGGCGGGGCCTGAGCTGCCAGCAGTCAGGACGCAAAGAAACGAGCTCCGCCCTCCGCTTCCGGCACCTGCGGGGACACAGACACTGTCCCAGACCTGCCTCCTCACGGGGCCCCTTTAGGCGTCCGGAGGGAGCTCTCAGGACGCAGAACAAGAATGTGCTTGTGACTGGAGAAGACCTGGTGACGCAGGGGGAGGTGGAGGGCTGCCGGGGTGAGGGTCTCCGGGTTCGGGGTGGCTGGGCCAGGGGGCCAGGCTGGACTTCTAAGCATCGGCGGCGGCGTCTCGGGAACACGGAAGGCAAGCTCCGTAGATGACGTTACACAACCTCAGAGCCAGCAAGGAGGGGCCGCCTGACATCAAACACCAGCCTCACTCAAGCTGCTGCCCACGCGTGGCTCAGGCCACCGCCCGGCCGGCCCACCTGCCGAGTGAGCCCTCTGTCCGCCTCTTCAAAGGCCTATCCCTCTTCTCCCATTTCTCAGATGGGAGTTTCACTGTCAGGGGGTTGGTAAGACATGTGTGAGTCACTTCCTGCTTCCCTTTTCTGCTCGAGTTTTGCGTGGACGCATTTACTAAATGACCGCTAAATGGTCCAGAAAGTACTGTGGCTGCAACTGTTTTGCTGCTATATTTGGAATAAGAATTTCAAAGCCGGAGGTGGTACAGTAACTATTTGGGGAAGACTGTAAGATACCTTTTTTTCCTCCTAGTAATACTAACGAACCAATATAATATACAATGTATACATTGCCATAGGTTATTTATAACCTAAGATGTAACTTTTCGTGAAAGTTACAGGCAACAGTAAATTCTTGAGATACAAAACATTGTAACCCTAGTAGGGAACTTAGAACCCTGCAGAGAGCCTTTCTGAAAGCAGAACCCCCCACCGTGCCCCCTTCCCGCCGCATTGATGGGGAACCCCTAACTGATCCGCTTTCTGTGGGAGATCTGGGCTCCCCGCAAGGGGCCCCAGGGTCCCAGCTACAGCTCCACCTCCCCTGTTTACACACCGGGTTTTGCATAAGATGTCACATGCTGGGCTGGGGATCCGGGATGGAGACCTGCAGGTGGGGACCCGCAGGTGCGGGCAGGGCAGGGAGGGCCTGAGACGAGCCTGAGGCTTGTCTGCAGGATATGCTTTGACACGCTCCCTTTACAATGGTAGATATTCGACAGATGCTTCATATTTTTGCTCAGTTTTCTTTGGGGCCACCAGCAAAGCACACCCACGGGAAGCTGGCGGGAGCCGGGGATACAGCCCAGCGCTGAGTGGCACACCTCAGTGGGGACCACTGTGCCCCGCACCCAACTGCAAGGGGCCAGACTAAGGAGGCCCTGGAGACAGTGTGAGGGCAGCAGGGAGCCTCCCCGCTCCCCACCTGACGCCCAGTTCCCTGATTCACCTGCCTTCTGGAAACCAATGACCTCTGCCCCCTCCACCAGCCCCGACCCGGCCTCTCCGCTTACATGTAATATATGCACAGTTCGACCAGAACAAAAGCCTTGATTTCTCTCTAAAATCTATCCTCCCCTGACTCTCCCCATTCAATAAATGGCCCCACCAATCACTATCCGCCCCCGCCCCCAGCCCCCAGCTAAGAAGGCTCTGGAAGGCAGGCTCTTTGATCCCCTTCCAGTCCGTCAGCTCTTCTCAATGGTGGTTGGCAGACCTGGCTGAACCTGAGGGACCCCTGGGAGCTTTAAAGGAGTCCCAGTACGCAGGGCCCCGCCCCAGCCAATTAGAGCAGACTCTCCCGGGGCAGGGCCTGGGCATTAGCACAGTTTAAAAGCTCCCCAAGGGAGTCTACCGTACAGCCAGGCTTGAAAATTAGTGCCGTACAGTACACCCTGAACCCAACAGCTTCCCTCCGGCTTCGGGGCCCCCACCTTGGCCTGAGCCACACGTCTGGCGTGGACCACACGATACCTCTCCTCTCCCTCCGTTCGCCTGTCCCCCTCACACCCATCCCAAGCACGGAGCCTGGTCACACCGTGCCTTTCTGACGGCTTCCCACTGCATTCCGAACACGGACCAGGGGCCCCAGAGGGCCCACAGGCCCTGCAGGATGGGGCTTCCGCAGCCCGTCCCCCTCGACTGGGCCCTCGCGCCCACTCAGCACGCCTCGGCCCCTGGCCCGAGTTCCGCTTCTCCAGCGCGCTCCTCCCCCCTCCTGAAGGGTCTGCCCTCGGACCGTCCATGGCCTGGCCTGCAACTCCATGTCCCTCAGGCCTCAGCTCAAGTGGCACTGCCTCGCCGAGGCGTTCGGACTGCCCTGACCGAAAGCGGTCCCCTTCACCCCATAAAGGCCACCACGTCGCCCCGGTCGCACTCACTGTCCTTTCAGCACCCACCGCGTCACGCTGCCACGGCCTGACCCCCAGCGTGAGGAAGAGCTGCGGGGCGGCCGGGGCTGCGTCTGTCCTGCTCACAGCTGCGTCCGCTGCGCAGCACGGAACCTCCCGCCCAGTAAACACGCCCCACACTTTGTTCATCCTCAGTGTCCCCGGGCCCACCCTCACCGCTGCCACAGTGAGGCCTGTGAAATGACAGTCTGATCTCCTGTCACCCTTTTGTGTAACACCTGCAGGGGCTCCAGGCTGCCCCTCAGCCTGCAACACCCGCCTGCTGCGCAGGCACTCCACCCGCCGGGCCAGACCAGACCCCTCTCCTCCCAAGTCCCCGCCATTCGACACAACACGCGGGGCCCAGAGGAGCCGCACCCCTGCGTTCCTGCGTCTCTGCGCGCGCTGCCCCTCTGCCGGGGACGCTGCGTCTCCCTGCCCCGCGGCCTCCACCTCCCCAGCTCGCCGACGCTGCCCTGGTAAGAGCTGGCCTGCGCTCCCCCTCCTCCCAGCCACCCCGCCCAGGTGCCCAGGTCAGTCGGCGTCCCCTCCCTGGCTCTTCTGCACCCGCCTGTGCTGCCTTTCGCCACAGCCTTTATCACGCGGGACCACCTTCCCTAGTTGGGGGGCACCGAGAAGGCAGGAGCCGTGGCCTGGGGCTTAACAGAAACTAAATTGTATGGTGAGCAGAACACTGTCCTTGAGCTCTGTATCCCCGATAACAAGGGCCTCATACAAACTTCAGAATAAACCTCTACTGGTGACCAGTATGACCAAGAAAGAGCAGCCGGGAAAGCTCTTTCACACCCTTGTGCTTTGGGACACTCCGGCTCTAAGCACACACTTCACGTCCTTCAGGTGCCCGCTGTCCGATGATCCCACGAGCGGCACCCACGCAGGGCGCCCTGGGCCCCCGCCCGCCGGAGGGCGTCTCCCCAGACACGTGCAGGAGAGGAGGCAGTCTGGACCGGCGGCGACACGCCATCGAGCCGGGAAAGCCGCCTTCCCTCGGGACGGATTAACAATCCACCGCCTGAACCAGCAAAAAATGGAGCCCTTTGAGACGGGAACTCGCTCTTCACTGAGCTTTCCCCGGGGCTGGCCACTGAAATCTGTGTGGCGCTGCCCCTGTGATTAGCAGAGCTTCTCCTTTCTTAATTCAAACACACTCGTCCCAAGTACTGAACACAATTAAGACACAGGAGGTCTTTATCAAATAACACACTCTTGCTTTTCCCATACACGATAACGAACAGGAACAGAGGATCTAATGCCAGGGTACTTGACATTCAATAGCCACTTGCACAGCTCAGTATGTTTAGCTAAGTCACCGGGTGGAATGCCACCGCTTTACCCACTGACCTTCACCAGGAGGCCCCTGCTGCGGCCCCAACAAGCTTGTCCAGCTTTTCAGGGAAGGATGAGCCTCGCCCAAAGGGGAGGCCATTCCCGTGCAGAATCTTCAAACGGGATATGGCTTTGCTCAAGCCCATCCGGCTCCAGGCCTCTCTTTGCTGCGAAGGCCCGTCCTGACCCATCGCCCAGCAGGCCTTCCGCTCCTCACCTGGCTCCAGGCCTCACGGTTCTTTCTCACTAGAGACCAGGCTTCGCCTAGACCATCCCCTCCCCCTCCCCAGCAGGTTCCACTGACGCACACACCCACGTGCACGCCGCAGACGCTGTTTCCTCGGCGCGGCAGGAGTCCCCTCCCCCACCCCGGGCCTGGCCCTCCTGCTCTCCACATCCCTGAGGGCGGGGGGACATGCAGGCTGTGGCCATGCCAGGGCCAGAGGAGGAGAGTGTGGGCTGGTCAAAACAGGCCCAGACATACTCACGGGGTCCGTCAGCATGGCCCGGCAGTGGGAGGCCAGGGCCAAGAAGGCCAGCAGGTTGAACAGAATTCCATTGATGATGCTGTACACGTAGTCCCGGGACGGAATCAGCATGACAAAGAGGACCACAAACTCCGCGTAGAGGACCAGAAACCAGGTGACGATGGCACAGGCGATGCCGCAGCCGTCGCGGATAAACCACATGGTTCCCGCAGGGCCGGGGTAGGGAGGCGGGACGCACTTCTCCGGCTGGAGGTACTCTGGCTTCCGCTCAATGTCTCGAAAGTGGTGGGTTGGGATGAGCATCATAAGCTATTCTGTCCATACTGGCATCTGGAAGAGAGAAGGCCCAGGAACTTGGTGTTGTCTTGTCACCAAGCAGATCTGACAAAATGACCTTCCCACGGTGGACCTCCTGCAGAAAAGCTGCCTGAACCTCAGTTCGTTTAAAATGCGAGTCCTTCCCCCTACACTTGAGCGTTAACTGAGACTTTGTGAAGTAGGGCCACTGTGGCCAAAGAGGGTCACGTGACAGGTAACAACAGGGAGCCTTCAAAGGGCAAACGCCTTGCCCAAGGGCAGCCGGAACAGCAGCAGCGCACACGCTCCAACGCAGGGGCAGACTAGAGCCGGGTCTCCTCGTCTACCAGGGGTCGACGGGCCAGGCAGTGTCCCAGTGGGTGTGTTCACCTTGGGACCTAGAAGACACAGGGCCATGGGGGCAGGGCACCCAGCCCACTGGGAAAGCTGCCTTCAGCAGAAGCGCCACCGCCTCCACACCAGCGACAAACCCGGAGACCAAGGCAGTTCGGGGTGAACAGGGATGGGCAGAGGGAAAGTGGTACCCAGGGCTCGCCCTAAGCTGCCCCTGTTAAGATATTCTGACTTCCTGGACTGCACGAGCCCGTGATAAAGGCAAAACACCCTCGAGGATGGGGACATTCTTGAAACAAGCCAGGATTTTTTTAAGCCCATGGCCAAAATGGCGTCTCTTCCAGGGATAAGAGACTGAGTTCTGTTCTTGAGGTTGAAAGGACAAAGTGTAGGAATGTTGAACACTGCATCCAAAGATGTTCCCCCACTGCCTGGCTTTAGTCTCCTCGGCTGTGAAAACACCACACTCCAGGCCCCTCCTATCCCCCCCCCACCACCGCCGTTTCTTCCTCTTAAACTCTACGGCCTATTGTACCACTAACCAGGTTTCTCAGTTAGAAACTATGATGGCTCAAGTTCACCTCCACACCTCCAGAGGTAAGTGCCATGGAAAAGCTACCTGTAGCCTTTAAAAAAAAAAAAAAATCTATTTATTTATTTATTCTTAGAGAGAGGGGAAGGGAGGGAGAAAAAGAGGGAGAGAAACATCGACGTGTGGTTGCCTCTTGAGGGCCCCCTACTTGGGACCTGGCCCATAACCCAGGCGTGTGCCCTGACTGGGAATCAAACCAGTGATGCTTTGGTTCGCAGGCTGGCACTCAATCTGCCAATCCACACCAGACAGGGCATACATAAAATCATTTTTTTTTTTAAAGGAAAAGGAAAACAAAACACAGATAGAGCATTTAGACTGAGTACAGTGCAGTCATGGGTAGGGTGTGTCCAGAAAGCTGAGAGGGCAGAGCAGTAACTACTAGTCAAAATGACACATTCTAGAGTCAAAAGATGCACATACTAATCATAAAAGAATAAGGTCAGGGCCTCCTCTCCCAGGGTGGCACCGAATCAATGGTTCAAAGGCAGTTAAAACATGTACTGTGTATCTGTCCAAAGACACATCGACTCAGCATGCACTCTGAGTGACTAACACATGCTACGCGCCCTGTGTTGGGAGCTGGGGAGCAAGAAGCCATGACACATACAGAGTAGCCACCCCAGGCAGAGGAAAAGCGGAGGGTCCCCATGCCTGCCAACCAGAATTTCCTAATGAAGCAACCTGTGATCTCCACGAGACAGTGGTAATTAGTGTTGCCGGTGGCAACCCAGAGGCATCAAAAGATGCAGGGACAGCTTGTGAAGCGCCAAACAGGACAGCAGATCATACACCAGGGACGTCTGGACCTTGACCTATGCCCAGTAAATTCTAAAATTCTAAACTCTATGCAAACAAAACCAAACAAATGAAAGATGAAATCCCACAATGATTCAAAAGCCGACCAAACGAAGCCCCACATTTCGACAACCTCCAGATGCAACCAGTGTCCTGGCTTTGCGGGCGGCCATACATGTTTGTATGGCACCTATGTTCTCGCAATTACTATTTAAGCTCTAAATCAATAACGTTTTATTAGTCTACGGCTATGCCATTTGACTACGTATTGTCTCTGTCTGCTTCTGCGTCATAATGGTGGAGTTGAGGAGTTCTGATGCAGACGGCTGACCGGCCAGCCCAAAGTGTTTTACTCCCCAGCACCTTACAGGAGCCTGCTGATCCTGGCTGAGGCAGCTGTGACCTGCCAAGTACAGGGTGGGGCAAAAGCAGACTTAAAGCTGTTCATATGGAAAATAATACAATAAATAAGTAATCATACAAGAATAATCTCTGTTTCGGGTACTCACAACTGTAAACCTACTTTTGCCCCACCCCATAAGTAGGAGGGATCCTCCCCAACTCCTGCTTCCCTGCAGAACAGCTCAGTGTGAGGCACAGTCAGTTAGCGCGCACATCAGCCTACCCACCCAGGTGGCCGCATAACCTCCTGTCTCCTGCAGCCTAAGGGTCACCTCCCCATGACCTGTGTGCTCCATCAAACTGCTCTTCGATGACTATAAATGGTGTGGTTTTCAGAAATGGAGGCTCGCTGAAAATAAATTTTAGAGCAACACTCATGTTTAGATACTTCCGGTGATTAAATTATGCTCACTGCACATTCAGAGCAGATGACTGTGTTCTGTCCCCCGATAGCTGCCCATTCTCAGCTGCAGACCTGGCCATGGCCCGACTAGAGTTCTGTCTCACATACATGGTTTTGCTGAGGAACAGGCCCTTCCACAGCAGTAAATCTCCCAGGTAACTGGTTACTTCCTGCCTTAAGCACAATACCCATCCATTTCTTTGGAAGGATGAAGAGTTATTACCAGGAACATCAATTACTGGAGCGTGTTAGGTAACTGTGTCCTCAGGGGGAACAGGGACTCACTGGGCTCACACACCGCACGCCCACTGGCCTGTTCAGACCATTATAATTGCGGCACCTCCTTCCTTGGTTCTTTGTTTCCTTCCTCCATTCCTGGCCGCTGCCATTTCTGTGCCTACGGCTGCCATCCTCCCCACATACCCTCTACTTACTTCGCTAATTGGCTGCCGGCTGGAAAAGCAGTAAGATGAAACCTTGTTAGACCTGTTTGTACAAGAAGGGGACTCATTTTAGGCGGCAGGCCTTAGGCCACACCCTCCACGCCTTCCCACCATTTGGTGTGGGCTGGGGGCCGTCTTTTCTTAGCCCAGTGCCTGGCACACAGTAGCCACATACCATGTGTGTTCACTGTGCAGACACATGAGTCGTGCGTGAGCTCTGTGACCCCCAGGCCCACCTCATGGAGGTCTTGCCTGCTCGCTCCCAGGGCCGCGGCCATATTCTGGGTGGCGGGAGCGCACGGAACAGGGTCCCGATGCAGGTGGGCTGTGACTCTTGTGGCTCTTACTCAGGTGCCCAGAATGCGCCACCCTTGAACAAGGGGGACCAAGAAGTGTATGGGGGAGCCCTGTTTTCCCATTGTCCCCCACTGGTGACTGAGAACCTGTGGCCTGGAAAAGCGCCAGCCAGGGACACACTGAGCGGTAAACTGAAGGACGCATTCCTACCCACACTTTACAGTTTCGAAATGTCCCAGTCAAAACCAAGCAGAGCACACTGCTGTAAAAACATTTACTTAACCCGCAGGTCCCCAAAGGCAATGGCAGTAGCTTTCCAGTAAGGATTTGCTTCTTAAATTAGCCAAATGAAAATCTGAGACATATCAGGGGGAAAAACTCATCTTGAAACAAATGGTACACATTCCCTTTCCTTTGCCCCTAACAACAGAAAAGGCAAATGTTCACCTCTTTTCCTTTTCTGTTTTGAATCAGGACAACGCCAGTCCCTGGGGTGCTTCTCTGCCCATGACCCCCTCCCCGCGGAGTCCTTGCTCAGGACTGGCTGCTCAGGCCTCTGGGGCAGGCACACAAGGGGGCGGGCACGTCCCAGAACCCACAATACCCCACTTGCCAGCCCCCATAACCCTCAGAGGGGCAGCCTCTTCCGGTCCCCTTTGTCCCACCCCCAGGGGGCGCGCGTACAACGTGTGTGCTCCGCCTGCCTGCTCAGGCCCCGCCATCCCTCTCTCCCAGCTCCCAACCTGGTAGGACCAGTCTTCTTCGCTCTTTCCCTACTAACCTGCAAGTCCCACTTGTTTAGCTGGTATCTGCTCAAATCAGTATTTCTTCAGTGAATGGATATGTAAATCAGACAGACACACCCTACAATAATCCTAACACATAAGTTTCTATAGAGTAGCACAGCAAAGAGGCAAAGGGTACCTCCCAAAACAAATAACTGCCCCCTCAAACCCGGAAGCTAGATAAATAGGCTTTTTCAGGGCCAGGGCTCCGGAAGGGGCGGGATGTCCGCGGAGTGGGGCGCCAGGCGGACGTGCAGGCCTCTGTGAAATGCCTGCACACAGGCTGGTCTGAGCAACTTAGAAGCAGGTGCAATTATTTTCCTCTGGCTTAGAGAATAAGGGTCATACAAATCTCAAAAAATAAATAAATAAAATTTAAAAAAAATAGAGAGATATTTACTGGGTCCCTCCAGGTAGGAACCACGTAATTGAAACTCAACTTCGTTAACTCCTTAGTGGGTGTCAGAACGTCAGCATGGCAGCAGGAACCCTTCCACAGGAGGCTTCTAACATGAGCCAGCGCTTGTTTCAGGTGAATAGTTACCATTCTGATAAATCTAGGATTATGTCAGATTGTTGGTGGGGGCTGGTGTCCTCCTGAGCTTGTCCTAAACATGGGATTCTCACCTAAACTAATTTTTACTAGTCAACTCAGTAAATAGTCACTTGAAAAGTCCACTGGAAGACGGGGGCGTCTTTGCTGATATTTCTATCATAATTCTCGATTGAAATTCATCCTAATGAGTATATCAGTGACCTATGCTTCAAATCTTACATTCTTAAGAATATGGTATTTGCTGCTTTTTAGAACTCCTCCCTGTTCAGAATAATAGACTTAAAGTATCAAAGTTCTCACAGGCCAGCCACACAACTTCAAAGATGAATCAATGGGCAGTGCCCTGCAAGCTTCAGAAACAAATCTGATCAAGTAGAAAATTAATTTATTAGGGCTACAATTA